ATGACGCTCGGCACAATGGAAATGAGGATGAATCGGAGAGCAATGAGAATGGTGAAGTTGATGATGGTCCCACACTTGTTCAAGCACATGTACAACTCACTCGGACACCACGTATGTTTTTTCAATTAAATCTTTTACATCCGAGTCATCTTTACAATTTCTTAGAACGAAAACGGGCAAGAACGGTTCCTGCCCTCGCAATAGAACTGGAAATACCACAACTACCCACCCTTCTCCGTCAATTTCTTTTTGAACAACTGCACCCTGACGACCCTCGAGACCTTTCCGACATTCCCGAGTTTCAGTTCCCTTTCTATGAAGGCCAGATCTCCTATCTTCAATTCAGCATCATCCAGATTCTATGCACCCAGTGACATTAGTGGGATTGGCGGAATGCGCACCGAATACATTCGTGCATGCCCTCTTTGGCGGAACGAGGCTCCTCGATATGACTGTGTATTTGTCAATACAAATCCAGAACTAGAGGGGATGCAGGGGTTTGATGTGGCGCGTGTTCTTTGCTTCTTTTCATTTACTGTTAGAGGGACTACCTTTCCTTGCACAGTGATCCGCTGGTTTGACACTGTTGGTGACTCTGCTGATGAAGACACTGGTTTATGGATCGTTCGCCCAGGGTTTAATCCCAACCGCTCCCCCAATATTTCCATCATCCATGTCGACTCTATTTATCGCGCAGCTCATTTAATCCCTGTCTATGGCGCACGTTTCATCTCTCGCGACCTTAAGTTTCATCATTCCTATGATTCTTTCCGATTTTACTACGTTAACAAATACGCTGACCATCATGCATTCGAGATTGCTTTTTAGCCACTAGTGTCATCTTTTAATCAACTTTAATCAACTTACTTCAGTTACCGGTTCACACTCGATGCGCGATACTACGATGTTTAAGTGTTATATAACTTTTCTGGCCTGACTCTGCTTTTGCGCCTTTTGCCACTTGTGATCAGATGGCCAACTTTACCAATCTCCACTTAGTACGGTCTTAATTTACTTGGTCAAATTAATTGTCCGAGAAAGATGGATCAAGTTGCAAAAGTCAAAATAAGGAATCCGTTATTTTCCTGATGTATTTGACTACGTGCGTCCTTGAGAGAAAAAAAAAAACCAGTCCACAAGTGAAGCAGTTGGTTCTAAAGTTCAGCTTCAGCTTGTTGCAAGTTTCACTTCAATGCAGCGTGTTGATCGGTAACTTCCGCTCTCCTCTTCTGACCAGATGAAGTTCAAATTCAAGAAGCTGCATGTCCCATCCATCTTTGTTGACCGCTGTACACGATGTGCTCGTGCACTCCACGTTGCCTGTCCAAGCAACCGAGTCTGCTCATCCTCTCAGCACTGAATATACTACAGTAACTGCGCAACTTGGTGCAGTCATCAATACAACTCACCGCCTAAATCATGCGCTGAACCAGCTTAATGATCTGCCCCTTGGCGAAAACGCCACCAAATTCGTGGCCCTCATGAAGGAGCACACGGCTTTGACATCTTCGATCAACCAGTCAGCTGCTGCCTCTGCTTCCCTCTCGTCTCTGCTGCGAGGAGACAACAGAGCAGTTTATCCAGACACAAGTCCTCCCCATCCTGCAAAGATCGCGGAATGGGGGCGTAATCTTGGCATGGAAGTTTTCGTAGACGGATCGACGACTGTTCTCGCAGGCAAAGTGCTCGTACTGGATATTGATATTAACGACCATGTCGTTGTCAAGACGTCCTTCGCCAATAATACAAACAGTAACGGGAACTCAGCGGCAGCACCAGAGCTAGACGCCTTTCTCGCGCGGGAAGTAACCCACTGGATCAATGCAGCGAGACGCGCTGCTGGCAGAGACACAGCTGTCGGACACTCAAGAGAGGATCCTGCGATTGAAGCTGCACGCCGTAGCCGTGCAATACAGGAACACTTGCGATATCTCATGATGCTCGACGGGCTCGCGTCCTCTGAGAACGAGAAAGGACTTCGTTGGTTCATGGAGCCAGCTGTAGTCTCAGATCACATTAGAAAGCAGGTTGCGTACGTTTGTTTTTTTGTCGTGCTTGTTTTATACCTGATGCGTGATATTCACAGTTCACTACAGCCGCAAACTCTCGACAAATTCTTGACACAACATGCCCTTCCCCTACCCTTTCTCGTTACTCCTTCGCTATCATTCATAGTCTGGCTTTCACCCCGTGCATATCTTCAACTCCTTCGCAGCTCTCCGCCATCCAAACAATCGTCAATGTGGAACATTGACATCCCTATGACTCATCTCATGACATCGCTGCTTGATACTCTAGAAGATGTCACCATCGCTACGCTGAAATTGGTCCCTTGCACTGAAGTGGCAAAGTCCAAGATGAACTCGAGCGATGTCCCTGGAGATCACACGCTTCTGACTACCCCTTCGCAGATGTGGGTGCTCGATTTCACCGCTAAGCTACCACAGAATGGCGTGGTGATGTGCCAGAACCGCATGCGTGTAATTCAAGGAATCGTCGAGTCTCGACCCATCGACCTGATCTCAATGGGGAGCATGTCTAGCATTGGCTCAATGTCGAGTCTAGGTAACATGAGCAATATGAACTTTGGAGAATTTGGTGTGGCGTCTTCACAGACAAATGGAAGCGGAGGAACTGGTAGAAGTTGGGTTGACTTATTGGTCAGTCACTTTTCTCTACAACCCTAGGCATATGCGTGTGCTGATACTTGTACCTGATCTAGGTCAATAAAAATTCATCAGCAGAATACTACACTGCAACTTATGTGTGTGGAACATGCGCAGGTACAAACACACACTGACCATTGATCTAGAAATCACCAAATGACATCCATCCGCCGCTACATCTTCGCCTTCTAGCACCTCTGGAACCAGGCTTTCTCCTGCAGAGAGTTCCGGTGAGGAGCGTAAAACAAATCTCGCAAGTATTAGAGGCAAGTTTCATCTCGACCAAACTGTCAAGTCATGCTTATGGCATATCCTTCCAGGTTGTTAGAGAACAATGCTGGCTCAACGAATCACTGAGCATAGTCCAGTGGTCGCCCGAACCCCAAGTGCTGCAATCACCTCAACGACCGTCAAATGCAGAACAAGGAACGCAACCAGAAGACGCGGCATCAACTACTCTACTCGCCTCGGTCCTCGCAGGAACGATCACGCCGCAATCTATTCCAGTGAACGTCTACCTCCCCTCCAGTGCTCTATCGACATTGTCCCAACCGATCGATCCGTTTACATCACAACACAGCGGGCTTGGCATGGGTCCTCCTGCAAGCGCAGGCTCCAGCAGTGGTGCAAGCTTGTTCGGTCCGGGCGACTTGGAGATGGACATGGACATTCCAGGGCTGAGCATGAGCATGGGTGGGGGTGTGGACATGGATCTCGGTATGGATCTTTCAACCTCTGCTGATCCCATGCAGCAGCCACATGGTCCCGAAACATGCCCTCCTCCAATGATCGTGCTCACTTCACCGAGGCATGTGCCTAGGAACGGGCTGGTCGAAATACGGGTTACGTTGGGAGGGCATGGTAGTGTAGTTGGGGAAAATGGTGTTTGGGTTGAAGCCTCTCCAGGTGTTGAGACAGGATATATGTCAGATGTTGTGAGACGGGGAGGGGTGTGGAGTCTTCCTGGGCGAGTGTGGAACAAAGGATAGTCAGTTGTTGGCTGGGATGAAAGGTTCAGCAAGAAGGATGTACCGTTGCTTATGACTTGAAATGAAGCTTGAAAGCTTGAGGAGCACTACATTGTCATTGCGTCCGTGCATCCATAAGGCTGTTAAATAATATTGTTCTGATAAGCCACTTACGGTAATAGCTAATTTATTTGAATAAAATTATCTTGAACGTACGAACGATACTCTTCAATTTCAGACTTACCACTGTTGAACTTGCATTGATAACTTCATAGGGAGACTGCCGTCCACACATCAAGGATGGAGAGGGTACAATTTCAGCAGGAGCAGGTTCGTTACCCCTTCAAATGTTTGACTTTTGACTAATGGAATCTAGATGCTTGCAGAGCTCAAGGATCTCGTGCAAAAAAGTTTGTTCAACCAAGTACGTGACTCTCATACTATATCCCTCCAGTCTTATCCAACTTTGCTTCTAGTCTGAGGTTAAACAGATTGTGAAAAAACGTACACAGTTCGAAACCGCACTTGTCCGTCGCATCCCAAAAAAGAGTGACTTCCTGCGATACGCGGCGTATGAGATGAACCTGGAGCAGCTGAGGCGGAAGCGCGTGGAGAGACTGAGTATGTGCTGAGCATGTCCATATTTCAATGCTTCCAACCCGCTGACTGTTCTATGGTTTGCTCTTAGAACTTGAAAAGACCGCGTCGTCAATATCAGATTATGCTCTTGTTCGCAGACAATTCCAGATATTTGAACGTGCGCTCAGGAAATTCAAGTCGGACGTAGGATTGTGGATACAGTATATCCAAGTTGCAAAACGTGAGGGGGCTCGTTCACTAGTGGGGCGCATAACAGCCAGGCGCGTCCAGTTTCAAATTTGGTTAGTCCGTTCTTAACCGTGCACATAGGGCCCTCCAGCTCCATCCAAGAACACCTGCATTATATATCATCGCTGCCTCTCACGAACTTAACCACATGTCCCCTTCCGCGGCACGCGCCCTCCTTCAGCGTGGTCTTCGACTCAATGCAGATAGCGTTGATATGTGGAGAGAGTACGTGCGAATGGAAATGGGTTTCGTCGAAGGGATGAGACGAAGGTGGACTGTGCTGGGAATTCATGAGGAAGATCACCCTATTGCTGAGGCAGAGACAACTGCCGAGGAAGATACGGCGCCACTAACCCCAGAAGAGATAGCGGCTGAGAAAGGAGGTGACGAAGGCGAGAGGGCACGGCAAGCCATTATGGATGGTGCTATTGTCAAGTCCGTGATTTTGAGCGCTGCAAAAGGTCTGTTTGTCATTCCTCTATAAGGATTCAAATTGAGTTAGGCCACAGCTCTGCCTAGTATAAATTTATTTTCAGCTCTCGAGGTCCTAATTCGTTCATATCCTAGCCAAGAGCGCCTTCGCACGGCCCTTCTTGATCATCTATATAGTGTTCTTAAAGACACACTACAGGGCGACCCTCACGCGGTGAAAATGCTGGCGACAAGAAAACTTCGAGAACTTACATCTCAGGAGAATGATGATGATTCTGTCATGGCCGAAGGCGAAGAATTCATCGAAGCCCTTCAAGCTGCAAATGAGTCTTTCTCCGCGGCTGTTGGCGCCGGGAGCACGAACGCCTCTGGCATGGCTGATGTCTATGTTGAATTTATAGAGGAGTGGTGCAAATTGCCCACGCTGGATCCGAATTTAGTGAGTCTAATGTCTCACAGCTCTCGTGCATTTCAGCTTAACCGGCAAAACTAGCGCATATATCTTATAGCTTCCCTCCGGAAACTTGCTCGACAGCCGAACGCGCCACCTTTATTACAGGCTGCACACATGCGACTGACATCGCCTTCCAAGGAGGCTCTTTAGCTTGCACGTAGCTATACCGCAGCATAAAATCACTGTATTGCGCTGTGGTCCAAGTGGAACCGGACTTATGGAGAGTATGGACGAGACCGGGAGACTAGTATGGAAAGCGGGAGGACCAGCCCAACGAAAATGACCATCTTTGGTATTTGTTTGGCTAGTTCTCTCTACCACCTTGCTCATGGTGAGATGTGCGCTTGGTAATTCATGTATAGTACTGCCTACCCACCGGTACATGCCATGGAGAGATAACCAGGCCGGCACAGCCCATGCAATACACGTCGTTGAAGTCTCTACATACAGGCTGGTGGTGCGCTCACCCTGGAGCGGCACTCTCAGATGTGTCGTGGATTCTGCCCTGTTATGAGGTTGAAGTATGCAGTTCGTAGGTCAGTGTGTAGGAGCCGCCTGGTACAAACAGTGCATTATTAGCTAATACTCTCAGCAACGACGGTCGTGGGTTTACTTTTCTGTTCTGCACAGGTCAGCATACGATATAATAATAATGCATGTTGTTGTAAGCTAGACGAAGTCTCAGCGGAAGTGTTGAACCAAGCTGAGGTAGAACTGCGCACGAGCAAGACATTAAGTACCGAGAAGAGAAGAAGCCACCGGTGGATGGTGGTCGAAGGTGACAAGATGCGATGAAGATCAAAAAGGAAAGAGAAGTCCCGGAGGCTAATCCTCCGAGACAAGACCATGCGTACGTATCCTGTCAACATAAAACAGTAGCCATGTCCTCAGCACACCTTCATTCTGCTCCCGCGGTGAACAAGCACTGTATAGACCATGAAATCGACACAGGAAAAGTGATCGGAAGTGATCGCCGAAGGTATATACGACCTCACACTGTTTGATGCAATCCCACTCCAATGATGTTGGATGCATCGCCAGATGCGGTGGACCCGTTATAAGTCCTCTTTATATTAGCCTGCACCATAGGTGTTGCCAGACATCCGTGGAATAGCTTTCCTCTGCCCCCTCACTAATGCCAACCTTCAGTAGGACCCGTTTCGCCCTAACTTTTTTGGCCGCCCTCCCTCTGACTTTGGCTACAGTCAATGGCCCTGTTATTTCTGCCAACTTTCCTGATCCTGCCATCCTTGTGACCAGTGGGGGTACTTATGCATTTGCAACTAACTCCGGCAATATCAACATTCAGGTTGCAACGTCACCTGATGGTGGAGTAACTTGGGAATTGCAGTCCGGTGTTGATGCCCTCCCAAATGTAGGGTCTTGGGCAACTGCAAACAGTACTTGGGCACCTGATGTCATTGACAGAGGGGATGGAACCTTTGTAATGTGTAGGTCTCGATCTCATATACTCTAGATGATATTGGACTGAGGTATGGTCTGTAGACTACGCTGCATGGTCGACCTCACAAAGTACTCATTGCGTAGCGGCTGCTACTTCCATCTCCCCTGTCGGACCGTACACTCCTGAGTCACAGCCTATTGCCTGTCAAACTCCAGGCGGTGGTGCAATTGACCCCGCAGGGTTCCAGGATACCAACGGTACACGCTACATCGTGTACAAGGTGGATGGGAGCAGTCTCGGAGGTGGTGGACCTTGCGGGAATGCTAACGGAGAATATTCTACTCCCATTATGCTTCAGGAAATGGAGGCTGATGGTGTCACGCCTACTGGGGAACCGGTTCCAAATTTTGGACAGAGGACAATACGATGGACCCCTTATCGAGGCTCCAGCGCTTATCTTGCATAACGGAACGTAAGTCGATATATCTTGAATATGGACTTGGATCCGGGACTGACTACAAACATCATAGCTACGTGGTTTTCTTCTCCTCGAATTGCTACAATACCGATCTCTATGACATCTCATATGCAACTGCGCCATCCATTTCCGGGCCATACACAAAGGCTTCCTCGCCGTTACTTGTAACTGGTGACGATAGCCTCACAGCGCCTGGAGGTGCGACGCCGCGCCTTGATGGTGGGTTTATGGTGTTTCATGCAACCGTAAACACAAATCCATTGACTCGTTATATGTATACGGCAACGATGACGTGGAATGGGACTATCGTGAACACTTGATCAAACCACATCATGTTACTCACGAAATGTACGCATCATGTTAGCTTTATACATAACTGACTATCCTTACGGCTCGAACTGCTTCTTGAAATGACCGATTGTACCTGATGGGCCCAAAGAGACTACATAGATAAGAATAATCACCGGCCTTATTCCCTTGGCTATTATCCCTTCCAGTGCAATCGACATCCCACAGAAGTCGATTCATATCATAATATCATTCTCTCTCTAATAAAACACATTATGAGGTTGAATATTGAATGACCACGATTGAAGCAGAATTGAGTGAGATAGTTAAAAGTGCCGAAGTCACTCGGTGACCTGCCGATGTGTGCGGTGACGGGATCTGTCAGACTTGCATGCAGCGCTGCTGAATACTTCTCCAATTCTACGCTAATCCAATTGTACCCCTCAATTTTACAACTACAGCCGTTATCACTTCGACATATCTACCAACAAATGCTGTACTTGCTCGCTTACGCCGAATATTAATTGAACTTACGCTCTGGCGACTGCGGAGTTTATTTTGAAACTGACCATAACAGCGCGACTGCTGACTCCTCCGATTGCACCAGAAGAGATAGTATATAAAATGCGATGCAAATCTCTTCTTACTCCAGCGTCCGTGTACAAGCCAACTGCACAGTTCATTCCTAACTGATCACTTGCACAGATGGCAAAAACCAGAGTCATAGTAGTAGGTGCTGGCATCGCTGGTCCCGTTCTTGCAATCTTCTTGAAGACTAAAGGCTACGATCCTATCGTGTATGAAAGACTCCCGAGTCCAGCAGAGGGTGGACTCAGCTTCTTGTGAGCACGCATGCATCTCCCTCATGATTGTCGTACTGAATAACGTACGCAGGCTGCAGCCTAATGGTCTCCGTGTCTTATCACTAATTCCCGGCCTCATTGAACAGATTCCTGGCCATTCTCCAGATAGGATGATTTACTGTTCTCCTTGGATGGAAAGGAGGACATTCTTGTCGACAATGATGTTGCGCCTGATACAATGCGGGAACACTTTGGTTTCCCCATGATCGGAGTTCGACGTGCAGAGTTTCAACAGCTTTTGATCGACACGGCCGAGAAGCACGGCATTAAGATCAAGTGGGGCCACCAGGCTATTGAGTTTGAGCAAAGCGAAGACGCAGTAGAAGTCACGTTCGCAAATGGCATCAAGGATACGGCAAGCTTTGTCATAGGCTGCGACGGGCTGCACAGCAATACCCGAATTGCACTCTTTGGGAAAGAGAACGCAAACTTCACTGGATTGGTGCAGGTGCGCTTGTTTTTGGCGACGGCCCCGAGGCTCAGACTGATATGAAAGTGATTTGTAGTTCGGTGGGCTATCTCCAACACCACCTGCTCTTCGTGGAAAGGGTGTGAGTAATTACGGGAATGGTCGCCATATGGTTTACGTACCCTGTTGCTGAGGACAAGCATTCATGGGCGTGAGTGTCATCCCAACTACTGTTTACAGGCTTGATTATCTTGGGATTCAGGATTACTACTCGGGAAGCTGAGGCCAAGGAGATTGGAAAACACAACACGTAGAACAACAGAACGAAATCCGAAGAGGATCCCTCTCTGATTGGGGGGTTTGGGGCCGGAGATTTGGTAAAAGACCGCCAAAAGATCGTAAAGGTCGGTTTACTCTTGCGACAAACCTTCAGTTCCCGAAACATTGAATGGCTTTGCTGCAGTATGGTCTCTACGACCGACCTGAACTTAAGTCGTGGTTCAAGGGAAGAATCGTTCTTTGGGCGATGCAGCTCACCCCACGAGTCCGGTATGTAGTTTTATCAGCGGGTTTCCATGGCGCTGATCGATATCATCGTACCTAGCATCTGGGACAAGGTGCCAATCAAGCGTTTGAGGACATTTACCATATTATGCGGCTTTTGAAGAAATACAACCCTTCTGCTGGCCATCCCTCAACAGAGTTGTTATCGGCAAGTCTTCATAGATTACCAGGATCTCCGACTACCGCGTACATCCGAGCTCGTGAGAGGGGCTAGACAGCAAGGGGAGGCTCGGGTTGTCGAAGGCATCGATGCATGCAGGGTGAGAGATGAAAAAATCCGGGCAGGGTCCCAAGATGATGCGGCGAGGATGGCCCACTATGAATTGTTATCTGGACCGTTTAAGGACAGCGAAATGTAGGTGCCTCCACTAGTACTTGTTGTACAGAATTCGAACGGGATTTGCCGCGTTGCACTTGACATCCAGTAATAACGCGTCGGACAGCAATGAATCCATATTTAGTCATCCACAGCGAGCAAAATATTAGACCAAATGACACCTGCATACCATGTAGCATTCCAGCTGAGCGCTGAAATCCTTACTGGCATTGTGCTTGCAGAAGAACTACAGCCTAGTGTAATAATTTATATACTAATATTCTCACAGATCAGCAAACCTGAACGTTCATGCCGCGCTGGTGTGCTTAACGTACGTGGTCTTGCTCTCTCATTCATCTACACCACACCGTTCTTCATTACAGTTTGATGCAACACGTCGTCCGGTGCGCCGTAAACCAGTGATAAACCTGTCACATCTCCCGTTTCCCTCCTGTCAAGACCTTTGCCTACAAGGGACCCACATACTTTCCTTCATTTTCTACGCAAGCTTCTTTCATCATCTTCTTGTACGGATGCGGTTCGCACCGACGAGCCTCGTAATCCTTGGACGTATGTTTATTTTACCTGTTTGCTTCTCAGTTGACTCGATGGTTCCCTTGCAGTTCCCTGCCACATCGTCCTACTTCTCCCCTAATACAACCAGATGAAAACGTGAGTGGACTTTCATCTTTACGCGGCCGGGTAAACTGGTATGCCCCTCTCATTTTTCTCCTCGTATGCCAAATTTCATCCATCTGTGTATAGCGGTACGCTCCAGCGGGTGCACCCGGCGATGACAATGACCTGATACGTGACGAAGTCTATGTTTCCCTTCCCCCAAACACGACCCACGCCTAGGGATTGTCAACGCCGGACAACATGGAAATAGCCGTTTCTGTTACTATTTCTGCCCGATGAGATCAGTCAGAATAGAAACAAAAACAAACGGCTCAAACTTGTTCTCCGGTATCTCGTAAGTGTAATCGTTGCTCCTTGCATGCGTTGTCCTCCGTAAACTTGTGTCAATTCATGACCACTATACCTAAAGCGCTTGAGAATCAACAGTCCCCGATGGTCGATTCCATTCAAACCCTACAGTGGTCTGAGTCACGAGACTGTTCTGTTTTACAGCGAACCACACTAAAAACAGTGCGAGGATCTCCCATACTTTCTGTCCTGCAGCCAAACTGGTGCTGTTAGAAGGGCATGAAACCTGTGCTCGTGATTTTTTTCTAAGATCCATTCAAGTGAAAAACGCCACGAAGCAAATAGGGTTACCAGGTCCGTGTGCTTGCAAATTGGTCATTCCTCGACAATGCCAAACATTCCTGGTGTCGAACTGTCGAATCAGTGTACAAGGTCACAGTTACAGTGGGCCGTCGAATTGATTGCATTAGTACAGTATAAGCAAGACAATGGTTATGGAGCAGCAGGAGCAAGGTAATGTATAACGGATAACCTCGAGGGTGCATGAACAGGAAGTATAACCACATGTATCTAGTTAGCTATGGTTATCCATGATACTGCCAGGAGCAGGTGTGATGGGGGCACACTCCACATCAGGGCATTTGCGAGCCTGAGATGCACTCGAGACACTGGGGGTCTCTAGTATAGATTGTATTGTCCTACATAGAGTACCACTCTGAAAAGGACGGAAATTGCATACAAAATTTAAAAAGATGAGAACACTGGATGTTTGAGAAGAATTATCACATACCTCAAGACTAAGGTAAAGGACCTCTGTAAACATCAAGTACAAGCTCGACCACACGTTCAAAGAATGTGGTCTGAGATAGATGGTGAGAAGAGTTGCCTTTACACAACTACTGCTAACGTACACCAAGTGACACTAAGGTAAAGCAAAACCACAACCTGTACGAAACAAAAGCGAAGTTGAGCTAAGAAACGCTATTAGTGCGAATTTAAGGTACAGTGTAATCGAAGTGTTCAAATTGAAGGAGTCCAATCAGATGCCAATTGTTAATGTCCGACTCCATCGCCCGAGTCCATTATTCATTCCGCCACCAAACATCAAATCGTACGCCTCTTTCTTTCTTCCTTCCGATCTTTCATTCTTTTCGGCATTTTGTTAGGTTGACAGAAAACTCTGCAGGCAGCTTATGTGGCTGCGTCAATCGGGAACTCATCACTCCAGTTCCCAGAGTCGCCGAATACTGAATTAACCGTTAGCGCTCTGAACTACGTTAAGATAGCGTGACAGGACACTCACATACGATCATATACTCCCCGGGAATGGTGTCGTAAGGGATCGTGACGTTGACTTCACCATCAGAAAGCGCAAATCCATACGCGATGGGACTGGATTGGGTTGCATCGCCCTGGCGAAGGTATACCTGGCCAGTAGGATTGGTTACTTCGGAAGGTTCTGAGGACGTATCCCAGGTGACAAGGAATGTCCTCCGACAGTCCATGTAGAGACAGATGTGAGTTCGGTGATTGTGGGGTACCCCAAACATCACGCTTCATCACGGCAGAAAGAGGAGCGCATAATGCGCAGGAGAGCAGCGTAAAGAGCATGAAGAGTGCAGTCAGAAGAGCACGGGGTGAAGTGCTGGTAGACCATGATTAATCGTGAAGATTTTCGTTAAACTGAAGAAATGATACAGAGATAGCCTGAGGTATTCAGGTCGGTGGGCTTTACTTATTATACTGCCAGCGCAGCTGACCCCATGAGGCCCACGATGTGTTTGCTTTTGTCAGCGTCATTTAGTTTATGTGATACTTCCCGAAAAGGTCGTTACTATAACCTCACCGCCGAATCTCCACCGACCAGTGCTGGGCAATATGCTTCGGAGCCAGAGCTACATAACCGGACAAAGACCCCCGAATGTGCTGATTTTAGGATGCATACTGCCTCATGTATGTAACTGCATAACGGATCAGAGTCATCAGACCTCAAAGTAAAACTTAGGACAGCCAATTCAAACCAACTTGAAGGAGATAATAAATATGGAGCGAACTTGGACTGGCCGCAAGTCCACGGCTGTCTGACTCCGACTCCGACTCCGACATCCGCATCTGCGGTCAATATACTGGATCCGACCGTAATATTCAATCATATGATCTTACTGTATATGTGATGTACAATAGATGATACCAAACTCGAGAGACTCGGTTAGTACAGCCTCATCAAGATATAATATCGGATCATGGTTCTTTATCCGTCCTGCACCAGGATCCGTCATGAACTACTTACTTTCATGACTGCATAGCCTAGACTGTCCGACTTGGTCGCTAATACCTGCTTACTTTTGCTGGGCTGACGCTGCACATCGTTTCACTTCATCCTTCAACGAACTTCAAGCTTCAACGTTCGAAGTTCACTAACACTTCACTTCAACAATTGCGCTTTCATAATTCCAGCTACTTGTGTTTATTTTCGGCTAGCTCTGTCAATCACCGTCTCCGGCCCTCTGTATCGAAGCCCTCCGTTGCGTTACTATCTACTGTTCAAGATATCCGACAGTCTTGATTCTGGACACTCAAGCTCGTCAAGTGTTTGGTTTACTGCATGTTCATAGCGTGTGACTCAGTGCAAGATCGTGCTAGCTAGATGCATGCAGACTTGTACTATAGTTATAATTTACTGATGTAGTTGTAGCGCAACAAGCAATAGTAAGCGCCCTGCAGTAAAGCCACACGTGACTGTTTGTTTGGCAGCAACTTTAAAATCAAACAAACGCCTCGGCAAGAAAGCAAGAAACAGCCGAAGTAAACCGCGACTAAAATTCACAGAATGGCATTCCAGCAAATGCAACAAGAAGCTCCCGTTCTCAAATACCCAGAAGATTTCGGTCTTCATCCAAATGTCTCCCTAGAAAACGCAGCTAACATGCTATTCCGTGCCATCCAAACCTCTCAAAACCAAGCCTACACATGGACTTTTATCGACAAGCCACAAGGTATGAATAGTGCTAAAGACCTTAATCGCGAGCTAACGTTTGATTACTTCTACAACGTATATAGAAGGTCAAATATATCTCTTGTTCATGCCAAATCCTTCTCAGCCTCTGAACGACGGAATCCGATGGCAAGACCAAGAAAGCCGATACACTATCCCTGTCCAACGCGGTACGCGGGTGCGCACCAACCCTCTTATTTCATAATTTAGCTTAACCTTTCCACAGGAACTCGAAGTCGCAGAAGTTAAATTCGGTTTCATACCCAACTCCCAAGACACAGCAGCATGGCGCATGCGCCGACGCTACCGCCTTCACAAAGGCGGCCACCCTCAACTAGTCCTAATTCACTACTCCCGCGTACCTCCCATCCGTAAGTCACTCCACCACCGTATTATCATTTTTTGCCTTCTCACCACCCATCGCGCATTGTCCCATATGTCTATGATTTCACCAATCCACATCCACCTTTGCATTCTACGTATACATCTCCCACACCCCAGAGATCGTCCCATCTCTCTTGAACAACCCTGTCAGGCACTACCCACTACGACAAATCACGGACCCTCCTATATATGTCATTGGCGAAAGAGCGGGTCAAAAAGCCTTCCCACACCCCCGCAGGTCCGCATCAAGGCGGTATGCCCCAAGTAGGAATGAACCCGCAGGCAATGATAGCGCAGCAGAACAGTAATATGGAGGCTTTGGAGAGGAGGAGGGAGCGTGAACGGGCGAGAGATGCGAGTGGGGGCGTTGGGGTGGGCGTGAGTATATCTTATTATCGGAGAAACGTTGTCTGATATGTTGGTTATTGGTTCAGCAACGGCCTGGTCCTCCACGGATAGATGATGACGAATCCGCAGGTTCGACCACTTCGTTTGCTCGGTTGAACGTTATTCGCATTGATCACTTGTGCAGATGAATCTGAACTGCTATCCACACGGACACTAGCAATTACAAGATATCGGAGAAACCACGAGTTAATGGAAGAAGTCTTCAGGCATGCAACTTTTGGTAAGAACACTATTTACTATCTCCATCTGATCATTATCAAAGACATCACTCATTAGGCGGCAAAAAACCATCGTCATCAAAAAGAATATACGAGGGGTTTGACAAAGCAGAACTAGAGGCTAAAATTGTGCGTCCCGGCCCATCACTAATTCTGGGTCCAGCTAAGCTCCCTTTTAGGCTAAATTGCAAGACAACGTTGGGGCACTTCAGGCCAAGGCTGCTGAGCGGAAGGCTCAGAAAGTAGCAGCGGACGACGTGATAGTTACAGCTAGCGGTCACACCCCGATGGAACTTACTACTTAACCACTGTGCTTTTCATTTGTATCTTGCTACTCGTCATATCACGCATAGATTTCATGCAGATAGGTATTGTGAATGAGGTGCTCGAGATTCCCTAAGGATAAAACAAGTAGTACAATCTGCTAAGTACTAAGGCATGTGCAATATAACTTTTGCCATCAAGTGTATCTCAAACACCAAGGGCTACGCTACGCAATACAAAATACAGTGATGAGCCGACACAAACAAAGCAAGATAAATAGCAATTGTTCGATCAGCAACCCACAAATCTGATGGTCCCCAGAAGATATTTCCTTTAAAGACAGCGAAATGTAGTTGCCCCTCACGGTCACCAAGTTGCTGTACAGAATCCGAACGGGATTTGCCGCGTTGCGCCAGTAAATTAACGCGTCGGGCAACAATGAATCCAATTCACGTCAGCCATAAGCATCGTCATCGGCGACAACACAAGCGTGTGCCGTGATTCCTGAATATTTCAACGCTGCAACCATGCATGACCCATTCGAAGTGAGAATGCAGTTCCTCGGGCTCATTCGCAAGCTGAATGCGTAAGTCGTCAGATTCTCTCCGTCCGTCACCCGCTCACGTACATCTCACTACCACAATTTACGTCTGCCTGACGTTCAATTCAATGCATGCGATGGATTTGCATCGATCATGGCGAGCAGGTCACAACAATCGATACAAAAAGTCGTTGGATTTGCGTTGAAGTATTTTCGAGATGCGGGGAGGATCTGTGGGAGTGCATTATTGAGGAGTGTCAGAAGGTGAGTGTGATTCTTGATATCATCTCCTCGCCGATGCAGCGTACCTTTGTCCCTCTGTTATGAGATAATATCTGACGCCAAGTGTAGGGCTCCATCAATCACCGCATAAATATTCTTTACTTTCTTGACTCCCTTTGTGAAGCGTCGTCATTAGCGAAGGCACATCAACTCCCAGAACAGTCATCTTCATCGTAAGTTCCATCATACTTGGTGACTCAACCTTAAACGATGGCACTGTACTAGAAGTAGACAAGTTAACAACACGTTGTATGTCGACTACGTCTCGCGGGATCTGACGCAGATTGTGGAATGCGTTGTGCCTGTGGGTAGGCAAGGGCTACCTAATCTACCAAGTACCAAACAGGTACACCCATACTAGCCCCCGCGTCCGTTCTTGCTTAATACCACAAACTTACAGATCCTAGAAAACTGGCGCACAAAACGAATGATAGAGCCGCAAAAAGTTGACGAAGTCCTATCGCTGCTATCTTCTAGAGACTCAGCACCAGATACGATCTCGACATCTGCGGCACCTTCAGCAGCAAAATCTGAGCCGCATCTCTCTCGCGGCGAAATATTCAAGCGTATCGAAGAGGACCGAGAGCGACATAAACGCCTTCGAGAACGACGGTGGGTTCAGGCACAGCCTCATTCTGGTCCTGCAGTCCCGTCTTATTCGACATTCACGCTTGCGAGTTTCTTGCCGCTGAGCGACACAGAAAATGCCGAGCTAGCGCTGGATATAGAGTTTGAGAATGAGTGGGAGGCAACAAGCGATTGGAATGAGGACGACGTTGAAGTGACTGCGGAGGAGAGGGAGCTTTGTCATCCGCATTTGAAGCGGAAGGGATTTACTAATGACGAAGACGAAGGAGAGCAAGAGATGGATATAGATCTGTGATATTTGCAGTGAAGTACCGTGCTGTGGAACGTGAGCGGATGTTTCTAGATTCTGACACTAGAATCTGAAACATCGCTCATGTTGGGTCGTTATAGTCAGTTACGCGTAGTTGTTGTCAGACCGACTCAGACGAGCTCACAGTAATTATAGTGTTGTGTATGGCTGGAACGATAAGCGTCGATGCGTTTGGAAGATGTTGGACGGCACGTGGGCCAAACGTGGGCGCACAGAACCGAGAGCTGTCTTGAAGAATTTAGCCGAGTATCCTTCTTCCCTTCTTCAACTTGGGGCCTGCGCAGCGGCGGCGGCCCAGGACCCTATAGGCTGTGAATCCATCTGTATCATGATAATGGTCCAAGCTCGAGGCAAGCTCCGTTATCTATCAATCCATCGATTTATCGATGTGATTGTGCTGAATAACTTGGACATTCGAATTTCGTGATTGCTCAACGGTAAATCATGATAAGTATAAAGCGTGTCTCATGCAACAGACCTTCAAGTTGATCGCACTCCTCCCGCACGGTTATCTTTTCAGCATCGCACAAGCGAATACTCCATGCATGCATGCCGGCTCATTCCAGAGATAGTAAAACACATTTTCAGCAACATCCTTTTCTACGACACCGTTGGTTCCTTAGTAAATTTTGGAGATCACTACTTTCAACAAGTCGCGCGACGTTCTCTAGCTGCCCTCTCTCGGGTCTGCCGTTCCTTCAAAGATCTAGCATTGGATGCGTTATGGCTCAAGCTGGATAATTTGGAACCGCTTTTCGCTTGTCTTCCACGAGACTTATGGACCATGACTGGTGATCGGAGGCTTGTATGTACTGCATATACGCCGCGATTCTAACCCATCGTGCTAACTCCTTTTCATGGTGTCGCTGTTAGCTCATACAGAGACCTATAACCGCAGCAGATTGGTTGGTCTTCGAGCAATATGCATCTCGGGTGAGAATTCTGGGAATCACGGATTCAGGTCTTTTCGGAGGCATAGACGCGGAGTTCGTCTACGCCGTGATGGGTTTTTGTTCACAGTCGCTGCTGGTGCCCAACCTTCGAATGCTCCACTGCAAAGGCTGTCCTCCTGTTCTCCATTCGTGTATACGTTACCTCCTGGGTCCCAACCTCATTTATCTGTTGCTTGTTCCGCCGACAGAAGGTTTTTGGTCCAACGTCATGCCTTCAGTGTTATCAGGTCTCAGCAGGCATTCACCACAATTGGAAGTCGTCGAATTCGTCGGACCACATGCAATGTGTCCTCGAGCCAGCGAGCTTGCTCTCTGTGGGCTCACGCACTTGCGGGAGGCAACTCTTGTCTTGCCAAGCTGCGGAGATTTGTCCTGGCTATCTCGTCTCGTTAGTCTTCAAGAGTTGCGGATCACCTTCGCTGGAGTTCTCCCTCCCCTCAGATCTCAATTTCGTACCTCTTACCTTGACAAACTGGTCGTCTGCTCGTTTAGTTTGACCTCGAGTGGAAATGAAGTAGCGGGGTGGGTTGTTCCATGCAGACAGCTGCAGCTCGTTCCTGCCTTTCCTGAATCCGCGGCTGCTGTCGAATGTGCCCTGCGCATGTTGGACAAACGCCTACTTTTCGATGCTCTGGAGCATATCCTACTAGACGTAGTACTCGAGCCTGCTGACCATATCGACAACGCATTCACCCTCCAAACATTCACTCCCCTCATGCGCTTCTCCGGCCTGAAAGAGATTAGTCTCTCGGCATTTTGTATGTCTTTACTTGATGTCGATGCCCTTGGTTCTATCGTCAAGTCCTGGCCACGCCTCGAGTGCCTTTACCTTGGGACCAAATGTTTCTGGCGGACGCCACCCAAAATCACTTTTCGGGGTCTTGTGGCCTTACTTTCTGCTTGCCCCAATCTCAGAAACCTCGGTTTGGTATTCGACGCTACGAAGGTAGATTCGGCTACAGCTGAGAAATTAGGACGTGGGGTTTGCACCACAAATATCACCAGTTTTCATGTTATTCTCTCCGATCGAACAACCATTGCAGGTCGCTGTCTCGCTTTCGGCAGTCTTGCCGTGCTTGGGAGAATTCAGCGTCGAGTCCTTCTTATCGAGGGGTCCTGACCGAGTGGCACGAGAGGCCAAGTGGATAGAGGTATTGGAGCACATTAGTCATATCTTGACTAAGAAGCAAGAGAGTAACACTACAGGCTTGGAGACCAGGGTTGTGACAAGGAGGTCCACGCGAAAGGTCGCGCGTCGCGGGTGATTGTTGCGATGAAACGTGTTTTTGGATAATGGTTTTGATGTATCGCAGTCGACCATACCACAAGTGTCTATGGCGATGACATATCGTTCCATATAGGTACTTCCTTGTTTCATTGAAAACTTAGAATCTGCGCCGACGTAGGGCGCTTGAGGTGTTTATAACTTGCAATGAACTTCGAACTGGATGGTGGAGAACAAGAAGCACAATGATGCAATCGACGACCCGCTAATATAACATTACATACATATGCTCGACAATCACGGGGTGTTTGGGAAGAGGCTATGAGAAAACAACAGTATCAATAAGGGATAAGCGCAAATAAAATTACGACGTCACTGGAGGAAAAAAAAGATAGCATTAGTTCGAGGTCAAAGAAACACGAACATCAGGCACTTACTGTAACTAGCGGGATCAATGTGATCAGGAAGCTCAGGCACGGCGACCTCAAACCGGGATTGGATGGCAGACATGACTTGCTGATCTGCCTCACTGGATTGGAACGTGATGGCTAGACCCTTCGTTCCGAAACGACCTGCACGGCCGACACGGTGAAGATAGCTGTCGGCGTCCGGTGGGCAGTCATAGTTGATCACGATATTGACACGTTCGACATCGATGCCACGACCAAAGATGTCGGTTGCGACGAGGATACGTTTTTCGAAGGCCTTGAAGGCAGTATAACGACTTATGCTACAACAAGTATTTAGTACGGAGCCGCCCAAAGTCATTGGCAATTACTTACCGCTCCTCTTGAGCCAAGCCCGAATGTATGCTGATACTGGGAAAATTACATGAAACCAAGAGCTTGTCTAGCTCAACGGCTCTTGCAACAGATTTGACGAAGATGACCACCTGAAAATCGTTAAGAGAACACATTTTGTCAGGGAAGATGGATAGTACCTGGTTGAACTCTAGGACATCTAGTAGCTCGTTTAACTTCCGGTTCTTCGCGTTCTCATCAAGCTTCACGTAATGTTGTTGCAATCCGTGCAGCGTCAACTTCGCCTCGTCATCAACGAAGATCTCCAAAGGCTGCAGCAAGCATCAACGAGAAATTCACCACAAAGAGAGCATAACATACGTTTGCCATGAACTTCTTGCATGTGATCCTGATTTCTTTTGCTAGCGTGGCGCTGAACATCATCACCTGCTTGTGGTGAGGTGTTGCACGGAAGATTTCTTGGACATCTCGACGCATGTCTGCGAATCAAACAAAGAACAACGGGGAGGCGCGGTTGGAATCGTAGCCGAAATCGAGTTGCAGGATGAGACTAACCGAGCTGTTCCAGCATTTTATCGCACTCGTCCAAAGTGAAGTGCTTGACGTTCTTCGCATCCAAAACTTTTTCTCTCGTAAGAGCATTGAGTCGTCCGGGAGTGGCCACCACGATGTGGGGACACCGGGTCTTGTCACGGAGGATCTCCGCATCTTTTTGAACAGGGGTGCCGCCATAGAACGTGCCCACCCGCACGTCGGGCATATATTTGGCAAAGCGCGTATACTCGTTTTTTATCTGGAAAGCGAGCTCGCGTGTATGGCAAAGGACAATGACGGAAACTTCGCCGTTGACAGGCTCCAGTTGTTGTAGAGTCGCGAGCACGAAAACCGCTGTCTTGCCATGCCCTGACTTTGCTTGGCAGAGGACGTCCATTCCCAGAACAGCCTGAGGTATACATTCTTGTTGGACTGTTAAAAAAAGTTTGGTGAGTTAAGAGCACCGTTCTGAACGTCACTAAAACATGCCTTCTGAGGGGTGTTCAAAACCCAAGTCACTAATGGCCCTCAGAAGTTCAGGTTTCAACAAGAAGTCCCTGTGAAAAAAGGAGGCAATCCACAAGATGAGCATGGTTCGTGACAACACAGAAAATAAACAAACCTGAAGCCCGTTGAATGTATTCCAGAGAAGTTTTTCTTGTCTTTGTCGCCCTCGCCGTCCGCAGCTGACGCGGCTGCTCCATTGGTAGAAGTAGCTGGGACTGCGCCATTAGGGATAACGTCGTGCTCATCCTCATAATCGATAAGTTCCTCGTTGTCGTGGGAGCTCATTGTTGTGCAAAAAGAATGGAGGTTGTCAGAGAGGTCGTCGACAGAATTCAAGAGGAGAGCGTCCGGCGAATTCCGAACACTGACTCCTTTTGCAATCTCCCTGTGTTCCGGGGTCCTTGTTTAAAGCAATATGTGCTTGGCACAACGGTAAATTTCTTAGGCGAGCCAGAAAATAGTACATGCAACAGTCCTCGATAATCTTTACTATGTATATCTCATAGCAAGACATGTACGCAACACAAGTGAGAATTCTAAATCGCGCAGTCAATCGTGGAATGCTTCTCATTTTCATGTCTGCTAGTTTTGGCAACATTATTAGGAAGGCTGGGCATATGAATTTAGGGGTCCATGACGTCCGCCCGAGTTGGATCTGATCATGATGGCAATGATCAGCGCCGTCATTAGAGGTGAATGTGCTAGTCGTCTACTTTTCACGCCACCTACTCAATAGCTAACCCCTTTGGTTGCACAGAAGGAAGACGTACCGTGCAATACGAGACAATAAACCGATTGTGGTACATTGAGATGGGGGAGATGCTCGTCCGTTGATTAGGAGTCAATGACAATCGTATAAACCACAAGACACCGATAAAGATAGGCGGTGTTTTCTCCAAGACAACAGATGCAGTGTTCCTGTCTTTCAGGATTGGTTGATACTAAGTCTCCTGGTATCAACGTGTCGCCAGGATCGAGACAAGTTGCCTTGCTTGAAGAAATGTGATTGGACACTTGTAGGATTGAACATGTCCCTCTTCTGGAAGACTTCATGGACAGCCAAAACCTTGGGGCACTAAGACCTTCGATCGAGAAGAGACTTGATGGACATAACAAAATATCCCATTCTATTGATCAAGTGAATCATCAGTCATGCTGGTCAAATCTTCACCTGTTTCAGGTAGACACTCTACAAGAGGGAGTTGAGCGGGAGCTCCCAGCTAATGAAACAAGAGCTTGCGAAGACGCACCATAGCGCCTTTGCCTTTATACTCTGTCAGAGTCTGTCTGTACCAGAAGCAGCGTATTAAATGATACACGAATTGTATATGAGTCCGGACATCATGAGATTCGTCGACGATAGCAAGCATAGGACATCCAATTACTAGTCACCATCATTCGCGTCGAAGGCCGTTTGAACGACACTCTGACGTCGTCTGTCCCACAGTCCCAGTGACGTTTCCCCACAAGTTGCTATGACTAGCTGATATCGGGTGTTTTATGGTCCCAAGCCATTTATGTACTGCTGCGATGTTCTGATGGAAGAACGGGATGTGAATTTATTTGGCAGTGTGGGTTAATTTTATTTACATGAAAGATTCAGAAGACGAGCCTTACATGAATATACTTACCATATGGCTACCATGCAGTTGAGCTACAACGAAAGTGGAGTCTGCGAAATCACAAACTATTACTGCTACGAAATTTCGCCGACTCGAGTGTCGATACGACTAGTCAAATGAGAGATTACAGAGAGTGTTATAATTAGATTTAGTTGAGACTAAATGCGACTGACATCGACACAAACCTACACAAACTTCTCTTCAGTTGGGGGGTGGCCCATTGGTCAGACGAACTTATGTCTGGCTGTGCAGTGTGCACTAGTATGGCCGCACAGTCCTGCAAGCACTGGATGGCGAGCGCTTACTCGTCCTTCAACCGCATTCCACAACCATCCAGGGAGCTTTCCATAGCAGAGTGAATTGAAACATCCATCCGTCCACCCCATCTTCGTTACATTTCGCACTCTCCGTCAATCAACGGTTGGATCGTTCCGTGACCCAAGTCTTGTCATAACTTACTAGCTTCGATCCAAATCTTCGTACGTCGCCCCTCCAGATAGCTATCGCCAAGATTATTTCTAACCACACCCTCGAACCCAGCTAGTACTTTCAATTGGTCCATTGCATCTTGCATATCACAATCTGCATCAATGAGTGACGGTCAAAGTCAGTGCTTCAATTTCTGATCTCTCGCATCCTCTCTGACCTCTTTGACAGTACTTCAAGGAATTTGGGCGAAGCTGTCCGAGGTCGCTGTCAAGGGTGCTCAGTATAACTCACGTGAACGACAGCCCCACCCAAAATGTCTGCAAGGGACCCGGGTGGATCTCCTCGAATACATCCACGAATTCTTGGACGACACAGAGAAGAATCAGCTCGTTTGGCTGCATGGCATGGCTGGCGTCGGAAAGTCTGCTGTTGCGTTCACAGTAGCAGAGAGGATGAGAGGTCTAAAAGTGACCGAAGAGACGAACGTTGAAAAGCGGCTAGCAGGGACGTTCTTTTTCTCGCGCAAGCACACCAAACGCTGCACAGCTGGACATTTCTTCGCAACGCTTGTCTACCAGCTTGCCACCAATTTCCCCAATATCCGGAAGGATGTGAGCAGAGCTATCCGCGACAATCCCGTTCTACTAGACCCAGACACACCTCTCTGCGACCAGATGGAGGCTCTATTTCTCCAGCCTCTCCGTAAACTTAGACTCAGATTGCACGGACGTCCACCTTTGTCGTTTGTTATCGATGCGCTTGATGAATGCACATCCGAACCCGAACTTACCGATCTCATCCTTTCCCTTGCACGGGCTCTTCGTGAGCCTGATCTTCCCGTGACCCACATTCTGCTTACGAGTCGCTCGGAATCGCATATCTGTAAAGCGTTTCAGAACGAAGAGGTGCGCCCGCTGGTGTGCGAGATACCAGTGAAAACTTCTGGGGATGGCCCTGGTACCATCATCTCGTTAGACGGTGTCGATGTCGACAATGACATCTATATATTTTTGAAGCATTCATTCAGAGAGCTGCAATACCGCCACCCCGATTTCCCGCAGCCATCGGGGGGTGACCTCGCGAAGCTGGCGAGCCGAGCTGGCAGACGTTTCATCGTGGCGTCTACGATGATGAAGTTTATTGTCGACGATGGATACAAGGATCCCAGCGATCGGTTACAGCTGATGCTCGAACTGACGAGCGAGCTGCTAGCAGGAACGGAGGTGTACAAGTTATACGACCGTATACTCTCTACATGTGGCGATCCCAAGCGGGCATACCTGCACTTGTCCATTGTAGCTGCACTTGCTGACCCTCTTCCGCTCTCACAAATCTCGAAACTTCTTGGCCCTGGTCAGGGCTGTGATTCCGAGGCAACGCTAGTGCAGCTACGGTCCGTCATGGATATTCCTACCGACACCAGTCTCCCCGTGAATGTATATCACTCGTCGATTCGTGACTATGTCTCCGACCCGTCAAACTGCAGCCTCCCTGAAGTGCACGATATGCCATCACCCCATTCACTACTCGCTGATTCCTCTCTTCGCTTGATGATGAAAGAGATGCCTGAAAGCACAGAATTCTTGGATGCGCTCTTAGAACTGAAGAAGGAAAGCCAAGCCATACAACCTGAGGACCCCAAAAAATTAAAAGACTCATTAGCGTTCATCGTTCAGCCACCGGAGCCACTGTCGGTCCTTATCGGTATACTGTGGCTTCGGGGAGATCGCACTTCAGATTTACAATTTTGGCTGGGGACCGAGGATGGGAGTGCCTGGCTGCAGACAGATGCAGGGTATGACTGGCTGTGCACCGATGGAGGAGAAAGGTGGCGGTACACCCAGGAAGGACAAGGCTGGCTACAGACCAAGGCAGGATATGACTTCGACGTAAGCTTGATGCTGGAATCGCACTGCGTGTCAGCTTCAAATGGGTCATCCTCGTCAGAGCCCCGGGAACTGCTAGATCACCAGCTGCCGACCCAGGGAGAACGAGATTGGCTGCAGACCCGGGGAGGACGAGACTGGCTGCAGACCCAGCGAGGACGAAACTGGCTGCAGACCCAGGAAGGACTCGGCCGGCTGCAGACCCAGGGAGGACGAGACTGGCTGCAGACCCAGGGAGCAGGCAGCTGGCTGGAATTGAACGGAGGAGAAGACTGGCTGCAGACCCAGGGAGGACGAGACTGGCTGCAGACCCACCGAGGACGAGACTGGCTGCAGACCCACCGAGGACGAGACTGGCTGCAGACCAAGGTGGGACGAGACTGGCTGCAGACCCAGCGAGGACGAGACTGGCTGCAGACCCAGCGAGGACGAGACTGGCTGCAGACCCAGCGAGGAGATGACTGGCTGCAGACCCAGCGAGGACGAGACTGGCTGCAGACCCAGGGAGGACGACACTGGCTGCAGACCCAGCGAGGAGAAGACTGGCTGCAGACCCAGGGAGGACGAGACTGGCTGCAGACCCAGCGAGGAGAAGACTGGATGCAGACCCAGGGAGGACGAGACTGGCTGGAGACCCACCGAGGACGAGACTGGCTGGAGACCCAGGCAGGACGAGACTGGCTGCAGACCCAGGGAGGAGAAGACTGGCTGCAGACCCAGGCAGGAGGAGACTGGCTGCAGACCCAGGGAGGACAAGACTGGCTGCAGACCCAGAGAGGACGAGACTGGCTGCAGACCCAGGGAGTACAACGCTGGCTGCAGACCCTGGGAGGACGAGGCTGGCTGCAGACCCAGGGAGGACGAGACTGGCTGCAGACCCAGGGAGGACAAGACTGGCTGCAGACCCAGAGAGGACGAGACTGGCTGCAGACCCAGGGAGCACAACGCTGGCTGCAGACCCTGGGAGTACGAGACTGGCTGCAGACCCAGGGAGGACGAGACTGGCTGCAGACCCAGGTAGGACAACACTGGCTGCAGACCCAGCGAGGACGAGACTGGCTGCAGACCCATGATGGACAACACTGGCTGCAGACCCAGGGAGGACGAGACTGGCTGCAGACCCAGGTAGGACGAGACTGGCTGCAGAGTATGCAAGACTGGCTGCAGACCAGGGAGGAGAAGACTGGCTGCAGACCCAGGTGGGCACGAGACTGGCTGCAGACCCAGGGGGGACAAGACTGGCCGCAGACCCAGGGAGGACGAGACTGGCTGCAGACCCAAGGAGGACAAGACTGGCTGCAGACCCAGGGGGGACGAGACTGGCTGCAGACCCAGGTGGGACGAGATTGGCTGCAGACCCAGGGGGGACGAGACTGGCTGCAGACCCAGGTGGGACGAGATTGGCTGCAGACCCAGGGAGGACGAGACTGGCTACAGACCCAGGGAGGACGAGACTGGCTGCAAACGCCCCATGGCCAGGCGTGGCAATCCACTCCCGCAGCATCGTTCTGGGTGATTATGGAAGAATTCTCAAGTACATTGGAAGTATTCAACGAATATACAATCGTGCCAGAATTTTCTTTCCCACTATCCTTCCAAGTTATCCAGCAATTCAAAACCTTGCCGGATTTCTTAATGTTGCCGGTTTTCCTGGCGTTAAGCCACCAGCATCACTCCGCCTCTGCATTATCAACATATCGTCCGCCAAACAGGGAGATCATCCATGCTATGAATGCCTTCACCACTTTCACACACAAAGCGCAGCAAAAAAGTCGATTATCTTCCAACGCTCTCAAGTACGCCTGTCAAAACTGGACTATCCATCTCTCATGCGCGCCAAATCCACGGGATGACGCACTCAACCGTAAATTCCACGCTTTCTGGAGTCGTCACCTCCTTTCCTGGCTCGAACGGCAGTGGTGTTTGAAGGGTCTGCGGTCTTGTCTTGATATTTTATCCGAAGGGCAGAAACTTGCAAAGGTGTGCATTTTTCTAATAATTCTCGATCCACCTAAGCTGATATTACTTTGTTTCAGGTTCGGTTTTTGCTTGATTTTATGACACCCCTTTTAATTCTCTCTCATGTTCAGTTTGAACTCCTTAACGCGCAGCCTAATGCAGGGCTGTCAGCCATCGATCCTGATTTTCACCACTCGACAACGGAAGCTTCGGCACCCGCGTCTACCTCTGACATGTCGACCAGAGGACCGTCAACTCCAGCAACTCTACTTCTCACAGAAGAGCTTGTCGTTACCTCACATGCAAGGCCTATTCCTAATCATTGCCCATCAACTCGGCCTCCCTCTACTTCCCCTCTTGCATCACCCCTATCGCCTGTCCCTTCTCCGAGGCCCAACCCTGCTGTGTCACATATTGGCACATCCAGGAAGCGCATGTTAGATGAATTTCGAATCAACAGCGATAGCCAGCTCGAATCGGACACCCCCAGCCCCTCAAACCGTCGGAAATGAGTTGAGCAGCGTTTGCAATGCAAGATTGGCAAGAGCGCAGTATGTTGTGAATGTTTACATGATGTAGTTCGCCGCTTGTTAACACAATGTTGTCTCTAAGTACATGCGACCGTTTTACAGTCTAATGCAGACCTTCATTGAGAGTTCTCGGGCCTCTTGAGTAGTAACACGCTCCAAAATCCTGCTCACAGTGCCAGGTTGGTCCACAAGAGCATGACTGCAGTTCGTATGATGATTGGGCAGTATGTTTTGCTTTCTGTGTCAATCTATGGTACTGTCATAGTTTTACATCCCTTCGCATAATTCCAATTTTTCTCCTTAACATACAGGTACGATTTGCCCATCTTATGTATGGTAATTCGTAGCTAGCAATAGCACGTCTCTAGGCCGAGTACATGCTCTATATGTGGCTGCCAGTTTTCGTGGTAACAAGAAAGAAATCTGATTTAATGCTATCTTATTTATACATCTCAGGCTCCTGACTTTTTTAGAGCACAGCACCCCTTAATCTATCTCAACACGAGGGACTAGTTTGCCCTTGACACAATCGTCACCCGAGGGACTTATTCCTCAAAGTATTCGAATTCGAAAGTCTACTGATATTCCCTGAGACATGCCACCGCGCACTCCACATCGAGCTGCCCATCTTATCTCTTCCGGATCCCACTCAAGAAGTCCACTAACCCCAATCATCCCAATAGCTCAAGACCTCTCACTCCCAGTCGTACAATCACAGGATCGATCTTTGCAGTTCCATTCCTCGCCATCCCAGCCTGCAGATGCATCAAGTACATGCGCTCTATCCTTTTGATATCAATTTGTCACGTCCTCACTTCTTGATCTCACGTGCCACAAAAAGGTGTGGTTTCAGAACAGGTATGTCACCCTCTCTTCTCATTTTTTTGTAATCCAATTCATTTATTCTCTCTCAGGCGTGGAAAGGACAAGGCTCTTCGTAACAGAGTTCAGGACTCCACTCAGCAGGATTCTCTTTCTGTTCACACTCCTCAAAAATCTCAGTCTTCCAGGGACATCTCCCCCAATGACTCTTTCAATTCTTCCACCCCGACCGAAAAAAACCATGCACCCTGCAGAGGATCAACCGCTTTTACCGGAGCCACACCCAGTGGAGCGTTTGCCCATAGTTGGAAGTCCTTACAAAGTTTTCATTTTCTCTTCCTGCCCATAAACCAGCCATGCCTACCGAAATTCCCCTCATGTTCGCCATTCACCAGCAGACTTGACTTGGCAGGATAACGATGACCTTCTAAACGCACGCAGAGGGTCGCTGCCAATCATCATGTCCATGCCAGTACAGATGCCAACCAGTCGTCTACCCACTCCCCAGATAGACGCAAGTCTATGGACGTCGGTCTTATGCATCATCCGTTCGCACGTGTTGCAAAGGAGAAGAATGACGCAATATTTTTCTGGCCGCCCATATTCTCCTGCAGGGTCAAGTCAGTCCATGGCCCGTCCACCGTCCGGCCTAGGTGGGCCAAGCATACATGCAACAAGTTACGGCTCTTCTGCTTCCTACAGCCCTTACCCCTGCCCTTCTTTGGCTCATAGAGCATCAGAGATGTCTTTACCCCTTCTCGCCCCTCCCTTGTATTGGAAATTCGTCCATCATTTCTGTCCTCGTACGTGCCACAGACAACCGCTTTACAATGAGCTCCAGAGCACTTCCATCGCCTATTCCTGAACCCCTATCAAAGCCTGATTTCTAGTTTGGCGCTCCGACATCTGCGTCGCCTCCGCATGTCTCACCAGATGCAAAATCCCCCGGGAATATGCACGCATGGGCATTTCCTCGTAACGAGGCAGATCAGGACACGGAGGACTTGTACAGTTCTACTGGATTATCTAGTGGCTTGATTGCTAGCATCTGTGGGAGCGACACCAGCGCGACCAGCTCGATTGTTCAGACGTCAGTAGCTGTGTTGGCGTCGATCTTTTCGATCCGAGTGGCAGGAGAGGGACTTGATACGGTGCGCTTTTATAATCAATATGTTCGTCCCTTGATTTTTTTTACGTTACAGTGGATCCAACCTCGAGACGTCCATGTCCGATCTGAACATGCAGTCCAGCCAGGGATAGCTCAACGAGGCTCACTTAAATGTCGCGACTTCGTCTTTGTTTGCCTACCAACACAGGGAAAACCTGTTATCACAGGAACCAGGGTATTCCTCGGCTTCCACTATTTTTCCCGGTGGAAGCCCGCAGGTAAGGACCCTGGTCCTTTGGGTCTGCGAACGAGCGAGGCTTTGCTTGGATACAATCCTGTATTTACCTTGAATGTTTCTGACGAGATGCTGACGTGTTTCTGCGCAGCTCCCACCTGAAACTAGCGCCGCCGACACCTATCTAGGTCCCATGGAGCCTGCCATAGCAGGCCGCAAGCTCAGTATACTTACCAGAAGGAGTGCCGCACGATCATACCCGGAACAACATCGAGCACAACTCCTCATACCAAACACCCGTAGACACAACGTCCCTGTCCAATGCCCAGAAATCCAGCAATGCTCACAAACAGGAAACCATCTGCCATTCTCGCGGGACAGTACGTTTCCTCACACGGAGGCCTCATACGCCCAACCTGGGTTGCAATAAGCCGTTTTGGCATAATGTCTTTGGGGATCGACAGGGTCGCGTCGCAGAGGTGATGGCCGTCATGGCCAGCTTTAAGATGGAGAAGTTGAAACGAAGGCTGATCGAGATTCAAATCTGACTCTTGCCTACATCCCAATCTTAGAAAAAGATTGATATTTGGTTTAAGCAGCGACGTATCGGATGAAGCTCGTAGATATAGATAATCATGATCAATTACAGTAAGTTTATAACAAGAGATCAAACGATCATAACTGCAGGACTTGGTCGGAGCTTCGTCCCAGGCGTCCCAGGGAAAGGTGTCATCATCGATATCGTAGGGTGAAAGATAGTCTGATTGCCGGGTAGACCTAAAGGCAGTTCTCCACCTCTCCCTGTCACCTGTCCATCATCAAACGGTGAAGTTGTACTCAAAGATTTTTTTTTTTTTTTTTTGGATCCTTGTTTATTGTCCTGTGGGGCGGGGCCCTATGGTGGACACTACCTACAATATCGTACGTTGCTAAATATATATCGTGACTCTGGTGTGTCGGTGCTAATCAATGGTCCGTGCGTGAGCAGGGACAGTGACACCGTCTCAAGGCGTTGAAATATTGTGTTTTTGCGTGCGCTTCTCCTCTTCTCTAGCTGCTCCCTCTTTCCTTCTTCCTCATTTCTTCTCCTCTGGGGGGGGTGACGTCTCCGAAAGCCTGTTCCATTCTTCTTGTGCGCGCGATGTATTTGAGTGTCGCTCTGATTCCTTTGCTTTCGCTTAGAAGATATTTGATGTGGAGCTGGCACGGTGTCTGTCACAACCCTTTAAACGAATTAACGCTGGGGCAGAGACTAGGACTCGAACGAAGGTTATCTAACAGAGAAGAGAGGATAGCAGGAACGTCTTAGGATTGCTAGCAGTAAGCTAATACAAAAGAGGTTTGAACTGAAGAACTACTGACTACAACGAGCTACCTATATACATATATTGAAGCGGAGACCGAATCTGAATCTGAACTAACTAACCAATCATTAAATAGAAAAGGGAATCGTACGATGTTCTAAATATAACTACACTATGATGTCATGGAACGTGTGATGGCTGTGCAAGGGTTCTGGAAGGTTCTGGAGTCACGTGATTTAATCGCTTGAGTAAGGAAGTCAAAATCAGGAACGTCGGAAATAGAAGTAGTGGGCGCTAACGGAATACAGAAGTTGGGGTTAGGGTTTGTAAAGGTTATAGGTACAGACGCTGACTGAGCGCTACGACGGGCGCTTGTGATGGGCGCTTAACGGGTGTCTTACGAGTGTTTAAGAAAGAATAATGGTTTGTATTTGGAATTCGTGACAGTGTCTTAATAACCGAGGGTCTTATATAAATATGTGTAAGAATGTAATGACACCACAATTACACTGGATAAGACTTCTTGCCAGTCCTCGATTAACACGGTCTACGACTTTTCTTCTTTCGTGGTAGATAACGTGTGAGTTCTTGGGAGGCTCGCTAAACCAATCAGTCAGATTAACTTAGCCGGAGCTTTATTATCTCTGATTGAAACTATGGGATTGTCTAGGATATACCGTCTAGACACTTGAACTGGTTTCCTGAATATATGGTTAACTGTTGAGAAGCTGGTCTCAAATGTGACTACATGGACCAAAGCTCGTGTTGGTCAATATACAAATACCTGGTGAGAACGCTGGTCTCACAAATAACAACAATGACAAATAAAAAAAACAATGACAAATAACAACAATGACCAAAGCTCGTGTTGGTCAGTATACAAATACCTGGTGAGAACGCTGGTCTCACAAATAACAACGGTGACCAAAGCTCGTGTTGGTCAGTAAACACTACGTGGTGAGAACACTGGTCTCACAAAACTGGGTTTTCTATCGCGAGAAACTTACGTAATCTCAAGGGAAACACTTTCCCTGCACTTGCCTGGACAGTTCTTACAAAGGAAATGGGCTTTGTAAGCAGCAATTTGTTCAGACTGAAGCTTCTTAGGTGAGAGTTCAATTTGCTCAAGTGGGAGTTCTTGAATGCAACAAGTAGGAGATCTATTTTTTGGGGGAGAATGGGCTCTCCTTATATACATTTTGTGTGGGAATATTATGTAAGTAAAAGGTGATGTAATGACTTCAAAATGTGAGAAGAATATTCCAAAAACTGGAGCAGAATGTTCTAGCAGGTGCAAAAGAACATTCCAGAATATTCATGGTGGGATAATGACATCATTCTGAGTCACTATGAGTCACTATGAGTCATTATGAGTCATTGGAATGTTCTAGCAAATTCCATGGAACATGACATCATTATGACATCACTATGATATCATATCTTTCAACCAAAATACCTGCAGGAGTGTAGGTGAAGTCCTATGACATCATTATGACATCATACCCTGTAGGTACAATTTTATGAAGCATCTGATTAGTCAGAGCATCCTAATAGAAAAGTAAAGTAAAGAAACACTAGAGAAAACAACTCAGAAATAATGGAACAAATAATAGTACACAATACGCGGGCTTTTTAGATAGGTTTTTGTTAGGCTTTGAACTTTTCTCTATGGGTTTCTCTAGCCAAAGTGAATAAACCAAATGAAAGGCAATACATTAACCTTCATTTTGCTTCTCATATCAACTAGGTCATTATGTGATTCCCATCTCACATATGACTTTTCTTCAAAACATGGTGGATTCATGAATCACTGAGGGAAAACTGAAACTATTGGACCAAGGTTTGATACCAAGGTATGGGTTGACTAGTCTGAGGACTAAGCTAACAGACTTTGTCTTTTAGGGGGATACCTAGTAGTCATGTCCATGCATGATTCCCAAATCATGCAGGACAGCGGCCACCATCTTCAAATGGAAAAGACCGGGGACAAAGACAACATGTTGTAAACGGTCCCATGGTGTGTTTTCAATTCCTTGACGCTGCTGCGCAGACTGAAGGCGTTCCCCCGTCCCAAGGTCACCATGAAATAGAACTATGTACTCTGAGATGTCGGGCATCCCTGGATCATCGACGGCTGCAGGATCTCCGATTCCACCCTGCTCGAGCAGGTTAACGACACTTTGTATATTGCCTGTAACGGTGGAATTACTGACATCCATTGCAGATGTAGCAATGATTGGCGTTTTGATGACAGGGATGGCTTCAATGGCCTCGGGTTCGTGAAGTTGGTTATGGAATTGAGAAAAGTATGGAGGGCCGTATGAGACGAGGTCCAAGAGAAACTTCCACGAATTAAATCTATTGCGACGGGTAAGATCTGCTTCATCTGGTGTGTCCTTGTGAAGACTGAGCAGATCTGTCCATCCCTTCTTTGGTGGCAGTTCTGCTTGGGTATTAAACGGCGACAGCTTCCACAATTCTTCAGAACACCTAAGGTCTTCCTTGGAGATGTTGTGCTGCAGTGGGAACATCAGGCCTGATGTTAGATGCTTGAGTGATTCCGTCGAATTTTCAATTGTGTGCTGATGGGTTTTCAGGTCTACATCAAAGTTATCATATGCATATGCTGCGAGAAGTGACCGTCCGAGCGACTGGAGGTGTTGGTGAGTTTGCACTGATAATGATTTTGTTGCGGCCTGAATAGCGTTTGCAGACACCGATACACCTATCCGTTCCAGCGTTTCGATAACTTTGTGTGGTGTGTGCGTTGATTGTAAGAACATCCCAAGCAGACTTTGAAAGGTATTTGATCACTGATTTGTACTTCTCATCATAATGCTCAGAACGGTGATTTTTTTCTTAATCACATGTAGCGATGTCAGTAATATTGATTTGACAGGCAGCGAAATAACACATGAGCAAGATCTTTGCTGTCCGTTTCGTTTGCAGTTTTGTTCTATCAAATTCCGTGTTGTTGGTAAGCCTCAATATCAATGATCCCTCAAGATCCCCTTCCCCAATCTCCTCCCAGTAAGCTTCTTCATCACTATCAATATTCTCCATGATGACATCACCATCATGATCCCTCCCGATGGCTACTTTAGATCATGTTCCCCCGGACAGCATGCTCTCGAGTAAGTCCCATGTTGCTGGTGCAGATTTCTCCATGATTCTGGCTAACTCAGCCACCCTAAAATCCTCTAGTTGCTCCACCGTGGTGTGCGTTACATCAAAATGAGTTCCGTTATCCTTAGCAGCGAGGTTATGGATTTCTCGTGCACAAATCTCCTTCGCGATATCAGTAGCCCATTTGGACGCGGTACTTGTAGCTCGTTTCACAAAAGCATTAAGAATTTCACGCCCATTAGACAGGATATCTTTTACAGCTGGATGAGCGCTATGTTTTTCACTTGAGAGAAGCACCAGTATAAATTCTGATGCAGAAATGCCGACGCGCTGCAGGGTTTCAAGAACGTCGTCCACCGAGGTTGCCGACATATTGATATACACATATACATTATATTTATTAGCGATACAATATATTTAATTCAATTCCCGCTGACTCTTCTGGGTTTTGCCACTGTGGCTGCCCTTGTTGACAAATGTTTTGTCCAGCCGTTGTAGGAGAGGTTGGGGGGATAAGGTTTGGCTGGGTTTGAAAGACTTGCGCATGTTTCCGCTTTACACTACCGCACTCGGATGTCGCCCCCTTCCTCTCCGGCAAGGGGTGGGTAGGAGCCTGTAGAACTCATCTCTGGCTAGCTCTATGTTTTGTAGCGCAGAGTCACTGAACTTGACCAATGCAATCGATCACAATTATAATCTACATAGGGGATCACACAACAGCGTGGCGCTCACCTCTGGGCACTACCGACGTGCTAGGCTGGCTGTGCAGTAGTGACCCCACAACAGCCTCATGTCCTCCTGCAAGCGCCGGACGGCAAGCGCCTATTACTTGTCCTTCCATCCAGCGAGCTTTCCATAGCACAATAGAGTGAAACATCCATCCGTTCATCCCATCTTCATCACGCTTTGCACTGTCTATCAATCGACAGCTGGATCGTTCCGCGACCAAATCACAACTTACAAGCTTTCAAGTTGATTCAAATCATCGTACGTCGTCCCTCCAGATAACTATCGCCAAGATTATTTCTAACCACAACCCTCGAACCCAGCTAGTACTTTCAATTGGTTCAGTGAATCTTACATATCACAACCTCGTCAATGAGTGACGAGCAAAGCCAGTACTTCAATTTCTTATCTCTCGCATGCTCTCTGACCTCTTTGACAGTCCTTCAAGGAATTTGGGCGAAGCTGTCCGATGTCGCTGTCAAGGGTGCTCAATATAACTCCCGTGAACGTCAGCCCCACCCAAAGTGTCTGCAAGGGACCCGGGTGGATCTCCTCAAATACATCCACGGATTCCTGGACGACACAGAGAAGAATCAGCTCGTTTGGCTGCATGGCACCGCAGGGGTCGGAAAGTCTGCTGTCGCGTTCACAGTAGCTGAGAGGATGAGAGGTCTAAAAGTGACCGAAGAGACGAACGTCGAAAAGCGGCTGGCGGGGACGTTCTTTTTCTCGCGCAAGCACACCAAACGCTGCACGGCTGGATATTTCTTCGCGACACTTGTCTACCAGCTTGCTACCAATTTCCCCAGCATCCGGAAGGATGTGAACAGAACCATCCGCGACAATCCCGCTCTACTAGACCCAGACACACCTATCTGCGACCAGATGGAGGCTCTGTTTCTCCAACCCTCCGGAAACTTCGACTCAGGTTGCGCGGATGTCCGCCTTTGTTGTTTGTCGTCGATGCGCTTGATGAATGCACATCCGAACCAGAGCTTATCGATCTCATCCTTTCCCTTGCACGGGCTCTTCGTGAGCCTGATCTTCCCGTGACCCACATTCTGCTTACGAGTCGCTCGGAATCGCATATCTGTAAAGCGTTTCAGAACGAAGAGGTGCGCCCGCTGGTGTGCGAGATACCAGTGAAAACTTCTGGGGAGGGCCCTGCTACCATCATCTCGCTAGACGGTGCCGATGTCGACAATGACATCTATATATTTTTGAAGCATTCATTCAGAGAGCTGCAATGCCGCCACCCCGATTTCCCGCAGCCATCGGGGGGTGACTTTGCGAAGCTGGCGAGCCGAGCTGGCAGACGTTTCATCGTGGCGTCTACGATGATGAAGTTTATTGTCGACGATGGATACAAGGATCCCAGCGATCGGTTACAGCTGATACTCGAACTGACGAGCGAGCTGCTAGCAGGAACGGAGGTGTACAAGTTATACGACCGTATACTCTCCACATGTGGCGATCCCAAGCGGGCATACCTGCACTTGTCCATTGTAGCTGCACTTGCTGATCCTCTGCCGCTGTCACAAATCTCGAAACTTCTTGGCCCTGGTCAGGGCTGTGATTCCGAGGCAACGCTAGTGCAGCTACGGTCTGTCTTGGATATTCCTACCGACACCAGTTTCCTCCCCGTGAATGTATATCACTCGTCGATTCGTGACTATGTCTCCGACCCGTCAAACTGCAGCCTCCCTGAAGTGCACGATATGCCATCACCCCATTCACTACTCGCTGATTCCTCTCTGCGCTTGATGATGAAAGAGATGCCTGAAAGCACAGACCTCTTGGATGCGCTCTTAGAACTGAAGAAGGAAAGCCGAGCCATACAACCTGAGGACCCCAAAAAGTTAAAAGACTCATTAGCGTTCCTCGTTCAGCCACCGGAGCCACTGTCGGTCCTTATCGGTATACTGTGGCTTCGGGGAGACCGCACTTCAGATTTACAATTTTGGCTGGGGACCGAGAATGGGAGTGCCTGGCTGGGGACCGACGGTGGGTGTGTCTGGCTGGGGACCAAGGATGGGTTTGCCTGGCTGGGGACTAAGGGCGGGATTGCTTGGCTGCAGACGCATGCAGGGTATGACTGGCTGTGCACCAAGGGAGGAGAAAGGTGGTGGAAGACCCAGGAAGGACAAGACTGGCTGCAGACCAATGGAGGATTAGACTTCAATGAAACCTTCGTGTTGCAATGTTGTATCGCCCTGCAAAAGCACCCAAGAAGTGCTAGATGACCGACCGCAGACCTGGACGGTACATGACTGGCTGGGAGTACGCGTCTGGCTGCAGAGCCTGGGAAGACGAGTCTGGCTGCAGACCCAGCGAGGACGAGGTTTGGCTGCAGACCTGGGGAGGACGAGACTGGCTGCAGACCCAGAGAGCGCAAGACTGGCTGCAGACCCGGCGAGGACGAGACTGGCTGCAGACTCAGGGAGCACAAGACTGGCTGCAGACCCGGGGAGGACGAGACTGGCTGCAGACCCAGAGAGCGCAAGACTGGCTGCAGACCCAGCGAGGACGAGACTGGCTGCAGACCCAGCGAGCACAAGACTGGCTGCAGACCCAGCGAGGACGAGACTGGCTGCAGACTCAGGAAGCACAAGACTGGCTGCAGACCCGGGGAGGACGAGACTGGCTGCAGACCCAGCGAGGACGAAATTGGCTGCAGACCCAGGGAGGGCGAGACTGGCTGCAGACCCGGGGAGCACGAGATTGGCTGCAGGACCCGGGGAGCACGAGACTGGCTGCAGATCCAGCGAGGACGAGACTGGCTACAGACCCGGGGGAGCGCAAGACTGGCTGCAAACTCAAGGAGGACGAGACTGGCTGCAGACCCAGAGAGCGCAAGACTGGCTGCAGATCCAGCGAGGACGAGACTGGCTGCAGACCACAGGGAGGACGAGAGTGGCTGCAGACACAGGGAGGACAAGACTGGCTGCAAACGCCCCATGGCCAAGCGTGGCAAACCACTCCCGCAGCATCTTTCTGGGTGATTATGGAAGAATTCTCAAGTACATTGGGAGCATTCAACGAATACACAATCGTTCCAGAATTTCCTTTATCCTTCCAAGTTATCCAGCAGTTCAAAACCTTGCCAGATTTCTTAATGTTGCCGGCGTTCCTGGCGTTAAGCCACCAGCATCACTCCGCCTCTGCATTACCAATATATCGTCTGCAAAACAGGGAGATCATCCATGCTATGAACGCCTTCACGACTTTCGCACACAAAGTGCAGCAAAAAAGTCGATTATCTTCCGATGCTCTCAAATACGCCTGCCAAAATTGGACCAACCATCTCTCGTGTGCTCCAAATCCATGGGATGACGCGCTCAACTGTAAATTCCATACTTTCTGGAATTGTCACCTCCTTTCCTGGCTCGAACGTCAGTGGTGTTTGAAGGGTCTGCGGTCTTGCCTTGATATTTTATTTGAAGGGCAGAAACTCGCGAAGGTATGCATTTTCCTAATATTTCTCAATTCACCCACCCAAATGTCCGACCGCAAGCTGATGTTACCTTGTTTTTCTTTTCTATTTTATGAAACCCCTTGTAATTCCTTCTCATCCTCAGCGTTAACCCGTCAACATGCAGCCCAATGAAGGGCGGCAACGGAAGCTTCGGCACCAATGTCCATCTACCAGTAGTTCTCTCCAGCTTCTTGAATAGTGATACGTTCTAAATTCCTGTTCACTTGTTCCACGATAGCATAACTATACTTAGTCTGATGACTGTGTAGAGAAGTATCTTCGCATTTGCTTTTGTTACGCTCTGTATCATTTTACAGTAGTCTTATAGTTTTACACCAGCAGAACAGCCTTCGCATATTTTAAGCTCTCCTCAATACGTAGCACCACCAGCGCTGTAACGGACAAATTTCTGTACTTTACTGTCCTAGACCTAACATTTATATCTTGCATCCAATTTCTACTCAGACTCTTTCATTACTGGCAGCCGGCACCGCTAAACGTTCGTAGGTATAACCTATCATATTCAATGGCCACGCCACCAAAACCAGCGATTACACACTGGATATACCGTATCAAATTCAGTGGCTCTCTCTATTAGCTTTCAGTGTTTTATCCTACTCAAATTCATGGGCTTCTCTTTCAACAGTGTTCACCGCCTGGGCATGCCCCTACCCCTGCCCCGGAGAGCACGAGCTGCTGCACCAGGTGGTGCTTTTGGCCCTGGGTTTTGCTAAAAAGACTTCCTCAGTTTTGTAAGGAGAAAGACAAGAGCCTACATACCGCCTCGCTTTGTGGATTTCTCACTGTCTCGTCAACACTGAGGATGAGGCATGCGGCCTCGGTTGCACTGCTGATTGCGTTCAACTTGACGAGCGGAGGCTCCCAAACGAATGCCTCCATGTTGTCGCGGACACCTTCCGGACCGTCGACGTCTACTCCGAACCATTTGTTACCAGCGGCATGTCGCATGCGCAGTTTGTTAAGAATGTCAGTAGAGTCCAGACCGGCATTGTCACAGATTTGCCGAGGAATGATTTCTAGTGCTTTTGCAAAAGCAGTCAAGATCAGTTGTTGCTTCCCAGGAATGGACAGCGCATGCTTCCGAATGTGCGCGGATACATCCATCTGATTCAAAAAGTTAGAGAGGAGATCATAACAGAACAATGAGCGGTGAGTTACCTCGACAGCCCCGCCTCCGGCCACCACCTCACCATTACGGATTGCTCGCTTAACGACCATGACGGCGTCATGTAGACTACGTTCCACTTCTTCGATGAACTGTTCTGCGCCACCACGAAGAAGTAGCGTGCATGTCTGTGCTTTAGGGCACTCCTCGAAGATGTTATACCGTTCGCCACCAACCTGACGCTCTTCGAATCGACCGCAAGTACCGAGATGCTCTCGAGCTATGTCTGAGCATGTTGACTGCACGGAGCCTCCTACTGCTTGACATACTCTGCGGAGATCAGCAGCAGGCACACGACCAGCGCAGAAGATGTCCCGGTCGGCGAACCACTGAGTGGCCAGATCTCCGATTGGCAATTTACTCAACACCACTTTGGCACCAGTCTTCTCGATCGCTTCCAGCTTCCTGTAAATGATCTCCCACTCTGCATCAACGATCGCCTGGTAATCCTTCACCGCCTCCACTCGAACCTCGGCATTGTCCTTCTCAGCTTTCAACTCAAGCTCCACGTTCAAGCTGAGAATGAGAGGGTCCCGGAAGGACTTGGGCTGTTGCTCAGCACCTGCATACGTGAAAGTTTTTTTGAAAGCAACGCCACGGATCAACAGAGAGTCTTGCATGCCACCCCCTGGAATCTTTTTCACTCCGATGAGTGACTCGTCCAAGTCGTTTGGATCCAGGCTCTGAACAGCGTCAACGACCATGTTCGAGAAGAATGGTTTTTCCGAATGGATCAATTTTGACGACATCGACGTCGCTGCGCATTTGAGTAGAAGAGATCGGAATTGCCTGAAGAAGTGTTAGGGACTGTCGTTCAAAAAGGCGGAGACATACTCAGGATCAGACTTGTCAACACTAATCTGAATTGCCTTGATGCGCTCTGCAGCCTATTAATTGTTGATATTATCATTTTCAGATGATATCGCTGAGCAACATGTGTTACGTACCAGTTGTGACGCCTTCCTGAATCCCTTCATGATTATGTGCGGGCTCACACCCTCTTCGATGTATCCACGAACTTCTTTGAGGAACTGTGCAGCCAAAAGTACTACACTTGTGGTTCCATCACCGACTTCTGCATCCTGGGCACGTGCGATGTCGACGAGGGTCCTTGCAGCCGGATGAACAATGTCAAGAAGCTTCAAGATCGTCGCGCCGTCATTGGTGATCTGTGCTTCGCCACGTTCATTCACGATCAGTTTGTCCATTCCACGCGGACCAAGCGTGCTGGAGAGTGTCTCGGATATGGCAAGGCACGCGGATATGTTAGACAAAAGCTGAGGATTTCCTTGAGACGTGTCTGTGCCCTCCCGAAGGAGCACGACAGTGGGTTGCTAAAATAAAGGATCGATCACGACGAATAATAGATACAGAAATGACGTACCATCGGTAGGCCGCGCTGCATTTTGTGTGGTACAGTAGATCGCGCAAGACGATGGCAAGAATCTCGACTAATCAACGACTTGCTAAATTTGTTTATGTCAGCAACTCCACCAAGTTGGAACGCAGAAAGCTTTTGATTTTACGGCCAAACAAAACTTGGACGTTGTCGCGTCGGACCTATATATATCATCCTCGAGCACCGCCGCGGTCGTCTCTCGTTTTCTACACAAAGAAACTTTCAACCTCGTGGTGGTCTTTTTTTCACAGGTTCTGACGATGAGGATGACGACCTGAATTCCACAACGGCTCAGATTGGGGTATCAGTGCAGCCAGCATCTCACCAACTAGCTCTGCCATCGGGTTCACCTTACTCCCCATACAAGAAGCGTCTGTTCTTTGCCGATAGTGACGATGAAGATATTCCACATTTCCAAACTCCAAGGCCAATTGCGATTGATTCGGAATTTGTCATGAATGAATGATAACGAAAGCGACTTGGAGATACCCTCCTTTGAAGGGGTTCCTCGAGCTTCCAGCGTCAGTAGTATGTCATTAGGGCCTTCTCAGAAGTTCTTTGCTGGCATCAGGTCCTTCTGGTGAAGAACCACCAGTCAAGAAGAGGCGACTCTCACCTCCTTCCAAGGTTCAGGCGCGTACGGGACAAGTATCATTTGATCATCCTGCATACCTTGAATCATTCCTTGTCGGGAGTGCCTGGAGTACTGTCAGGGGCAAACGTTATATCAAACCAGGCGACACCATCCGGCATCTCAGTGGGAATGGGAAAACCCACTATGTTACCAGATCCTATTCTTCCTAACGATACCTCCAGGGATCTTGCACGCGCCCGTCAGCTGAAACTTGACAGTGCCTTTCGGTCAAGAACTCTGGAAGAAGCCTACCAAAGGCCCTTCTGCAACATTGGTTGTTGCTCCTACCTCACTGATCTCCCAGTGGCACGAGGAACTCTAGCGGTCGAGTGCACCAGGGACCCTTAAAGTCACTGTCTGGCATGGATAGAATAGGCAGGACTTGGATGGTATAGAAGATGATTCGATGGATAATGCATCTATCGCCGTGATTATTACATCCCACGGCGTACTCGCCTTTGAACACTCCAAATTCCTCAAGTCCGGTGGTCAATCTTCTATTTGTCCTAGGAATCAATGAAACTTCCTCGATTAATGGCTTGCGAAGTGGAGTGGTTATGAGTCATCTTGAATGAAGCTCATCACTGTAAGTCCAGGACAAGTAAGACCGCACGAGCTGTGTATGCTCTTCGTGCTAGACGTAGATGGGCCGTAACAGGTGACTACACTGGTGTTTTTCATAATCAAGATGCTAAATCACGATTAGGAACTCCCATTGTCAATAAACTCGAGGTCCTCGATGTGCTTCTGCGAGTAGCAAAAGTGTACTATGTAATAGTTTAGCTGATTTCGTGTCAGCCAATTCCTGGAGTATACACCATGGTCATTGTACTCGTCCTTTAGACTGGATAGTATTGTCCTCCTATAGGACATAAAAATTGAATTAAAAAAAGGTATATGAGATATTGTAACATGAAACCCTGAGATGTGAAATTGCTCCAGGAGACAAGATCCTTTAGCCGTAAGTGCTCTCCGTCTTGATCGCACCGCAAAATCGACATGACCAAAACTGGTGAGGTATGTCAGCCTCACCACACGTTATACAAGTCCATCCCATAGAAGGATCTCGATGACGCCCTCTTAAACACATACGTTGGTGTGTTTGTTGGTCGTTGACGAGTGTGCACACCGCACAAGCCCATTGTCCACCCATCAGCTGAGGTCTCGGCTGATTTGCGAGGAGGCATGGGGTCCTTGGCATTGCTTGGCTCTAGACTGTTTTTGATCCGGAAGTACTACCTTGTGGCCTCGATGGTCCGGCAGCAACACGTGATTGACTCGCAGTCAGTTGAAAGGATGGACAGTAAAGCATACTGCACACTGCAACACAATTGGCTCATTGTGGAATATGCACACAAGACAAGACCATAGTTCTGGAAGGGAATCGTCAGTAAGGTCGATGATGTCCTCGATGCTTTCCCTGGCTGCTCTCTCGGCTTCGCGCTAGGCAAGTGTACCCGACCCACACTCGATCTCATCACGGTTTCTACGCTCGGCAGCCTGCGAAGGGTAGTTTTTTCAGGAGACGCAAAACCTGTGCGGCCAGTTCACGAGGGTCCATGCCTTGCAGTGCAGTGATTCTGCGGCCTCCTAGCCTGCCGCCGCCGCCGAAAACACCATTTGCACAATGCCTCTTCTCGGCAGCCTCAAGAGCCTTGAGTCTAGCTAAGGGTAGCCAGAAGGTCCTCGAGTGCAGCTAGAAACTTGTAAAACAAATTCGTTATGAAGGCCATGGATATTATGGGTAAGTTATTGAAGTGTTATTAGCTATGACTTGAACACGTTGACGAAAGAATTTCTTGCTTCATGGAGCATGACCCGAACAACCTGATCTTCCTCATAAAAGCTGTCGGGAGCCCATGGAAGACGCAATCTCAGAAGAATCTGCTCTCCTCCGTTTACATCCGAATGTGTCAGCAAGCGCAATGAGCAGCTAATGTGTCCGACGCTCGCTCAACGTTCAACCCTGCATGATGGGTGACCCTATGAAGAAGCTTCAGGCGATGCTGGAAGGAACTTACCAACCAAATTAGGGTTTTTGGACGAAAATCCAGACAATAACGGCAAGAGCCAGCCATGTTTCCTCATGATAGGCTTTACTAGGGTGGCTACCCGTTGAAACATGGGCAAGGCTCGATCTGCCGCATGTGGGCGGTCTTTCGAGTGAGTAACTGATGTCACGAGAGTTTGCAACATGTATCCCGGAGTGACTGGAGATCGGCCAGCACACCGAGTCTATTGGCGAGGGCGGTCAAAGCTGGCTTGCGAAGCATGTTACTTGATTCAATGCTTGCACTGTTGTCAGAAATTCAGCCACGACCAACCTGAGCCATATATTGGATCACAGCAACCTGCTTCAGGTAGACACATTACAAAAGGGAGTTGAGCAGCGATATGTAACTTGAACCCACCTTTTCCTGCAATGACAATCGAGCGGGGAAACAGGAATGTCACGGGTGGCTGATTGGCGAATGAAACGAGCTTGTAGAGACGCACCGTGATAGTGCCTCTGCCTTTATACTCTGTCTGCACCATGTATTAAACGGACATCATGCCCTGGCTGCCAGAACACCCTCAGGTGGCTTGTACGACACTCTGACAGTGCACGACATTTCCCCATTGCTATGACTGCCTAATATCGGGTATTTGATGGTCCCAAGCCAATTATGTACTGCTGCAATGTTCTGTTGGAAGAACGGGATGTGAATTTATTTGGTAGTGTGGGGATTTGAGCAAAGGACTAATCTTATTTCATCTTGAAGCACTTCTTTCTAGAATTCGAACTGTCTTAGAGCTTCTCAGACCCGATAATTCTTTGATTCTATTCCATTAGGAGCGGCAATGGGTGCACAGTATGCACTCATCGACGAGGGTCACGTTGCCCGCTGCATTTGAGGTCGCCGAGATAGATAATCTTGCTCTTCTCATAGGTAATCATCCAATCCATTGATTCATTCAGATCTAATGGACATCTAAAAGCTAATATGCTTGAACGATTGATCGCTCATAATGACAAGATCCCACTTCTACCGTATGTCACGCCCTACGTTCCATCTCATCTCCTTCATCTTTATTTCCAGCGAGAGCCTCACCCGATTTCACTCGAGAACCGTACCAAACATCAGCGTCCTCGATTATCTCCGACGCATAATCAAATGGACAAAAGTCGAGGTCCGTATCCATTAATATTCCTATCATCCATCCCAGCAGCTCACCATATCCCAGAAAGCATGCCTCCTCCTCACCCTACACTACGTCGACCAAATCTGCGCCCGCATGCCCCTCTTCACCCTCTCCTCCCTCACCTGCCACCGCTTCATCATCGCATCCATCACAGTCTGCAGTAAAGGCCTCTGCGACTCCTTCTGCACAAACGCCCTCTACGCCCGCGTAGGCGGCATCCCCGTCCCAGAACTAAACGTCCTCGAACGCGAATTCCTTCTTGCAATAGACTGGCGCTTAATGGTTCGCGAGATCCCCCCATCCCACCGTTTTCCTTCTCACATCCTGTTTTTTTTTGGCAGTGCACTCGAGAAGTCCTTCAGGAATATTACATCAACCTCATTAGGACGGATAGCTCGGGCCGCTTTGCATTGGAATCGGAGGTGGAGGATAGTGATATGGATACTAGTAGCGTCTCGTCTCGCTCGGCGTCCCCTATGGACACCCAAGTCCGCCATGGCCCGTCGTTTAGCCTCTTAGGCACCCGCGAGTCTTCGAGCGTTATGGGAGACACTTCGACGCTCCCTACTATCGAACAGAACATGGCGTTTGCTGCTTTGCAGCATTCGTTGAAGAAGCCCCCATAGGCATTAGGAGTTTGGCTTTTTTGTTCTGCGTACCGATGGCACGCACTCTCGGCGACAGTTTCGTCACCGGTCTTATCATCTCGCGTCATAGATTGACATTTAGTAGTCATCCACCGGCACGCGTCAACTTTCACCCCCCTCTCACGCTCCTTTCCCTCGGCGTTTTCCCAAGTTTTCCTTGTCCTGCATACATACATATACACGTGGCGCACAAAAAAATCATCGAATTGTAACCACCGCAAAACATAGCATACAAGGATGACCGAAATTCAATGAATGACTGTGTGAAAACAAGTACACGTACTGTAACGAACGGCAAGGTGAATTTACGTTTCCCGCAATTCTTCTCAAAAAAGGAATCTATAGTAATGGTAATGGTGTAATACAGTCCGAGAGCAAATTGGAATGAGCGTAGTTGGTTGAGTTTGGGTTTTCTGGAACAAAGTAATGAAAAATGCGATGGTTTGGTTATGGTTTTCACAAGTTTGAAGTTTGCGCCGATGAATTGAGTTTGGGTTTGAGATGATTATGGACAGATAAGAAGCAGCAGCACACAATATGCACAACGGCTATGGAGCCTGCATCCCAAAGACCAGCATGAGTGGATGGATTACAACAATAAAAAAGGCTGGTGTTCGCACCGTAAGTAGTTGGGTAACATACAATACATCGACCGCCTCCACAGCACCTACAGGCCATAAGCCATCTAACAAGAACAACAAAAACACACACACACTTCCGACTTTCACAACGTACACCTCAACGCCTCAAAGCAGAGAGCATCTTCGCCAGCGCATTGATCTGGCCCTTCTGCACCTTCTTCGGCGTCTCCTCCTCACCCCCAACACCCCCCAAATCAGTCGTACTAGTAGCAGCATCCCTCACAGGCGCAGGCCTCTCGCTAATCGTGTCCAACTTCGATTTCCTCGTCCGCGCTTTCCGCTGGGGGGGCTGTCCGAATATATCGCCTACGGGATTAGGATGGAGCTGTCGTGGAAGCTCGTCGAGTTCCCATGGGACGCCGTTCATGACTATTACCGAACCACGTCAACATCGTATCTACACAAAAGTAAAAGTGAAAGGGACGTACTTTTGACATTCTTCGGAACCTGCGCCGCAGCCTGCGCCCCATTCCTCCAACTCCCGCTACTCACACTCGTGGCAGTCGTTGATACACTCCTCACGCTTGAATTGCTGTACCGTGTGAATGTAGAGGTGCTCGTGCTTGCACTGCTCATTGAGCTTCGCCAGTTGCTGCTACGGACGCTGCCTGGCGGTGAATGACCTCTCACGCTCCCGTTTGCGTTGCCGTTGACGTTGGAATTGCCATTGCCGATGATGGAAGGAGCAGTGGTGGAAAACGCAGTGCTAAACGTAGACGAACCAGGTCTCCGTCCGCGTGCCCACGTACCCGCCTCATCCGCCGGACTCCGCTGTCTCGTAAGCGGCGTGTGCACACCACTCCCATTCACACTGGCGCTCGAGTTGACATTAATACTGCCATGCGAAATATACGGTGAGGGTTTGGGACCGTTGCTTGGATTCGGTGCAGGCTGGGAGAGCCCCATGATGAGATTGGTGACGTTGCTCGCAGTGCCCGTCGTCGGTGCCTCTTCCGTGGGCGTAGGCGTGGATATAATAGTCTTGCCGCTTCCGAAACCCAACTTCCACTTGCTCGGCTTCTTCACAACCACAGGCCTCGGCGCTTCCGTCTCAGCGGCAGGCCTCGTAACACTCGAAGTATGACTCGCATTCCTGTCCAAATCAACGATCCCAAGCGACGAGCGGCTCGCACCACGACTCGCAAGACTGATTTCCCGTGCCAAGCTCTGCGAAGCAACAGCAAGCGTCTGGAGTGTCTCGTCAGTCGTCGTTTTCTGCCCTGCTTTTCGCGACCCGCGCTTTCCCCGTTTCTTGGTCGACCGCGATCGACCGTCATCTTCGTTGTGCTCGTCTTGGCGCTCACGAGAGAGATCTTCGGGCTCTTCGACGAGGACACCACCGACGCTTGGAGCTCTGCTCAACGACCTGCTGCATACGAGTGGGGTACGCAGTGCTGCACGGGAGGAGGGGCGGCGCGAGGGCGGGCATGAGGAGAGGGGGTGGCCGACTGTTGATGAGGCTGTGCTGAGGACACGCTTGTGGCCTCTGTGGGAGGGCTCACGGTCGCAAAGGAGGGCAGGGAGGTCCTTGATCCATGCACCGAATTCACGGGCGGTAACAGGTATGTGGTTGGCGTCGAATGGAGGGAGGACGAATACGCGCTGGGTGAGGAACTCGGCGACGGGCCAGGTCATGCCCGTAAAGCGCTGCATGAAAAAGTGGGCGCCATGTGCGCGGAAAAGGGAAAAAGAGGAACAGGTGCCGTCAGAGGTGTCTGTCCATGGATTATAGTGGTATAACCTGACACCAAGATTAGAAATTATTTATCAACGAACAAGAAACATACATGTTGATCAAAACGATACCAAGACTCCAGACGTCACTCCTCTCGGGGCTGTAGGTTGGAGCTACATTATTACGGCACTCGAAGCTCATGTAGGGTGCGCTGCCACAGTCCATGTCGGCGCTTTCAACCTCGTTTGTACTTAGGCCAAAGTCTGTGAGCTTGACTAGGACTTTGCGTTCCATGATGTCTGAAGAGGAAGAACGTGCGTATCCGTCTGTGACGATAAAGTTTTTCTGGCTTGATATCGCGGTGGAAGACACGCTGGTCATGGCATGCGGCGACTGCATCGCACATTTGGGCGAACATGCTTGCGATGAGTCTAAGACGGGTATGGCTTAGTAATGCAGAAGGGTGTAGAGTGGCGAGAAGAGAGGGAGTAGGAGGAGTCTTGCTCTCTGCGCTCTCATCTGGGGCATAATGATCGCGTGCTTGCTCAAGGAAATAAAAGAGATCTTCGCCAGGAACAAACTCCAAGACAAGCAAGAGAAAGGCATCAGTCTCGAGTGTACGATGGAGTGTGACGATGTTTGGATGTGGGGAGAGGGATTGATGGATTGTGACTTCGGTGAGCTGTGCTGTGAGAGCGTCGGAATCGAGGTTTGCCTTTGAGAGGACTTTGAGAGCAAAGTGTCTGCCATAGACGATAGGTGGAGGAGATGGATCGAGGTCGAGGACGCCGACATGGCCGTCGTCGCTGATGGGGGTGCGGGAGATAACTTCACGAACGCGATAGACGACTGCATAACTGCCTGTTCCTAGTCTACGAACGACTTCGAATTCTTTTGCAGTGTTCATGTCTATTGGGGCGAGGACGCAAGGACGAACTGGTTCGCCCTGGAAGAAGTAGATCCTCGCCTACGAGGTCACCTGGAGACAAGACATCCTCTATGAGAGAGGATACTGAGGGAAGAGTTGGGCTTGGTGGTATGGGTGGGGATGGAATTGAAATTGGACTTGGGGGGGTTGGAATAGAAATTGGCAAAAGAGGCGGAAGCGAAGAAAGGTTGCTTGCGAAGTGGTTCTTTGGCGAAACGCCTGTTGAAAAGACGAGAATGTGCATGTGGGTAGTCATTATGGTGAGTTTGTGGAATATCTTTAGTACGATTCTGTTTATAAGGAAGAGGAAGGGGGATTGGTTGGGCGGAGTATTGCAACATGAGCTCGCGTAGTCGGGAAACGGAGAGATAGTTGTAACGCTTTCTTGGAACTACGAACGACGTCAATGAGGACTTTGAAAACGATATCGACTGCTTGTGGTTGCTGTCGCTTTCGTTGTCGTTGTCGTCGTTGTCGTCGGACTGCTCAGAGTCTTCAGAAACCTGCTGGACTTCTGAGAGTTTATTAGTGCATTCAACGTTGAGCGTCGTAGCAGAAAGGTCGATAGCGTATCTGTTCATAAGGATCGTGAGTTGGTTTAGAAGCAAAATAATCGAATCTCACGAGCATTAAAACCCGAAAGCCTCGAGGCAGAAAAGTGAACTTACGGAGGGATGGAAGGAAGAGCTCAAGTTACTTTGCAACGCCAAAGGGAAGGCTTGGTTTATACAGCCACGATACCCATGTGCTACTCTTCGGCCTTCTTTCCTTAATTGGTTAAGCCGCAGTTTAAAAACATTTAAAACAATTATACTAGCTAAGTAAAAAGTACTATTGGTATTACTTACAATTGACACGTATACCTGGTATTATCAGGTTCATCCAGGTTTCATCGTCGTGGCCTTCAACGTCGAGCTCATGTTATTTTACGTCGATTTATTAGTACCGTTTAGATCCACATGCTCACATACCATAATTAGTTTCAGACCATGTGTGTAGCCGTTGCCTCGTTGTAACACAATACTCGCTTCCGGGGTCCGGTTATACTACATCCTATCCTAGCGATCACTCCGGACTCCTTCTCACACCCTTACGGCTTCGTTATACCCCACATGCTGCGTACCCGCCCAGTGAGTACTAGCTAGGCGCATCACCGTCCACGCCATCCTGCTGGTACCTATTAGCAATGTTCTTATCTACTGACGTGGCAGAAATCAAATGAAATGGCACCTATTGTAATGCTAATATAGCAATGCCACCGCGCTTCAATACACATCGTGTATCACTGCATTTCATTCAACCTGCGTGAAACCTAGGCGGTATCTGATACCTTCATCTCGGCTGTGAAGACAACCGCTTTCACACATACATGTACTACTACATGTACAACTTGATCGATCACCATTAAACATTAGGTAGGAACCGCAGAGCTTCTGGTTCTGAGTCCTCATTTACGGGGGCACAGGGCATCTCCGCAGCAGCGCCTTTCAAAACAAAGAGATCCAGCACGATGGTTCCATCGGACCTGCACCGCAGTTAGTTCTGGTCTTGGACGCCGCAATACGCGACGTCATCTGCACTTCCATTCGATTACCTCGTAATAATATCATCGGACTCATTGGCCTGTTAATTCAGACTCCATGTCCGAACACGACCGACTCCTACGCTTGATCGATCCCAAAAAGGCCCGCTGTGTGTCACCGTTGGAGATGATGAAAATCTTTGCAAGGGTAGGAATGTTCTAGTGTGACAGTCAGAGCGATGCTACAAGTCGTATATAAGTGCAATTCACCATTGTAAAACCAAAGCAGCGCCTGTTATCGTTTTTAGAGTCGGGATCTATATCATCAGCAGACAGTATCAGTGTCCTGCTCCACAGGTCTCGTACTCTATCAGTATAGATCTTGGGCTCGGACGCCGCCGCCATCCGCACTTCAAAGTCCCATTAGATTGCCTGATTAACAGATCATCGGCGTCCTATTCGATTATTGCGTGTTAATATAGACTCCATGCATATGTCCGTCTTTCCGAACACGAACAATTCTTGGGCCTGATCCTGAAAGGGGGCTCCTTCTCATTCGATTCTCAAAGGCCCCTGCGTTTTGGTCGTCGCCGCATGTTAGATCTTTGGATATATCTGTAACTTGCCTGTACAAAACTAGAGCAGAACCCGTTTTCAAAGTAGATGGATTGTCTATTCACCTTTCAATATCCGTGATCTTGATTTCAAAGAGTCTCGAACTAGTAGTGTCCGGCTTAAAGATAGTTGATCTAACGACCCGCGGAGCTGCCGTCGATTGAAATAATCACGTCCGTTCAGAGAGCGCGAGAAAAGGGTACCTTCTAGTAGTCGTTATGTAGGATGGTTTTCGTTCCATAAACCATACTAAATGTATCTTATCGTGCCACCAGCGCCGGTACCGTAGTGTCGGAGCTGGCTTTAAGTTCATAGAGGTCACTAGAGCTACCTAGGGATATAATCCAAATAAGTAGGAGCCTGCGCAGCAATATCGATAGTCACTCTCACCATCACGACAGACTCGAACACGAAACATTGCGCCTCGTCGATTCCAGCCTGCTTATCCACTCAAGGCGTGGCCCATACCGCGCGCCGTTCCCAAATAGCAATAGCAGCAGGAGATGTATAATGATGATCCGGAAGACTGGGGGCCTGTTAGAAGACCGATTGGAAGCTAAAAATTGAGCCTGAGGGATCTAAACCTTCGAAACTCAGGGGAATCGAAGGTCAAACAGGGTCACGAGTGACTAGATAAACAGTAAAACATGTCATAGCAAATGACACACGCGGTACCGTAGGCCGATATAAATCAGTTTCATGTCATGGGTTGCACTAGCTAGAGCGAACGTTGTCAAAAATTGCAATCATAACTTCTGCCGTTATTGATTTATTGTATGGACCCTTGGGGAAGACGTGAGATGATCTCGTAACTGCATCATGGCACAATCGAATAAGCATGATGTACTATGTCAGTCTACAAACACGTACATGGGATGGTTCTGATGACTCACTAGTAGAAGTTCAAGCTCATTCCAGTTATATAAATCGAACAATGTTAGAATTTTTTTTTCTTGGCCCGTCTGCTCACATGATGAGATGATACGTCTTCTCTGAGAAAATTTAGATCAGGTGAAGAGAAACTTTGGTGCTAGTCCATCATTATCAATGAAGATAACAATGTGCGTCCTTTACAAACAAGCTGGAACCACCACATGAGCGGTACTCCAGCCCATGTATCTCAGGAGAGAAGTGGTCTGTTTAATTTTTTTTACCGCGGATCGACATCTACATCGCGAAGAAAGCTACCTCGGTATTAAGCCTCGCCCGCGACATAACAGCCCTGACCTTGGGAAGTTCTCGCAGAGCCCGAGTCGGGGGACCAACAATCAGCCGTCGAGTCACCATCCCACTCTTAACGCAACACCGGGAGCAAAGTTGCACATGTGACTCATATAAGCATTTGATGGAACGCTGGAGCTGCATGCAGGTACGTGAGCTTCATACCTCATTTAGAAAGAAGAGTTATGCGACTGGACCTTTCCACCAGCTACGTACAACTTTGAATGACCGCTCGGATCTCCTGGAACATACGTACGTTCTTTGTGTGCTGGGAGTCGCGTTCGAGCTTGTATAAATTTGAACTGCCTGTTTAGATTGTACTTCCATACCGGAATTTCGTACGGATCGACATCAGCATCGCCGGAGTAAACTAGCATGACGGTGACGCAACATCCCTGAACTTGAGAAGTTCTCGCAGATTCGAGGCCCGCCGTCTCTGTCAGAATCCGCGATGACTGCAAAAACAAAAGCATCCAAGGTCCAAGGAACATTGTACGTGAGCTTCTTTCAGAAGGAAGACACCAACTACGCACAGCTTTGAGCGACCGCTCACGGCTCTGGATCTCCCAGAATTTTTTAGGAACTGTCGGTTCATATTAAGTGCCCTGATGGGTTCGACGAAGCTTTGTTGTGATGCTGGTATGTCTGAGCAAAGACATGGTTCGTATTCGGAGAGGTGGTTGGGGCAGTGCAAGTTTCCTGGGATGAACTAACGTCATCAAGATGATAAGATTGTTGGGCAGCACGCTTCCTTGTGGCTGCTGCGCAGTGCGAACCTACTGTACCACATCCATCGTTTATCCAGGTCGCACGAGGGAAGTGGCAAAGTGGATGCGGCAGTGTATCCCACCATGCCGTGGAAGGGCGCTAGGGAAACACAAGGCAAGATTGACAAACCGTCAAGCATACTGCAGGAAGTCATGGGTAGGACTGGCGACAAATGTGACCTGCACTCGCTCACAAACTTCGTGGAAATTAACTTTGCCAAGTTTCAACTGTGCCACTGCCACTGTTTACGGCTTCTTCAAGTATTTCCTTTTTCGAAAGCTGGCACTCGACGTTCCGAATGAATAAATTCAATTCATCTAACCAATGCCTCAGTATGTCGGACGTGTGCATGTCGATGAGCAGTTGTTGTGACCGTATTTAGTAGTCGAAAGTGTTAGCCCTGCAGCTATACCTGACTGAAGTGCGGCCACGGTGAGCCTTCAATATTCAATTGAGACCCCGCAGGCACTTCCGACAAGTTCCTGTTACAAACTCCTCGATCGATGCATATAGACTATGGCGCCATGTAAGTATTGAATTGTCCCCGTTTTCAATAGTCATGCGAATGCTTATTCAGGTTGTGCCTTTGTGACATGCTGCTGTCTCCCTGGATATGGCAACTCTTCAAAGCTTCACCTCCCAGGAACATCGTGCATGCCCTTGTATGCCCTCTGGCGTTTGATTTGTGAGCGATTCGTGTATACATGACATCCCCTGAATAATGATGGATTGGGTCCTTGCGATCAGGCCCTGGTGAAGTGTGCCTCTGCACTTTGAAGGAAGCGCCAAACGCAATCATAGGGATGGCCTTATACTTCCTTGTCCCTTTCTGGCGACGTGGCCGCAACCAGGAGTCATTTTATTGATTTCGCCTTCATTCTTATTGCTTGTAATTAATGGCGAGATAAGAGCATTATCGTTGCTGATCGAATTCGGTGCCTAGGGAACTGGAATGTAGGTTAGACCACAACGAAACAATAGATATGGAATGCTTGTCTTCTGTATGATCTGCTGGCTTCTGCTAGGCAACCCAAATTTTCATTCCGTTGCGCTGACGAGCATATCATAGATTACATTCACTAGGTACTCACTAGCACACTCCACTTCGCTCAACCCCATATGGCACTCCCGACGTCATGCAATTGCAGGAAAGGGTTTCATTTTCATAAGCCCGTGAGGTGAACTGGGCGAGCGCAGCAGACCCTTTCTGGTTACCCCATACATCGAAGCCGTATGCGTGACTGAAAAAGTACCAACCGTTGTTAAGCACCTGAGGACAATATCGTGCTGCGCCTTGCGTCAATAATATGCTGAATACGCGGATGCTCCTGTTTGCAGTGTAATTGCGCCCATCGAACAACGGCGTCTTCGAACATTGCAACATTGGCCGTTCCTCGCGGATAGTAAATACCCGTTAGTGATGGGGTTGACTGTGAGTAGTACCACGAGGGGTTGCAATTTACTGAACCGACGTTCGATAGAAGGGCCAGTGGAGACAAGTCTTCTTTAGATTCATTAGCAAGCTTTTCGTCATTTTCATACAGCCATCTGCACTTCTATTCGCCTTGTTCGTGGGGCCACCTGCATGTCTACAGTGAATGCAGCTTGTGCAGCCCATAGAGTATGCAATGTGCTAATGCGCTCATGTTATAGGTTGAGATTGCCCTGGATCGATTTACTTTCATTATATTATTCTTTGCGATCTCGCACCTGTTTCTTGCTAATCGGTGGCGAAAGGGGATCCATAGTTCGCGTCCGCCACTCTTACCTCCCCTCTTCATCTCCGGCTCAGCCAAGGATCCTGCAATTTAACACATTTTAAGCTCGAGACTGGGGTACAACTAAACCTAAACCACACTTACTAGGAAAGAAGACGTCGCTGATCAAAAAACCATGTGATATCTGATAGTGATACAGAAGAGAAATGCATATCTTCCACTACGATAAGTCCTGAAGCATTGATATCGTCCAACAACAATCTTCAGTGGTGGGGCGACCTCATGTTTTCATGCTGGCCACCAGGAACCAGATCAACGAAGCACTTTCATTGCTGGGACTTAGCACCGAACAGTATTTGCCGATCTGCGCTCGGCTTTTGTACTGATCATCTTGTGGAGCAGATTGATGATCGGGCAACCTGGTGGTGTCCTAGTGTGTGATGGGACGTTTGATAAGTAGTTCGATCTGAGGATTCTGCATACCTTCTTGGTGCTCGTCCCTGAGCTTATCTCCTGGAGATCCCCAGGCTTCTGAGTTTAAATGGTGTCTCGGTAAACTACTAGGGGAACAGCGGTGGTTCGACAAATGAGGGTGACTATGCCGCTAGATAGATTGATGTGCACATGATCCCAGGAGTAGCGAGAATATTCTATTCCTCATTGACGATGGAACTTCTATGGGGCCAACTTCTCGTCCAGCCTGACATATGTTAGATTGACCTTGGATTGACCTCTTATTTCAAGTGATATTGCTGACGCCTTCTATGGCAGCTTGTGACTGGAGGGCATGAACCTAACGGAGTTTGTCAGTATTGTACAGCCAAGATGTTAGATGTTGCTTTAAGTTTCAGGCAGTGTTCGTCAGAAAAAGGGTGCTAACTGGAGTGGAGTAGTAAAAACTAAGGCCTAGCACAGATCTAGCCGCGGACTTCCAATTGTAGCCTGAGAAAACTCTGAGACAGCGTTCAGGTCAAGTAGTAGTACTAACGCAGTAGTTTCCCAACCATGGTAGTACTAGTAGGTATCCTGAGGCAAGTATTGTTCCACTCAGGTTCGAACCCGGATAACTAGGGAGGTTTCCTACTATAATTGGCCCGGTTACACGCACTAATTGACTCATTAATCAGGTACTCGTTAGAATTGCTGTTGCACAGCTCTGGCCTTCCTCAGTGGGGTCACGGCGGACATATTTGGCCTAAGGCGATGTTTCTGGATGGCATACAGCGCGAGGGGGCGGTCCGCGAGAAAATGTCGTTGAAATTCGATCCGCCGCGAAGATGAAGTGTATGTCTCGAGGGCCCGAGAGTTAAAATATTGCAAGACAATATCGTCGGTTGCTAACTTCATTCATGGTGGACACCCTTGACTACGTCTTTCGCGGTTATCGCGGAGGCAGAAAGGCATTAGACCCTCTACGGAAACAGTGTGTGCTATCCGACAAGTGTCCCATCTAAGCGCACATGTCGGCAACCTGGCATTCAAAGGAACTCGAGGCCTTCATGCAAACAGTGCGGTTTTACCGTGGGAGTCCCGTTGTCAGTTCCCGTTTTCTAGTTTGTGCGATTATCTTATTAATTATTGCTATAGTACACTTCTCGCAGAATACCAGAACGACTGATCATCCAGCACACTGTTATGACCAGGACGATGACGTTGCAAAAGTCTATATGCTTACTGCAGACAGCTTCTGTATCTTACAAATGTGCTGCTGGTTAATTCGAGACAGACCTCGGTGACAATGACCGTCGGCAGTGCTTGAAACTAGGAGGATATGGATAAGTGAGCCCAAGTCCTCCTTGTTGTATTGCCTATCCATCGCTCGCACTAGGTTGATATTCTTAGGCACATTTCTTTAAGCCTAGCTCCGACATACCCGATACGCGCTGCGGCGAAAAGATACACCCAGCATGCTAGATTTACTATTGCCACGCGGGCAAAAACTTTCTTCTTTGGCCCAGGCCTCCCAAGGCCCGCGTTCCAGCACGTTCTCGGTGCGAATTATTTGAAACCAGCGTTGCTATCTCGGACGAAGTTAGATGTCTTCATCCAAGCCCATTACCGATATCGTAACGGCGCGGCCCCAGCCCCCAACTCGCTTATTCTTGGCATGTTTTATGTCCATCGGATCAAACGCAGATGTCAATGCATGATGTTCTTCAACTCGTGTCCATGATTCTATCTTAACCAGTCTTAGCCAAGTGGTAAGCGTGACAGACCAGAAATCTGTTGCAGGTTCGAAACCTGCTCAACCATCTTTTTTTTCCCTTTTACCACTTCACTCATGGCTAGATCCTCCAATGTCTATCTTTTAAGTAGTCATAGCCAACTGGCACCAGAACAGATTAGAAATCTGCTCTCTTGGGTGGTGCAGATTCGAAACCTGTCGACAAATGTCTTATCACACCTTGACATATGGTTTCCTCGGGGTCCTTATCTCAACTGGTTTTAGTCAAGTGATTACCGCAACAGAATCTAGATCTGTTTCTCTTAAACTGTGCAAGTTCGAAACCTGCCGACCGGAGTTTTTTTCTATCAGAACATACCTTGACATTCACTCATGGACAGTCGCTCGGAGGTTCATCTCAAGTTTGCCCCGGCCAAAGTGGTTACCACAACAGAATGACGAGGACAACGTCGCCGACGCCTTCACCAAGGCTTTACCCCGTCCCCGCAGCCAGAAACTTCTTATGCTGATAATGGTCATCGATGACCAAGTTGCTGAACGCTAACGTCGTCGTAGATTTGACCATGGTAAGTTGCACGTTGTATTTGACGATAGCTGACATCTTCGATCGTGTCTTATCTTACCTTCATTCAAATGCAAGCGTGACATTGATCCATCATGCAGAGAACGTTAACGTATTCAACATCATAAATATTCTCGACTCACACCCGGGCCGCTGACTCGGATGCCAACTACATAAATTAACTTACATGACACCATATAACTAACAGGTATCACAAACGAAACTTAGAATCAAGTGAAAACAAATTTCTCCTGCTCCTTGCAGAGCACCAGACAACCGTCAACTTCTTCGAGCATCTCCCGTGCTACACACCATTGCCAGTCGATATATGCACGCGCTCCTGGAAAGCGATTGAGCTCATGCCCGTTGCTGCGTCGGAGTCGGCCACGAGCTTCGCGTGATATTCTCGAACACCAAGGATCAGGCGTGGTCCTAACACAAACATCTGCGCGGCCTGTAAAATTTGAAGAATCCATTGCAGAGCATATCGGTCCTATAGAAATGATGAATCGTGGTCGCATACAGGGGTCAGTGCAAAACTGCTAGCATACCGTTGAGATCATTGGAGCCAAATTAACTATGATAGTGAGACAAGAAACAGCAACAAAGCTAGCATGTCCGATCCTTCAGCGGAAAAAGAGAACCATATTCACAATGTGAGCCCACCTCGCAAAGTAAAACATGTGAGTTTTCATCAACACCCTGAAACAGTCCCCGACAATTCCTCCTGCTGAATGTTGTCGCAGTTCATGGAAGTGTTTTACAGCAATCCAGACTGCGAGACACAGTGTAAAGACCTCCCGCACAGTGGCAAGTATCCAAGAAATGGGAATCAGGCGCAGGATATCTGCCGCAAAGTTCATCGTGCACACATAGGTGCCGGAGAGGATGAGTTCCTCTGGTATACATCAATGAGCTCCATGCAATTTTTTTCATCCACAATTAAGCGTACCCCCTGAAGAATGCATCGTTTCCATTACCATGCTCACCACACCGAAAATGACGACAGCCAGGAAGGTGACAACGAGAAATATCAGGATCTTTCTGGATCGTTGATATGTGGCATGTAACCGAGCTATCATGATGACTTGCAAGATGTTTCAGTCGAGTCAATATCACTGAGGTCTTGCAACTGCAAAGCTCACCCCCCAGCATTGCACCCGCCACAAAAATTGACCAATCCCATATGATGAACAGAATCCAGCCTGAGGAATCCACTTAGTGATCAGCCCAGGGTAACACACTCCAAACAGACTCACATCTGTGGTAGTCATTATAGCGAACCAATAACCTGGTCAAAAATCACACTCACCTCTACAGGGCGCCACGGTTAATTGAAGGGGAAGAGCGGGGATCAGTGCAAAAGACTCACTGTGTCTGTCAACAAGATTGTCGGAAGACCGTCTGTATATCACAAGTCAGAAAAGGCAAAGATCATGAATGTACGAAGACATACTCAGTATGTTCATGCTGATTGTGAGATATGGTTATCAGTACAAAAACAGTGCCGAGCCTTCTAAACATACAGATTAAGGAATATTGCAAGATAGCGCACCTGGGATATTCAAGAGTCGGATGAGTGGCCGTTCACACCTATAATGCAAACTACATACACCAAGATACAGAACGGTCATAAGTGACCAACGTTGCCTCTGTCTGACCAACGTTGCTTCTGTCGCAAATCAGTTTTGTTACTCAGATGTGAGGTTCTGCTCACCCAGATCAGTTCGACCTAAAATCATTCTTAGCAAGATGGTTGCTCCGGTAATACATCAACGTACCTCCTGTCCGAGTGTAAGTGCTGTATATAGTTGTAAGAAATCAGAAGTTCTTTAATATTATCAGGCACACCCCAATCATACGTCACTAAAACGACAGCGGCAACTGCGAAACCATAGTCAAGGTTAGATCGAGACGTCAGCGGCAGCGACTGCTCTCCACGAACCTGAAAAATAACTGCCAACAATATATGAATTGATGAACGGCCACCAACTAGAGTCGTTTGAGACTAGGGTCATACTAGTACTGTTAGAGGATGTATGAGTGTTAGAGGATCGGTGCGAGGGAGTGGGGAACTTGGTGGACGTGGTACGACGAGGGAGTTGGTGCTAGATATACAACCATCCAGCGCTTGTATGGCCGAAATGAGCATGATCAAACATGTTATATCTGTTCCTGTGTTGATTGATCAAGTATCTGAAGGCAACCAACAAGGAGAAATCAAACCAGGAGTCCTCGAAATAACGACAGACTAAAATTATAGTAAGGACTCGCACATGGTTCGAAATGCTGAAACACGAACATCCTGATCTCGGCAACTGGTCATTCCCGGTGTGCATTTATTATTATTGAGACCTCGGTCACATAAAATAAAGCCACTCCTTCCTGTGTCTACCACAGGTAAAAACATAGCCTCGATAAAGAGCGAGCATTCATTTCCATCATAACAGCCGTTGACGATATCCGGCTGCGGGATGAGATCTTGGTACTGATCTATAGCGCAACGTGACCGTATTTTACCACACGCCATAGCTGTGACAAGACATGAGCTACAACTCGGATTGGAAAGGAGCATACAGTTTATTCATCGCAAGGACAAGTCTGCCTGAGTAAATAACAGATCGTTGACCCAACATTGCAATTTTGTCTGAGTTGATGACAACGACTTCCAGTACCATCAATCGGACACGAATCAGGTCGCCTGAAATATTAAGATGTCGGGTTGAGTCTCTAACCACCAGTATGAGACCCACCGTGCATGTTCTTCCAGACGGCATATGCCAACCAAGATGCCTATCACATGGAGAGGCTTTGGACCGTCTCGCAACAATGAAGGCCAAAAGAAGAGCGATAGTGTCGCCAAAGGCACTGGCAGTGACTAGTGAATACGGATGGGCACATCGGGATTCAACGACTAGGTAACTCGAATGGGATACTCCTTTTGAAGCATTCAAAAAAGCAATCCTGACGTCTGACCAGAAATCATTCTACGGGTTTTTCCCTCAGCTTCGCGGCGTGCCTGGGGTATTGTCATTTTACTGGTAACGATTCACATTCGTGATCTGGGGGATAGAAGGATAATCGATTGATAATTTCAATTGCCTACGTAATATTAGAGATCCGTACCAGACGATGAGGATGGAAACGCACCTGCCGGGATTGGAGAACTTGCTCTGACTCCCAGTGTTGTATATACCGGAAAATTGGAAATGACCGTCCGTCCCGTTCCTTCTGTCGGTATCGTCCGACCTTCATTTGGCTGTCCGGATTCCGGAACGCCTCGGAATTCCTCCAAAATCTCGGACTTTATGTTTCAGGATTTGGGCCAACTTTGGGCATCACCGGGCGGTACAACCTCACAAATGATATATCCTTGAGGCCTGTTACCAACGAGGCAAACGTGGACATGACCCCTAGAGTTAGGTCAGGGATACCTGTGAGACGATCAGCAACGTGATTATGGTTTGTCGGATGATAGGGACAGAGCGGACGGGACGGACAGAACTTTCGAACTTCCAGGTTCCCTCGTAGTGTTTATTTTGTGACGAAATATTCGGACTTAAATCGGTCAGCTACTTACAGACTTGGGTCCTTCAGCCATGTATTTCAAGGATCATGTACTTACTATTGTAAGTGGCGGGTGAGACAAGCGTCGAACAGCTCCATAGCATGAAGCAAATGTTGGCTTGCCTGATGTCTCTTTTCACACAGAATGCATGCACAGATGCAGACTTGGGGCCTATAATAAACAGTTGTGTCGGACACGAGATTCAGCAGCACTGAGGTGGCACGAAAGGCGTGGTGATAGATGAACCGATACATGCCTTCCGCAAGCCGCAAACTCCCAAGCACCATTCTGAAGGACAAAAACGACCATTGTCCCCCAGTGGGCATGGCATTTGGCAAGCATGATGGTTGTTGTTTATTGTCGGGACTGCAAATTACAGTGATCAGTCAGCGGAGACCCAATAATCCTACTCAATCTCCTACATGCCTCCCAAAGCTCACCGCGCTGGCGCAACGGGCCTCCCTCGTACACACTCCCGTTCATCATCAGGGGGCTCCTCCAAAGCAGCACTGAACCTTCACTTTACGCAGAAAGATCCTGCTCCACCGAAGCAAGTCGAAAGAACGAAGAAAAACGGCCTAGTTCATGACGTGCGTCACATCAATGTTGACCCCTCAAAAATTCTGGCTGAACCGTGTGATATCTTTTGTTTAGCCGCATTCAAGAAATACTTCGCCGTATCCTCCTCGAGTGAATAGCTCGACACGTCTTGCTTCAAGGGAGCAGCTACCAGTTCAAGCACAGCGGCATGTGCCTCCCTCAAACCAGCGGCAGACAACTGGCAAACCTAAAGCTGGATTTACTATCGCTAGCCAAAGTGCGGATGAAGACGAGGAGTGGGTCTCTAGCGAGAGTGGGGCAGCGACTCCGAGCAGTGTGAGTTCTGACAGTGGCAGGTCCCGGACACCGGTCGAGACGCACAAACATGCGCTCCCCGCGGCCCCGCCCATTGATGAACTCATACATCGACCAGAAACTCCAAGAGCACAACCGCCCTCTATGTCACGGGTGCCTACCATCCGTCCCCCCGAGGCACCGGCTCGAACGTTATCAGTTGTAGCTGTGTCAGCTGCGCATATATCACCTGCTCCAGCACTAGCCACATCCAGGCATCATGTGAAACAATCTAATATTTCTCAGCACCCTTCTCCTGAGCGCCGTATCATGGAGACTCGCTCGGAGAACACCTCGCCTATTCATCGCTCACGTCCAAACAAGCGTCAGTCAGTCACGCGTCCGCCATCTACTCATTCGACAACAAGTAGAAATGATGCACCATTACGCCCACATCCACTTATCCGAGGTCAGTCATATGGCCATGCAGCTCCAGTGACACCACGTATGGTGCCTCTCGTTCCACTCACCATCACATCTGAAGCCGCTCCAGCGCACATATCCACCACCCAGATCTATGATGCGGAGGATAGAATGTGCACTTCGCCGTCGAGTATCAAGACTACATGTGCTCCACCACCTAACCGCAAAGCATCAATATCATCTGCACGTTCGGTGGTCACTCTTCCAGCTGAAGCACATATCCAACCACTCCATTTCAAGGCCGTACACGACCGCACTCGCACCTTGTCGTCCATGTCATCAACTTCATCGAGCTCTGTACAAGCGTTGTCATCACTTGCACAACTTCCCACCACCCGTCCGTCAACGCCGCAATATGCCTCGCATTTCCCTGCAGCTAGTCTGTACACCAACCTTGAAACTGTGCACCCGTTACTTCCACCACCGTACCTTAGTGCACACGTGTCCATCCTTGCGCACCGAAGTCCGTTGAGGGAGTCGTACGATAGAGTTATTGTCGCCAAGGAGCAACAACGACGCGGAGAGAGTGTTTGAGGCGCCCATACCGGTGCTTTTGAATCTTAGCTGGTCGGTGGAATGTCCGTGACATGTCTCCTCGTTCACCCTCATTTATTAAACTGACCAATATTTCAGATCTATACATACCATTATTGTCAATTCTTTCATCGTTGAACCCGACTTGTGTACCATTATGGATAATTCAATACCATTCACTGTCCCAGTGCTATCGGCGTTTCATTTCTCCACAGAGTTATGGCTACGTTTACTGTCCAGATGATTTCCTGCCATTGCGATGGCCTTGAACCTGAATACTTTTAGTATTACAAGACAATCTGACGTTTATATAGAACGCTTGACCATAGTTCTCTCCCTCGAAGATAACATTAATATAGACTTTGTGACTTCAATAATGTGACGTGTCAGTCACGCGGCTTGCGTTCATGAACCCTGTCCAGTGTAATTGGAACACGCCTTGCCACGCAGTCTAATTCTCAATTTCTCGTTTCACCACTCCGGCGATAGCTACGCTTCTCAAAAATCCCAAAAGTTTTTGCATAAGACACGCTTGAACTCTGGAAATATGTGGTTGTCTGATGCGCAAAGTGAGTCTACCCAAGCTGTCTGCTTTGGTTGTTGAATGAGAAGTTATGTATCTCAGAAATTGGCGTAGCCCTTACGACCTTCGGGACACTATTCATGTTCCTCGGTGTCATGCTGTTCTTCGACGCTGCTTTGTTAGCGCTAGGAAATGTGTGTAACCCCAGTTCCCGCCTTCCATTTTTTGCTCATACCAAGCTCTTGCACAGATGCTCTTCTTGTCTGGTCTTACCTTGATTATTGGCCCCCAAAAGACATTCTACTTCTTCGCGCGAAAGCAGAAGCTTCGAGGAACAGCATGCTTCATTGGCGGTATTCTCCTCGTGTTCATGAAGTATTCATTCATTGGAATGATTGTCGAGATATTTGGTTTCTTAAACCTGTTTGGGTACGTCCGGCATTTCCTAACGAGGAATTAAACCTGATAGCCAGGTTCAGCGACTTCTTCCCCGTGGTCGTGACATTCCTGCGCCAAGTACCATTCATTGGCAACCTATTGTCGCTGCCATACATTCGACCTGTAAGAGTTCTTTATCAATATGGCTGAACGTTCGAGTTAAACCATTGGGAGTAGATCGTGGATCGTATAGCGGGTTCAAGGACGTCGGCTGTGTGACACCTCAAACAGGCTCGCCCAACATCAGATACTCGGAATTACAGCGGCATTTTACAAACAATCGTCTCGATGCATGTACATGAGATAATACCTGAGCGATGTTGAATGCCTTATACTAATTGAGGGGGTCGTGGTATACTCTTCCTCCATCATGGTCGACATCCCCCACTTCTCATGCGACCGCAATCAATGCGTCACTGGATACTCTCCCACTGTTCGAGCGTCCTTTAGCGTCATCGGGAAGCAAATCGGTTAGATGGCAATCAGCTGCATGCACAGCGGACAGCTCGTTGCGGTTGCGGATGTGAATCCGCTCTTCCTCGTCCGGTCAACGACAATACCACTGAATAGAGGTTAGGACAAAACATGGATCTTACATGGCATAAACAACCGCGAGATCGACCCTGAAGAGACTCTAGTGTGGACAAACAGACCACAGTCTATACGGTTCCAAAGCTGGTCGCATTAGCACCAGTGATAAACCAGCGTGAAGCAATCAAAGATCTGACAAAGGTTATGACGGCTCGTAATTCATGACTAAATTTCAAACGAGCCGCAGCATCATTCTGAGGTGTGCCAAGTGCAGTTATGCAGGAGTTCGCAGCAACCTCGAGCGTCCAAAGACCGTACCCTAGAGACGATCAGATATCAGGAACACATCCATATAGCTCTCGCGATTAAATACCAGTTGCAAATATGCTCCCGACGAATCCTCCATACGGCTCGAATTTCGTTGATGGCCAACAGAATATGGCACCCGAAGCTTGAAGGCCTGAGTAACGGTTGGTTGATGCATTTGATTAACGAGAAACATCGATACCAATCGAGTACAAGGCCAACGTGGAGGCCTTTCTGTAAACAGAAATCAGCTGTTAACTAAATGCATACACATATAGAATCAGAAGTCACATTGTATCCTATCCGTCCAATCTGCTTTAATCAGTATTGCTGTGGAAGAATCACAGATATTACTCACAATTACACCAGCGAATGGTGCCCACACGGAATGAGTGCCCTAACTAGTGGTCAGGGGATCCAACCATCCCCGAGCATCAGACACTTACAAAGTATGCCAGCTGTAAAAAAGCACTCTGGAGTTTGGTAATACCGAATACGGTCCGGAAGTGTGCGTTGAGCACAGAAAGGAGCTATCATTGGAGGTTGCAGCATCCAGAATAATAAATGTGTAAAGCTCGTACACCGTATGCAAAACCCTCTGTAAGTTCTGCATCGTTGGTAGTTTGGTTTAGCGAGAAGAAAATACGCAACATACATGTGAAGCATAGGGACGTCACAAGAGTGAACACAGAGGCTCATTGTTTTTGTCCGAGTTGAACTCCTGCGTCCCGTTCAATTGTTCGCGTCCAAACATGGATAAGGACTTGCTTGCCCGTCGGTCCCGTGGGAGGTGCCATGTTTTCGGACGACAAGGAAAGGAAGGGCACGCGTCTGTATGCCTGAAGATGTTCCGACGCTTATATTGCTGATTAGAGGCCAGGAAATAATTTGAATACATACGAACCTGAGCGATGCTCTACATAGCCATGACGCTGAAACTCCGGGAAATGCGTACGTATCCGCCCTATGATATCAAATATCAGGGATAAAGTGCGAGTGGGCGCAGGTCCTATGACCACATTCCAATTCTATTTCATGGACATACTATCACATAAAAAGGAGGTTTCGGCGCAATGACTGGGCCTAGTTAAGACGGAGCTCTGAGGATCTATACACTGCAAAAATGTTGTCAGCAGGTTTCGAACCGACTGCAAGAGAAACAGATTTCGATTCTGTTGTGATAACCACTTGCTTAAGACCAGTTAAGATGAGCCTCCGAGGAATCCATCCATGAGTGAATGTCAAAGTGTGTTCCAATAGAAAAATACCTGGTCGTCGGCAGGTTTCGAGCATGCGCAAGTCCGACGGAAATATATCTCGATTCTGTTGTAGTAACCACTTTGGCCAGGCGAAGTTGAAATGAACCTGCGAGGAAATGTCCATCAGTGAATCTTCAAGGCGTGTTCTGAGAGAGAAAAACCTCGTCGGCAGGTTTTGAACCTGCACTGGGCCAGTCCAAGAGACAGATTTCGATTCTGTGATAGTAACCACTTTGGCCAAGGCGAAGTTGAGATGAAGCTCTGAGGAACTGTCCATCAGTGAATCTTCAAGGCGTGTTCGGATAGAAAAAACCTCGTTGGCAGGTTTTGAACCTGCGCTGGTAGTGTCAGTCCAAGAGACAGATTTCGATTCCGTTGCAGTAACCACTTTGGCCAGGGCGAAGTGGAGATGAACCTCTGAGGAGCTTTCCATCAGTGAATCTTCAAGGCGTGTTCGGATAGAAAAAACCTCGGCGGCAAGTTTTGAAACTGCACTGGTAGTGTCAGTCCAAGAGATAGATTTTGATTATGTTGCAGTTACCAGGGCGAAATTGCTCCGAGGAATCGGGCGTTTTCCGATAGACAAAAAAACCCTGTTTTTCGGCAGGTTTTGAACCTGCGTAGTCCAAGAGAAACGGATTTTGATTCCGTTGTGGTAACCACTTTGGCGAGGATGAAGCTGAGATGAACCTCCGAGGAACTGTCCATGAGTGAATCTTCAAGGCGTGTTCCGATAGAAAAAACCTTGTTGTTAGGCAGGTTTCGAACCTGCGAAGTACCAGAGAAACAAATTTTGATTCTGTTGTGTTAACCACTTCAAGGGGCCAGGACGCTTGCTGGCCAAGTTTAGACGAACCTCCGAAGAGCTGTCCATATCGACAGGTTTCGAATCCGCATCACAAGAGAGCAGATTTCTAATCTGTTCTGGTGCCAAACGGTTAGCTATGACTACTCAAGATAGGCCTTGAAAAATCCATCCACGAGTGAATGTTCAAGGCGTGGTAAAAGGAAAATATTGTTTGTCCTCGGTTACGAGTCGAAGAACAGTATGCATTGACAGTAGAATCACATGGGATTAGCAGTCATTTACCAAAGATGAAATAAAAACACTAGTTTGCGTTTAATTCGATGGACACAAAACATACCAGGAATAAGCGAGTCGGGGGCTGGCGCCGGCGCCGTCACGATATGACACTGTAACTGCAGGAAAAAAAGCCGGACAGCCGCGCTATACAGGTTGTCGATCGCATTAATCTCTTTAGAGGTGTATCGAGTCCTTCAACTTGTGACTACCATTCTTAAGCTTGGCCCATGTCACGGGTCTACACAGAGCGCGACTGTCCGATTTTTACCATAATACCTTGGGCCACAATGTACACATCATTTTCGGCCAGTAGTCTGATTCTATAGCTGCTGCCTGCACTTGCTAAATAACTTGCCAGTGAGCCAACGTCATATTGAGCGAAGTTCGAACGCTCAAACCCCGCTTCGTGAACCGTGGCTGTACGGCCCAGACGCAGATCTTGCCCCAGACCGGCGGTAACTCCGACTTTCGTGAGCACAATACATAAACTTCGTCTGCTATAGAGACTATGACCTACTATGACTTTCACAGTCTTGAATGGCCTCGTCTGCGACAGGACTAAGATGGATACCCCGTGGTCACTGGTCAAAACGAAGTTTTAATCTTGCTTCATCAACAACTTAAAAAGGTAGTACTTACCATATGCTCTTTACATAAAGTGTTTCATGACAACGCCACAAATATGGAGTAACGTTCAGCGCTCAGCGCTAGCGTTCAAACGTTCAACGTTCAGTACTCGGTCCCCAGATTCATTGAACTCTACAGAGTGACACGACGTCGCAGGAATACTCCCAAACAACAAGCCAGAACGGAGTTTGCAGGAGAAGCTCAGAAGACGGACGGAGCGCTCAGGGCTGGCTGCAATGCGAAATGGCCGGACAATGACGGACATTATCGGGGAGCCTGCTACGGCTGTGTGTATATTCCCTTCTTCACTGATACCATACAGTGCACAGCAAGTTCTTTCATCCCTTTCTTCAGCTCATCGAACCTTCCTGTCAGATTCCTGTGTACTAAAGAGCTCCAAATCATGGATTGTTAAAACATTTCAAGAATCAAGGCCACTCGAAGGTGATCGATGATCAGCTGCATTGATATCTCTGCAGACAGGAAGTTACTAGCGAGCTGGGCAGGAGATACAGCGCGGATATGGCCTGGGAACCTTGCCGGCAAACTTGTCACCGGACCATTCGAGACGTTGATTGTGTGGGCACAGCTCGATACTTATCAGAGTCGAAGAAGGCCGCAGTGAGCTTGTGGACGGAGGGCCATGCCTCGTGGCCAGGGATGTCAAAATGCAGACATCCCCGTGGAAGAACTCGGACGAGAAGGATGTGCGTTCTGGACAAACAAAAATAAAAACATTACAGATGACCATGCCAAGACGATCTAGATATATGAATTTGACGTGTCGATCAGATCCTCTTCGAAGGGCACACCCAACTTATCACCGGTCTGGGACTTTCATCATATGACGATGTTCTCCTTGCCAGTCGACACCAGAGTCAAGCTCTGGGAAATATTGCGAGTCCTGCCAACTTCTCGCTTCCTTTGATGTTCAGAATCCCTTTACCCCCTACCATTCTCTCTCGGGGCAGGCTGCAACTCGGTTTAATCATGACAGTCTCATCCATTCTTAGTAAACTCGCAATGCACGACCGAGTGCGTAATATCTATACAGTTCAAAATGAGTTCTCAGCCTCGCCCCTCGAACGCTCTAGTCACGCAGTTCCTACGACAGCACCTTTTTCGTTCCTCGTGCCAAGACATGGCCATGGGCCACCAGTCGTTGAAATCGTATCAGGGCGGATGGTCACTGTAGCGTACATTTCCTTACCTTAGTGTTTTTTGCTGATGTGTGCCCTACAGCGGCTAGCTGCTGCTACATACAGGAAAGTCAACGACACTCGACATCCATCTGGACATGCTGGAGTGCCTCAGGACACCGAGTCCTCTGACATTGATTCGCTCCAAGACGTGCATTGGGTCAAGGAGTTCCTATGCTGCTATTCCTGCTGGTCTCATGGCAGACTGAGGATGCCTCCTCGATGGCATGTTAACATTACTCCGTCAGGATAGCACGACAGACATTAGTTGACTTTCCGTAGACCAATCCACTGCTATATCCTCCATGACCAATGATTTCATACATGCGTAAATACGAAACGTTTGATCCCCGCGTCAGAAGCAATTTGTCTGACCCCTATGTGCGCGCTTCACCTGAGCTTCCACATACTTCAGTCATTTCCGTACGTAGAGAATCAGCGCCCTGGTCAAACGTCGTGCGGTTGCGGTTGCAAAGTCCCGCTCTGATTTCTCTTGGTCGGGCTTCAGTTCCGAATCCAACACACACATTACGCGATTTGTATATTTTAGACGCTTCTGTTGCGAAATGCACTAAAGCCGATCAAGCACCCATAACGAAAACACTAGTTTTTCCTTGCTTCGTTTTACTGACAAATAGCCGAATTCACAGCAGGGTCCCGCAGGTATGTACAAACTGAGGCATATTGATGTTACTCGCGATCCATCTCGGCAAGCTCGCTCTGCACTATAAAACGCTAGCGTGGAACGCCTTAGCTTTTTGTTTTAGGCCTGTATCTCCTTCGCGGACGTTCTCCCTACTTCCTTTCATCGCCCCCCATTGTCACCATGCTGTCCAAATCTTTCGCACTTTTCGCTGCCTTCGCTGCTTTTGCCCCTGCATTTGCTACCCCCGTTCCCGCCAGTGAGGTTGGCGTTGCTGCCGGTAAGTCCCGTCACCACAATGCGTTTCGCCTCTTTATTGTGTTTTCGCTGTAGTTGTTAACAATGTTGGCAACGATCTCAAGACCAATGTAGGAACTCGTGCTGATGCAGTCGAATATGAACCCTGTAAGCATGACATATTCTCATGACCTGACGGCAATATTGACCAGAATGACATTTCAGCCTTCGACGAGGTCGTCAAAATGGTTGAACTCTCGCGGCGGGATGATGGATGCAGCCTCGTTGACATAGACGGTGGTAAGTCGTTTGTCTTCAGTCGGGGTTTATAACCTGATCGGAAGCGAATAGTCATCTACGACGTGCTTAACAATGCTACAATTAGTGTCTTGAGGCGTGACAGTGGCTGCAATGTTGCCAGAGCTACTGCTAGTAGGTATTTCCTTCTTGGTTATTAGTTCATATATTGAACTATTTCTCAGCGGTCAGGGATGTTGTGAACAAGGCCAGAGCCAACTCTCTCAGCTCCAGGTCCAAACGCCATGAGGAGAAGCGCTACACATTTGATCAAATCGAAGCGAGTGCGTCATTATTGTGCTCACTTCGTATTCCCCACTCATAATTGCGTTGCAGTCGTCACCAGCGCATATGACAAGAAGAACAGTGCGGTGACTGACAAACGCGATGATGCCGGTGTCTACACGATCGTGGAAAGGGTCCTCAATAACTCGCCATCCAAGCGCGGTACTTACACTATTTCCCAAGTTGCCACTGGTATGACATGTGCCATCTCTTTCACCGCCGGATTCTGATTTCACATTGTAGCAACCAAGGAGGTCCTCGATGCCAATGGCGTGGTGTCGAAACGCTCAGGCAATGTCGACGATCTTGTCGAACAGATTCTTGACGAGTTATCTGCTCGAGCTGCCAAGCGCACTGATGTCATCGACGTCCCTGCCCGTAAGTACCATCATGGTCGCAAAGTGAACACGTCCTAAATCAGCAAATTCAGTTACCGAAATGATGTCTAGAACGTGTCGCCTAAATGATTCAGCCATTTCAAAGCGGTATTTCATACCCGACAGCCGCACACATACCTCGTTCTTTCTTTACCACTACTGTTACTCGAAATACCCTAATGCAAAACTCTTCCCCCGTCTTTGTACCCAAACGAAGTTCCATGTCCAAGGCCAGATAGCGAGATGTTGTCTTCAACATGGCGTCAATGGCCAGTCTACCTATGATCGTGGCGCGCTCTATTCCATAGCTCCCTTTCACTCCTGGACGTTTAAATGATATTTCTCCATTTTGATATCACTCCTGCCCCGCCAGCATGGCACAATAAATGTCAGCCGCGGTAGTGCTCGTGATTGTAGTTAACTTTACATGGACCAATTCATTGCTATATCCTCCATCCTTATCAATTCTACACCGTACATGGGAGTCACGAATTTCTTCCGCGGGATTAACCGTTCCGTCCTTGCATATTTTAGATATATCAATTTTACACCGTTCATCTGCCAGTGTGTGATTTTACTAAATCCCATCACAAGATGAACTTGCACGACCTCGAGTATCTCACGTTGAATATTCATTTTGCATTGGGGACATTCGATGTCGGTGTCTCATCGGTCAATGTAAGGTCGTTGTATTTGAAATACACTACGAAGTGGGCAGATTTTCATCAAACATCACGTCAATAGTACCAAATATTGAGAAGGCCGCCGGCATCTGAGATCTGAGTACCAGCCCTTTTTCTAATTTGCTCATAACAATTAGACTCGTGACCAGTCTGACGTACGTCCTTGCTACGCTTGTCCGTGGTTATGTAAGCCAGGCTGGTATCGAGCCTACATACCTTGAACACCACAATCCGTGTACGAGATCTACATATACATGTGACACGATGTTTTCATATGTGCTAGGAGTGGCAACACGAATCCGTCACCTGGGGCGACCTAGTAGATCATCGCCATACCGATCGCATCCTCGAACACCGGAAATTCGAGAAACATGTCTTCGGGCTGCCGATTCAGAACCCCGAGTCCGAAATAATCAACGTTCAACGTTAACCTTGTCCAGTGTAATTGGGCCACTCCTTGCCACGCAGTCTAATTCTCAATTTCTCATTTCACCACTCTCCAACGATAGCTACGCTTCTCAAAAATCCCAAATTTTTTTGCACAAGACACGCTTGAACTCTGGAGACATGTGGTTGTCTGATGTGCAAAGTGAGTCTATGCTTTGATTGTTGAATGAGAAGTTATGTATCTCAGAAATTAGCGTAGCCCTTACGACCTTCGGGACACTATTCATGTTCCTTGGTGTCATGCTGTTCTTCGACGCTGCTTGCTAGCGCTAGGAAACGTGTGTAACCTCAGTTCCCGCCTTCCATTTTTTGCTCATACCAAGCTCTTGCACAGATACTCTTCTTGTCTGGACTGACCTTGATTATTGGCCCCCAAAAGACATTCTACTTTTTCGCGCGAAAGCAGAAGCTGCGAGGAACAGCTTCATTGGCGGTATTCTGCTCGTGTTCATGAAGTATTCATTCATTGGTTTCTTAAACCTGTTTGGGTATGTCTAGCATTTCCTAACGAGGAATTAAACCTGATAGCCAGGTTCAGCGACTTCTTCCCCGTGGTCGTGACATTCCTGCGCCAAGTACCATTCATTGGCAACCTATTGTCACTGCCATACATTCGACCTGTAAGAGTTCTTTATCAATATGACTGAACGTTCGAGTTAAATCATTGGGAGCAGATCGTGGATCGTATAGCGGGTTCAAGGACGTCGGCTGTGTGACACATCAAACAGGCTCGCTCAACATCAGATACTCGGAATTACAACGGCATTTCACAAACAATCGTCTCGACACATGTACATGAGATAATACCTGGGCGGTATTGAATACCTTATACTAATCGAGGGGGTGATAATATACTCTTCCTCCATCATGATCGAGACCCCCCCCACTTCTCATGCGACCGCAATCAATTCGGCACGTACTATTCAATCAATTATTTTAGTCCCTTCCAAATTTTCGCAAATAGGATCTCAATTTGTGACACAGAATGGAATTTTCAGGGCCTCCACTTTTCCAATTCAATCCAATTGTATCAAGCAAATTCTATTAGATTTCGAATCTAGACATGCAATAGTTTATAGAGTGAACAATATTTATCATTCATTCGCCATACGATATCGAGCAACATGAGAGTCTCGGCGGCGCCAGGTTTGTCAGTCTTGCGCTTTGACGCACTACAACACGATACAGTCAGACAGCAGGCTGCTGGTGTCAACAGCATTAGAACTCACCAAACCGTCAGATTCATCAGCAGATCACTGTTCCTTCATCAAGTAACCAACCTGAAAATGACAAAGCTTTGTTTCATGAAGCAGTTTTTCAGTCAAGCAGGAAAACGGCTTTGATATGGATGTCTCTCAATATGTCGCTGAGCCACAGCAGAATATGCAAGTCTGCTGCTATTATCCTAAAGGACATCCACATTTCGCCAAAACTGCTTTGCCTACTGCAAGCAAGCACGTCATTATCCAAGGCACTGTATAGAGTATCACCAGAGATCGGTACATTGTGACCATCAGAGACATTGCATTAGGACCTTCCGAGTCCACTTTGTCCTGGGCCACCCGAACGTTCTGTGAGCCAACGACGGGTACCATAGAGATCAAATCACGCATTAAAGGAGAGCCGAGGTGAATATCTTCATGCACCCGCAGAACATCATCCTCTCAGGCTGGTACCTCATCATCTCTGCGAGTGTCTACCTGTGTCTACGAGGCCATCCTCGACATCATCCTCCAAGTACTCCAAGTCATCACTGTCGTGTCCAGTGTCCACAGCAGGCAGTGTCACGCCATCAGTAGCTGGCTTGACTCCTGTGGTAACGGCACGAAGAAGGTCTCTGATTTCAGCCTATAGGATAAATTACTCATGGCGACAGTGCCGCACATGCTAATTATCACGCACCTTGTTACCATACCACTGACCAATCTGAATCATGTCGACGAGTGTTTGAGCATTCTGGTTAGCTGAGTTGAGCCATGGCGGTGGGGGGGACCACACTCAAGCAGTTTGATTGGGGGGAAGCCTGTAAAGAGAAGGAGAAGGTAAAAGACGAGGGTAAGAGCAAGGGCAAGGAGGAAGAAGTTGAAGCTGATGGTAAGGATGACGGCAGACGAACACATGGTGATGACGACGAAAAAGAAAAGGATGATGCATTGATGGACCATCTACGTACATCGACTGCACAAAGTCGCCCATGTTTCCAAATAACCACAAAGTCGCCCATGTTTCCAAATAACAACTTTTGTGTTGTATTTCAGTTTCAAATTGCATGGCTGTTTCACCTGACAAAGATCGCTTGCGAAAGTGCCATTCTCGAGCTGATCCCCTTTGCATGCAGCTCGAGAGAGAAAGTAGTAAACAATGTGGCCAACATTATTATCTGGGTGTGAATTGTTACATTCAATTATCATCATTTGGACCGTCGCCGCCTAAACATAACCTCTGCCTTTCGATTCGGAGAGCAATTCATCATAAACCATTCATCTGTAGGACGCTCGCCTTCTTTCTCTAATTTAATATCATAGTTTAACACAAGGTAAGCCATCATAGCCTTCATCACACTAGAAGCAAAAAAGCGACCGGGGCTGACGAAATCAGTGAGTGAGAACTCAAAACCATACATCGGGCAATTTTGGCGTACCAAGCATGAGGTCCATACCCAAAAGGGATATAACTTGCACTTGTGGAAGCTAGCAGGATTTGTGGGTCTTCTCCATCGTCCTTGCGCCGCTGTGAAAACCGGAAAGGTTGGAACTCAGATGCGCTTTCGAAATATTCCTCGTCGAGATGCATGGGTAATGAAGCGACAACAACGTGAGTTCCGCTGGGTATTACAGTACCATCCGAAAATACGAATTGCTGCATTGCTTTGCGCATCATAGGGACTACCAGAAGTCAGCTTAAGATCAGCAAAAATGAGTAACAACCTACAGAGAGTGGTGCTATTGAATCGCTGGGATTCCTTGAGAAAGCTGTCCATCTTGACGAGTTTCGTCATTGCAGCCTTCGTCCATCCATCTTTATTAATAACAGCTGAAGCTTCCTCTCGAAGGGGTGTGCAATATTGAGGGTATGTAGCAAGGTTTAATAGGGCGTGGGTGAGGCTCTTTGTGAGACCAGTAAGGTGTCAGGTTTGCTCTGCAGTATAACGGCATACCTGAGCTGATGCATGTAATGCGGCAAAATTGAGGACCAAAACCCGCAAGCATATACTCCGAAGATTCCTGTGCTCATTGTCGGATACGTCAATGAGCCAGCTAATTAGGTCATTCTTCACAGGGAAACATAGTCAAGTGGTGAACCATATCATAGGAAGATTACACACCGGTTGAGCGTTCCATTCGTCCCTGAATTGATCTAGATTTTGCAGTCGTTCCTCCACGATAGGTTCAAGAAGTGCCATACATCTCCTAATGCTACTAGGCGTGTTCGTTAATAATCGACCAATGATCCTAAAAGTCAAAGTTGGGTCTTCGCACCATCAATTCAGCGATACTGCTTACGGATGTGCAAATTTTGGGAAACAATTCACGAGTGTTGCACGCAATACCACTTGTGAAGCGAATTGCTGTTGCAGGGCTTCAAATTCAGGGGATCGGCCTATGAGCGGGTTGAGCGGATGCACCCTTGATCTAAGCGAACCACTCACATAGCGGAAGCCCAACAAAGATGCGATTGCTTACGCGACACATAGCCTTCATGATCTCCGGGTATATGCGAACCTTAGTCCAACCTGCGCAAAGAGCATGTAAGAATAACCTCACGGAGAAGGTGGAAAAACTTGCCATCTTGGTCTAATGGTTTGATGGTGCTGAACGCGTGGTTGATTTCATCGTAAACATCAGGAAAGAGCACTTGAAAGTTTCGGGAGAGATGATTGCGAGTGACTTGTATGTGATAGGGATATTCTTGCACATCGACGCCAAATGTATATTGGACTTGAAGAAGCTGTGAAACAGTGGACCAAATCTCAATGTTACGGAACCAGAAAAAACTTGCAACTTACATCTCGCACGGCGTGATCAAACGAAAGCACGTCTTCCGGCACCTTTCTCAATTCCTCTATTAGCCGCGGCCCAGTCAGGACCACCACCCATTTGTGAAACAATGGCACTCTAAACATTCCACCTTTGTGCTTCATCGACGTTCAGAATACAATTGCCCAAGAATAACATTGTCACCGACCTTCTGATAGCCTTCTTGCACCATGGCTGGGGCATCCTTTATGAAGCGGACCGTGCCGAGCCATGAAGAAAGAACCCCTGACGGACCGATCGCAGGAATAGCATCAAGCTAGACACGACGTTAGTCAACCCACAACAACTGCATGAAAGTGCTTGCCTCAGAAAATTTGCAACGCTCGTAAATGAAGACCAGCAGAAGGGCTACTGCGACAGCCAAGCAATAGACAAAGGAACTACCATTGTCCATGGGATAAGCGTCGGGGGCAAAAATGGGTAGAGGGCATTGACACCACTCCCATGCGGGGGAAGGGTATTTTAATACTATTTATGTTCAAGCCTGACAGATCCAAAGCTGACATAATAACACTAATCCGACTGTAGTCTAATACACATGCATGCAAATACGAATATCGAGTACTAATGAAAACCATTCAGATCCCTAATCTTCGAGGAAAACATACAGCTACAGTATTTCTATCGTCCTGATGTCCATCAGGTCTGGAACAAAAGTCACGTCTTTGACGGCGTGTGCAATGATATCACGGTCTGACGCGACCCTCTTGTATTCTCCGCCGCGCTGCCGCACTAGTAAAAATGCACCGAAAGGCTGCCCAAGGCGAACAAGCAACCGCAATGCTCGTGATTCTAGATCAAACACCTCCTGTTTTACAAGAGGATGGCCAGGCGAGTCGTCTGACGGAGAAGAAGGCGGCGTCCAATAACCCCCCTCGCTCTCCGTATCGTCTCCAACGTCTGGCAGATCTGCAAAGTCAGGTAGCTCGAGGAGAGACCGATCCCAGGGACGGACAACCACGAAGGCTCGCTGAGTGGGCCTTGTCCCCGAGAACTGAACAATCGACTCTTTGGTTGTGATCAGCAGGTGATGAAGCCCATCTGCTTTGATTTCATACGTAGAATGGGTTTCCTGGGATGGACCGAAGCTCAAACTGACGTCTGTGACATGGAAGGTGATGCACGGCAGCTGTAGTCTGCAGTTCGCGAAACGAGCAGCGTTCGTGTTATCGAGCCGGTCGTAAAGTTTCAAAGCCAAATCCACAGCCACAGGATTTTTTCGCAGCGAAGAGATAGTTGTCTGAATCTCATCTTCAAGTAAAGGTGGAAGGGTGCGTGGGGGAGTAGTGTAAGAGGTAATATAGGCTGGAAGGCAGCTATTGAACTCGGAAGGTTGTCCGATCCAGTCGAGGACAGTGATGTCACCCGACTGAGCCACGATCTCCTGCAAGAGCCGCCCGAGCGCGTTCTGCTTCTTCTCGCCGTAGATTACGGGTAGGTGGACATTAAAGATACCAAACAATGAGTACGCAATGTCTTCCTGCAATGTAGTGACGCGTGATGACGCCCATTGAAGTCTCCGTCGGGCGTTGCTCATCCCTGGACGGAAGGAGATCAGGGCCCGTGTATCTATACCCGTCGCACCCTCCAACTCCTTCATGATTGCAGGGGACTCCTTGTGGTTGGGAGAGCGATCGTCGAGATATAATGACCAATCATTCTGATAAAAGATTACAATTTTCGGAGCGACGAATTCTTGAAAGGTCCATCCTCGCTCGTTCCAAACGCTCCTCGCCAGTGCACCGGGCTGGGATGAAGGAGGGACATCACATAGATAGACGATCGTAAGCGCTGAGTGGCGATACCAGGCAAACATGGAGTTGACCGATTCTTGGAGCTCGGCATTACTCTTCTTGTCGATGCAGCATGTGTCCATCCATGCCCAGCAATACCCGGCATCACGAGCGATCTTGCAGAACGACTGCAGTTTCGCGATGCCACCAAGTCCATTCAACTCGTACACGGCTTTATCCTGGATGTCGTGTAGCAGCGCCTCCGTCTCTTCCCACCTGTGTGATAGCAGGACGCAGCGGAAATACATCGCTACCGCTTCCTTGATGCGCTCCATTTGGAGATCTGAATGCTTCGTTGTGAATGACAAGAGTTCCTTGTACTTTGCACTCGTTTCGAAGGCTTTTATTTGTGCCGCTCGATCACACAAAAGACCCGTGGAGGTGTTGAGCAGACGATGCGGGGTATATTCGAGTTCAATCCAAACAGCTTTTTGAATAGCATGTTCTACCTCGGTGGGACAGACATACTGCTGACGCAGATCTGCAGAACGAGATAGGCATTTCGATGAAGGAGTGTTCCAAGGCTTACCTCGTATCTGCGCTTCGGGAGCACCGTTCAACTTAGACAACATGATTGTGAAGGCCTTAATAGCTTCGTCGTAACGTTGCGCGCCACGCAGTGCTTTATGTGACAACTGGTATCCAACGTGAGACGAAGGATTGAGTTCGGTGACCTATGCATCGCCGAAGTCAACATGGGCTACGAAAATGTAGACATCATCGCACCTTTTGCGCGTCGAGGAGCGCATCCTCCCATAGCATTTTGCCTAACTTTGCTTTGCTGCGATTTGCAAAGACGACATCGGATCCATAATCCAGGTCGATCACCGCGGAGTATAGGTCAATAGCCCTGTCATACTTGCTTGCAGCGAGGGCAGTATCTCCGTTGGTAAGACAGGGCGCACTGCACCTTTTCGTAAAAGCTGAGTGAAGTGCGGGTGAGGATTGTAGCCTACACGACATTATGAGCTCCAGACTTGCCATTGGACCAGTCAAGGCAGTCGGCCTTGGTATTTTCGTCACTCGAAACCATCATGTACCGGTATGATTTCACAGCATCTTGAAGTTTACCTGCCCGAATGAGTGCATCACACCGTTTCTGATGTGCAGTCAACCACAAAGATTTGAGATCCCAGCCGAAGAGCTGGACAAGGGACTCAGTTATGAAAAGCATTTCGGATGTGTATTAACATACCACCACCAAGTCCTCATATATTTCATGAATGGGCCATTTCGATGATAAATTACTGGGATTGAGAGCGGCAGTGAAATGGTCAGCGGCTTCGTCGTAACACGTGCCATCTGAGGCCTTGATTCCGAGTTGAACACGTAGATATGCCTAATGTGCGAGGTGAAAAGAATCTGAGTGTTGATGACCCAGTGTGGCTGCATGATACTTACTTCCACGATATGACATGCGCGAGTATCGGAATTTGGACAACTGGCAGCGAGTTCTTTCAGGAGTAGGCTCGCCTCGTCATGTTGATCTGCATTGAAGAGGGCGATGGCCTAAAATACATGATGAAGCGGAGAATATGTGAAGCAACTGTAATGTCATACCTTGATCAAGAGCAGGAAATGAAGGGTTTCCGGATCTTGATCCGTGTACATGCAAGCAATATCAAATGCTGCCCTTGCATTCCGGACATGACCTTTTCCGCAGAGGGCAATACCCTTGGAGATAAAGCCTGACAATGAGGGCTGAATGCTGATGGACTGTGTCACCGTTGAGTTAGCCTCTTGCAAGGGGGCCATGATCAGTGTATATAACTCACCTTGATTGCATCCTGAAGGGCGTGGTCCCAGTCGTGTTTTCGGGACATAAGAAATGAGCGATGGGCATAGGAAGTATGGTCATTCACATCTGCGTCTATTTCTTGCGTGAGTAGTTCTTCGGCGGTAGACAAGTCTCCATCTACGCATGCACCGCGGGCTGTTGTGATGGCGAGAATCTGTATCAAGCATGCTCAAATTGTGGTATATGAGTCGAGGACGGAAACGTGCCTTTGGATGAATACTCTGAGGTATTGCCCACTCTGAGATCATCTTATCTTCACCTCCGCTAAGGATGTGTTTGCCGTCCTCTGAGAAAGTGATGCATTCCGTGAGGAACGAGTGCTTGAAGATGGCAACGGTTTGGCGATCTGAGAGCCGCCAGAGACGGACATGATTGTCATAAGATGCGGAGGCGATGAGTGTGCCAGAGGGATTGGCGGTAATGGCACTGATTGTGTCAGTATGGCCCGTCCAGGGATCACTGACCTGCTGCCAAGTCAATGCATCCCAGTCGCGTATAGTAGGGTCGTCTGTATTGCCGCCTGTGAGAAGGCATGTGCCATCGGGCGTCCACTCGAGTGACAAGTTCCATGATGTGTGAGCCCTGAAGGATGTGACGCGTTTCCTTGTGCCTGTATTATAAATTTGGATATTGCTATCTGTGGCAATGGCAAGAAGTTCTCCAGACGGTGAATACCGAACGCAATTGACTTGACTACCACACTCAATTGGATTTCCATGCGGCTTCCAGGTTTTGGTATTCCATAGCTTCGTCGTTTTGTCACCTGAACCAGTGGTCAGCACTGTTCCATCGGGAGAGAAGTCCAGCGAGGTGATCCAAAAGGAGTGGGCTTTGATGTGTTGGGTCAGTGATTTGCCAGTTTCTCCGTGCCAGACGATGACTTCTCCGCCAGTATCACCACTTGCTATCAATTGTCCATTTTGTGATACTGCCAATTTCAACATCCCCCTGCGATGCCCCTCCATCTTCTCCAACATAACACCTGTCGTCAAATCCCACAGATGAAGCCTCTTGTCGTCCGAGCTCGTAACCATCCGTCGTTTATCAGGGAACACTGCGACTGCTATTATGCCTTTTTCATGGCCTTTGAACTCTCGCAGGGGTGTAGTGATTGGAATGAGCATCGGCATTTTACTGGAGGTTGATGGCGTGGGGCGTGGTCGAGGTGGACTTTGGAGGGATTGTGGGTCTCTTGCTCTAAGCTGTAGAGGTGCGTGTATTGTGCGTTTATGCTGCTCGTTTCAATAGACGCCCAGGGCACGAGGGTGTTGCTCCGCGGTTTATCCCCGACTCCATTTTAATTAATAAGGTAGTACCATATGCTCTTTACATAAAGTGTTTCTGGACAGCGTCACAGATAATATGGCATGTTCAGCGCTCAGCGTTCAAACGTTCAGTACTCGGTCCCCAGATTCATCGAACTCTACAAAATGACACGACGTCGCAGGAATACCCTCAAACAACAAGCCAGAACGGAGCTTGCAGGAGAAGCTCAGAAGACGGACGGCTCTCTGAGTCCATGTCATGCACCTACAATACAATACCAACATTTTATTCCGCGGTTTATATTGCGAAGATTCCAAGTCGGACCTGTGAAGTGTGTGTTCAGAGTCCTCTCGAGCACTCTGCGTGTAGGCACTAGACCAGAACACTGAATGATATTCTCTGCAGGTCCAAAGCAGAACGACAAAAAGAATTTCGACGCACCGGTGTTGATCCTGAATACGTCCACTACTATGATATTGCCACGGGTAGCCTTGGCATTCGTCCTATTGGAAAAGTTTACGGCATCCCGAATGTCTACCAGGACGTCCGCAACGCCCGTAATATCAACGAACTAGAGGAGAAATTAGCGGAACTTGAACGTCATGCAGCCTCCATTATCATGGACTTGCATAAAGCACTTCCTCAGGGTACTTTCACTCTGAAGCGGAGGTCGCTAGAGCTCCTGCGGAAGTTCCTGTTTATCATGCATTATCGCAAAGTATCGTGTTCAGGTACCTACTTTCAAGCGGATCACCCAGAGAACGCAGGGGGCCGTCAGTGGATCGAGGCCTTCATGAAGGCGAAGGGTATTCGATCCGCTGTCGAGATATGGCTACACTTCCTCAGATACTATCTGGACACGTCTCATTCAGACATCATGCGAGATGCTGCAAAACTCGTAGAGAAGTACGGCGAAGAAGGTCTTCAAAAAATGATGACTGAATCGCATATCCCACCTGGTCTCGAAAACTTCCCGGCTTACACTTACCACACTCATGCAAACGCCTACTTCTTCAGTATCTGGGAAGCCGCGGAAGGGGAAGAATTTATCATCACGGACAACGCATTTGGATTGTGGGAAGGTTCAGGACACGGCTGCACCGACCTGCACCGTATATTTGTAGTCAGCCCTCGCATTGCTCTCGTCCTGCGCAATGTGTTACTGCGTCCAGAAATGAAAGGATACATAAAGCCGCGTGCGTTCGTGAGCTCCTTGCTCAACGTAAATCCAACTCCGCCAACTCCGATTTACACCAGTGGAGCACACGGTGCACACATCAACCACGTAAATTTCCAATCCGCGATGTCACTTGCACGTTACAGATCTTCCAAGAAAGGGGGGAATGACCGTTTTGTGTTCAAGATCACAAAAATGTCGCGACCCCAAACATTGGCGTTCAATTCCGTTGTATTGGTCAATGTGACGAAGAAAGGCTCTTTGACCTTCCTGTCAAGGGGGAGTATGCTCCGCACTGCGCGTGCGTTCCGGAGTTCGTCAGCCAATTTCCTTGCAGGCGACCTGCTCATTCCACTCATTGTGCAATTGACGAATACCATGGAGACAGAAGTGTCAACTCTTCTCCCACCATTGCAGTCACCAACGGACCTTAATGTACTTACACTCATTGGTGTAGGTGCTTTATGTGCTTTTTTTGTCTTCTTTTTTTGGTTTTAAATCCAGTTTATTGTCCTTTGGGGTCTTCGACCATATGTAGGATAGTCCTTTTCGCAGGGAGCTTACTCCCGCATAATCTATCGCATTAAATGAGTTCTGGCTATGTATCAATGGAAAATGAGTACTCCGTCAGCTTGTTGTCGGGCGGAGGCCGATGCTGAGTTCGTACAGAGGGAATGCAGTGGTGTGAGAAGTGTTGGGTCCGTAGCCTCTCCTTTCCCGCATTTGCGTTTCGTCTGGCGAGAGTTCTGCCCTCCGGTCTCGGAGATGCATCGATGAAGCTTTAATCAACTAGCGAATGGTGCCCACACGAAAGAAGCACCCTGGTCAGCAGATCGAACCATCCCCGAGCATCCTTTTTGTCCGGCCCTCAAATTTTCAAACTCAGGCTTGATGGCATCTCTCAGATATCTGATGTCTCTGATCACCTCGAGCTCGGGGCCCAACAGTTTGTTTGTCTAGTATCTACGCGTTTGTTCATTTGACGTTCGACTCCCCTTAGGCCATCAGTTTTTCCGAGTCTGCCCTTGTTGCTCAGAATCAATCAGCCCAACTGAGCATATTCCGATTCTGCAGCCATCATGCACCTGGCGATGCATTGATGTGCAAGTCGAATATTAATATTGGCGTTCGAACGGAACAACCGCTACCACCTCCACCGTGCCACGTCCAAATCGACCTATGATATGTATGTCCAAATGTGAAACCCCTTGCTGGCAAACAGGCACCGAGTATAAGTACTGATCGATCGATCTATCACATCTTGACTCATCCGATATTGGGCGACTCCGAGTCCGTGCTTGTTCAAACCAACATATAGTTTGGCTTGTGTTTCTCGGAAGTTCTATGACGGTGCGCTGAAGGAATCCGAGGGGTCGTGCTTGAGCCTTGTCACAAAACGGGCAGTGCGGGTCCTCGGTTGTAGATAAGAGATGGTTGGTGCTCTGACACAGTGACACTGACACTACTGACAGGAAAATTCTGAAAATTTAAATTTTGCTGCTTAGGAATTTCCATTTATGAACGGACAAGCGCAAATCCTTTGCCTCCAGGAACAACTTGTACTGATCGCCCTGGCCACAAGGTGCGCTCCAGGTACTTATACATACATACGTGCTCACTAGCTACTCAGTCCCTCTCGTCCGTACATTTCAATCTTAAAGAATGTCACGACATTGCAGGGATTACCAAACCTCAAAACAGCGAGCCAACACAAAGGTCGCAGGAGTTCGGAGGGCAGGTGCCCGTCCTACGCATCCGTACCAATACCAACATATCATTCCACGGTTCATATTGCGAAGATTCGGAGTCGGACCTCCGAAGTACGTTTTCCGAGTCCAATTGAGCTCTCTGCATGTGGACCAGAAGACTGAATCATATACTTTGCAGGTCTAGAAAAGAACGAAGCAAAGAATTTCGACGCACCGGCGTTGATCCCGAATATGTCCTTTACTACGATGTTGCCACGGGCAGCCTTGACACTCGCCCTATTGGAAAGGTTTACGGCGTAATGGGTATCTACCAGGATGTCCGTAACACCAGAAATATCAACGAACTAGAGGAGAAACTAGCGCGCCTCGAATCTCAGGCAGCCTCCATCATCGAGAACTTGCATCGAGCACTTCCTCAGGGTACTCTCACTCTGAAGCACGGGTCTCTAGAACTCCTGCAAAAGTTCCTGTTTCTCATGCATTATCGCAATTCCAGCCGAGCCTCTGAAGCGGATCGCGCGGAAAATGCAAAGGCCCGTCAGTGGATTGAGCGCACCACGAAGGCGAAGGGCATTCAATCTGCTGTCGATGTGTGGCGGTATATCCTCAGATACTACCTAGATTCATCGCATTCAGACCTCATGCGAGATGCTGCAGAAGTCGTAGAGAAGCGCGGTGAAGGTATTCAAGAGATGCATGTCCCACCTGTCACATATCGCACTTACGTGGACGACTATTTTCTCAGCATTTGGGAAGCCGCGCCAGGGGAAGAATTCATACTCACGCACAATGCATTCGGTTTGTCGGAAGGTTCTGCAAGTAGCTGCCCTGCCCTGCACCGCATATTCGTGCTCAGCCCTTACATTGCTGTTGTCCTGTGCAATATGCGGCTGCGACCAGAAACAAAAGATACACATGGCCGGGTTCACTCGAGAGCTCCTTGCTTAATGTGAATCCAGCCCCACCAGCTCCATTTTACGCCGGTAAAGAAGACCCCTTTACACACCCAAAGTCCTTATGGAAGAGGAAAATCGATAGCTTTGCATTCATAATCACAAAGCTAACTCGATCCCAAACACTGGAGCTCAATTCTGTTGGATTATCCAACCTGGAGGAGACAGGCTCTTTGACCTTCTGGTCAGGGACGAGGATGCTTCGCACCGCGCATGCATTTCGGAGTTATTTCCCGTCGAGCCATCTAGTCATTCCGCTCATCGCGCGTTTGACTGCCAGCATGAAGAAAAAAGTGTCAATCCCTCCCTCATCAGTACAATCTTCAGCGGCTGCCCCTGATGAAGATTTCGACCCCCTTTCACTCGGTGATTTAGTGCTCTACGTGCTTCTCATGCAGATATGTTCTGGACGCAAGCAGTTCCTTTCTGCATACGATAGGGCACATTTTATTCTGAAGATCATGGGGAAAGCAAAACCCACCTCATTCGCAAACGAAACCAACCGAAAAGTCAACAAGGCTTTCAAGGCATGCAGGGGAGACGTAGAGGATGGGATGTCCTTCGCCGAGGGCGTCAACCCCGCCCCTTTACTCTCCTCTATTCCCTGTGAATTGTCTTCTCAACTCTTCCAATTGATGATACCGTACATGATCAAACGGGGCGCGGTGATGTCTGGAGGCGAAGGGACTTTGGAAGTGCTCCAACGTGACATCGCCGTAGTGAGCTTCCTGCAACATGCGTCATGCAGCCCTGGAGTGTGGCATGCGCTCTCCCATAGTAGCCCAGAGGCCCCCGAGATCTTGTCAAGACTGTTCAAGAAGGGCACGCCAGCAGATGAATTTATTGCGAAATTTTCATCGTCGGGATTCTCTTCCTGTTATAACAGGGCGTACGCTCTGCGAACAATATGCGGCCTGGTTAGGCCAACTACCAAGCCCATCAGTCAACGCTACTACAAGTTAATGGCTTTCATAATCCAAAGTCTTAACGACCTGGCAATGCTAGGATTCCCGCCGAAACCATACTCTTCGCGGCCTCGAAAGAGGCCCAAGGCACAGCTCGTTCGAAACATGCCAAAGGTGCATTCGGATTTGCTGATGAAGAATATGAAGAAGTTCCTGCGAGCGGAGCTCTCGGGATACCGTGACGAGTCGGGAGAGGACAGTCTGGATGAGACCACTAAAGAATGGGTGGATGAGATGGCCATCGTCGGTTGTCTTGCGTGGTTGGGGAAGCACAGGAGGAATTTTTTGGACTTCATTCTCGATGGGTTTCGGCAGGGTATAAATTTCAAGCTGTTTGAAGACGAAGAAGCCACCGCTCGCAGTACCTGACGATTTATATAGCATTCGAGATCAGCTATTGAAAATTTGTTTGCTAAAGTCTCTTTGAATTATCGACGAACAGTGGGAGATGAATGAGCGAAAACACTCAAAGGGAGTGGTATGTAATAGGAACAGCGTATCAACTTAGGTACTTCTGTACATTAGTACCATAGTCGCAGGTATCACTTAAAAGTATTCAGCAGTATTACTAGATGAGTTTCCGCAGGGTATAAATTTTAAGCTGTTTGAAGACGAAGACACCACTGGGAGTACCCGAATCAACTTGTTCGAATCAATCTTCTAAATCACTTACTGATAAGATGCATCAGTTGTACATATTTTTTGAATAAAACGAGGACTCGCTGAGGAGATACCAATTTCCAGACTCACGGCAGTGCAAGTGTCTGTCACACTAATAGTCTCCCGTAGTCAAACCTTGATAGAAGGAACTTCGGCCGTACCGCCGAATCCCAGTAACTGCCAGTGCACATGCTCATGTAAGGACTGACTGACCTTTACGCACCGACCGCGCTTCAAAAACAAGACGCACGAACCATACGTTGGGAGTCTTTCCGCGTGAGCCACTGATGCCGACGAGTAACACTAGTACTCTTCGCATCCGAGTCACGCGGATACATCTCTTCTTTTCATCTTACCATTCAGTACCTTACCTTGTGCTCGCATTTCGGTTCCTTCATCAAGTGTTTTCACTTCGCCATCAAGTATTCGAAACGTATATATACTACCAATGTACACTCATACCTAGAGCGAATCCTATAGTCAGACCCCCGCTCCAAGTACGACCGAAAGCCTCTCAGAAAGTCTCCGTCTCCAACGTTTTCCTACTCGTCTCAATACTTCTGCACTCGTCTCGATTCTGCATCGTTTTGTTCACAATTCCCTGTCGAACTCATACTCAGCCTTACACTCATCCACGTTATCCGTCGTCTGATTGTTCGCTAGTGTTGGCTAGCCGGAGTCAGGAACCTCAGGCTGCCGCATGAGCGGCGTTTCAGATCATTTTAACTGGTCCTCACCAAGTGGTTATCATTACAGGATTAGAATCTCTTGGACTGCGCGGTTTCGAAATCCGCCGACCAGGTTAAATTTTTTCACATCCACACCTTGATATTCACTCTTGGATGATTTACTCAGAAGCTCATCCTAACTGGTGTTAGCCAATTAGTTACCAGAACGGAATCGAAATCTGTTTCTCTTGGCTTGCGCAGGTTCGAAACCTGCTGATAGGCAGTTTTTTTTCTATCGGAACAAACGTTGACATTGACTCATGGATGGTTTTCTCCAAGAAACAGGAATTCTCGAAAGTCCGGCGGTATCTGAAGCTACTAGTACAGCGTGGTGCTTCCCCGAAGTCAGCGGCTTATCTTGATCATGGAAAGAACCTACAAGTCGTTATAGAATTTGAGTTTAAATTAGTTGCGTAGAATACATAGATCATAATGGTGTAGGTTTGATTCCGTCTGAACCTGACATCGTCATTTAGCAAATCCGTAACAACCAACTCTGTTTAGACAAAGCAACCTCTAATGCAAGGAATAACTCATCTCATTAACTAGTACTCTGAGATACTCTGAGAGAAGGAATAAGGGCAACGTATTCTGCTCGTTGCTCATCTGTTAGCAATACTTCGAAGCCGAGAGTCAGGCTCTCCAGGGGACACTTTGACCGCGTCAAAAATGCCTTGAATTCCTCATGAGGCCATGGGTATATATCGCGAGCTTCGAGAGAGCGCAAATTGGGCAGTGAGAGGGTATCGAATAGGTTAAGATACTCTGTGTCGTCGTCATAAATATCGTCGGAAAAGATCCGTAAGAATTGGAGTTGGGTGTGCGTGAATGGCTCCAAGGCCTCCATGGCGTCGAATATTGTATATATCGTCAAGGAGGAGAGGCTGGGGCATAAACGGAGCAATTGGGGGAACGCACTTGGTTCGTCTAGGTCAATCTGGATATTTGTGAGGTGGGCCCAGGCGGGATTGCATGTAGATGCGTACTCCATGTCGAAGAACACCCCCATTACCGTGAGACTGCGCAGAGTGCATGGCGGTTGCGAGAGAAAACGGATGACGGCAGCCACAAGATTATTACAATCCAATGATATGGTCAGCTCCTCAAGTGCTAGGAAGTCCGATATCATAACCTCAGGTTGGAAGGCGTTGCGGTCAAAATTAAGAGATAGAGATGAGACTTGATTTATGTAGGGCTGAAGAAGGCTTTGTAGCTCGGTCCAGTTATTTTTGTGACACGGGAGTTCCAACGAGAGCGGACGCCCTCGTGATCGCTTGAGCCATGCCTCATAGCAGAAGGCTCTTCGCTGCCAGTCTTTGCCCACAGATAGTCTGTGCCACAAACTGGGCATATCCACAGCAACCTCCCTCCATCGTCGACATATTCTTGTCAACAGCATAGGAACTGCCTCTGACGCGGGCGACAAGCGGTGCCCAATTGGGAGACAGTGAGCAAAAATCTGGGATAGGACTTCGGCTGGCAAGCGCCAGAGAGCTGATACAAGTCGCTTGTGCGAATTCATGGACTGAGTGATCTTGTTCTTCTTCGCGACCAGTTGCCGGTGAATACAGTTGATACTATCTATGACTGTTTCGAAAAGTGAGATTTCGTAGGATACTGCATCTAATTGCTGCTGGCGTTCGGTAACAATGGCACTGATGTTCTGGTAATCGAGCTTGAAGGCAGAGTAGTTTCGTATTGCTAATAGGATACTGGGTTTCGAGGTCTGGTATCTAGTCATCGTGAATCACTGACATCGATACGTGCATTAAACTCAATTGACATACGATTACTTGTGAATGAGCGAGCTGATGTAAATTGTTTATTATTATATGCAGACCAGTGCCTAAGACACTGGATGCTTACGATGTTTTGCAGCGCAACCAATGATATCCGAGACAGAGGAAAAATGTTGCTTTTGAGTTGACTGTCATGGCATCGATCGTGTCTGTATGTTGTCGGTCGTCTAACGCAGAGTACATGTGCTTGCAAGGTTCAATAGGGTTCTTAACAAGTTCAAATTGTTTGAGCCTGTGATTTGAAATTCAAAACGGTTGTGCCCGAAACCCCGCTCGCGTAGGCAAATCTATCAACAATGAACATATGCACGATTTAAAATTTAAGTACTTATGGCTTTCGCTGAACAGACAGGATGGAGGACGGCCGGCCGGACTGGACTTTCGAGAAACCAGGTGCCCTCCGAGGTCTGTCTAACTGGCCTTAGCCAAGCAGTTCCCACAACAGAATTAAAATCTGTTTCTCTTGGAGTTGGTTCGAAACCTGCGGACAACATTTTTGCGGTGTATAGATCCTCGGAGGTCCATCCTGACTGATCCCAGTCATTGCGCCTTTATGTGATAGTCTGTCCATGAAAAGGGACTCACCTTCAAGCTCCGCGAGGGTCGTTTCGACTCTCAAGATATATCCCGTGCCCAGTCTCAATTCCAATCTAAGATACCGACTTTACCATTTTCTAGGCACATCAGCAATCCAAGCACATTCTAGCATAGGCAACTCTATGTAGCTGTGACATCGACAGTCTAAAGCTACTGGCTATTATTTAGCCGGAGACTCCTCCGGCTCTCCAGCGCAGCGCGATCTCCTCGACATGTACTCGGCGCAAACCTGTCGTTGCCGCATGTTATCCAGAACTCATGTGTGCTTCCAGTGTTCTGAATGCATCTGCATGGAGTACGCCAGTTCAGCATCTGAGCACGACATGCACGCTGCAGCAGAACTGTCCTCATTCTCCTGCTCTCCCAGCAATGGCGGCTTTCCTCTCTTTGTAGGGTGCGCTGAAATGGAGTCTTTTCAAACCCGTGGTTGTGATGTTCCTGCGTCAATGACATTCATCGGCAAGCTCGTGCGACCATACACTCGACCGGTAGGAGTTGTCTGTCAATTTGATTGGTTTGAGTTACATTCGGGTAAATCATAGATCATGTGCGGTTCAAGGACATCGGCGATGAATGTCATACACACTCACGTTATTCAGCCATCATTTATAGATACTCACCGGATGGCAGTGACATCGTTATATACATAGACATGTAATAATATCTGTGGGGTAGCGAATGCTTATCTACATATTGTAAAGGTCATGGTACTCTTCCTCTATCGTGAATGTATTTTCATGCGACCCTAACTAGTTCATCACTGGACAACTTCTTTTCACTGCTCGAACGTCCTTTCGCATCATCAGGGAGCGACTCAGTTGGGGATAAATTGCTGGTGGCGTTGTTCAAGTTGGCGGTAAGCTCATCGCGGTTGCGGAATGAGAATCCGTTCTTCCTCGCCTGGTCGACAACAAGGCCGCTGTATAGAGCTTAGAACAACGCAAATTTATTTTAAAAGATGCCGGATCTTACACGGCGTAAATGGTCATGGCGATGTAACCTGACAATGGGACAAGATACGAGTGTTGGGTAGATGTTTTGTCGGCGAGGCCACCTTGTGCAGGTGGGTACCAAGCCCCTCCCCCGACACCCTGAGTTTAGTGAGAACCTTGAATTGAGCACAGCCAGTAGACGCAAAGACCCACCATAACAATAAGACCAGAGCCCCGCTTGGTGTGCACTCCGAGGTTCTTAGTACCTAGGGTGAAGATACACTGAAAGTACATGAGAAATGAGTTGTAGCTCAAATAGAGAAGACACGTACAGGATAGCAAATGGATTCGAAGAAGAACAGACAGAAGAGACATGCGACAGCGTTATACCCAGGAAGCTGGGAGACCAGGAGGCAGAACAGCGAACAACAAAACCCGTAGAAGGCTAGCAATAAGGCAGGGTCGATAAAGTTGAGTATTACTACGCCAACAAATCTGTGAGTCAATAAATTGAGAATGGAGATGAAGGTAGAAAACTGTGTTATGTCTCACCGTCCTACGGTGAAGGTGACCTGGCAGAGCGAGAAGAGCTCGCTAGCCTTTGACTGGTCGATACCAATTCCTTGGTCGACGAGGAAGTTGACGGCGAAAGAGGCGATAGTAAACTTGTGCACCACTGTGCCATATTTAAGGCTCACTACACAGGATGGAGAGAACTAGACAAACGCACACGTAGGCAGTCTGGGCAACAAACCCAAAGATACAGCGATATTGCTGCCGGAAAGGTCCTTGGCCATCTGTGATGCCGACTTCATCTATCTCTTCAGCCAAAGCATCTTCTGTGATTTCAGGTAGGTTGCAGAAGCTGTTGAAGGTTAGGACTTGTCCGTCATGCAGAAATCAGCCTCACAAAAATAGTATATTGAGTACTACGCCGAGGCCAGCAACTGCGAGATAGACCCTAATGAAAGTTTAGTACGGCTTTTGCGCAAAAGCTATCAGACAAACCATTGCACAGTGCCAAGACTGGTCGCATTGGCACCAGTGAAAAACCAGCGCGAAGCGATCAAAGGTCCAGCAAAGGATGCGACACCTTGGAACCCTTGACTGAAATTCAAACGGGCGGCGGCATACTGAGGCGTGCCAAGCACAGATATGTAAGAGTTGGCCGCGACCTCGAGTGTTGAGAGGCCGCAACCTGGGTAGGATAAGATATCAGTACGATGGGGATATAGTTCTTGCGGGTTAAATTACCGATTACGAATGTACTCCCGACGAACCCTCCATAACTTCGTATTTCGCGGATGGCCAGAAGAATACGGCGCCTAAGAAATGGTGAGTCTGTGCATTTTACGAATGAGGGACACCAATACCAATGGAGTACAAGCTAAGGCCGATATGGATGCCTTTCTATAAGTGAAATCTGTTCGGTATCTGGTTTGTGGATCTCCAGATAATAGGTCACCTTGTATCCTACTCGTCTCATCTGCTTCCATCAGTATTGCTCTAGAGGAAACAATGATGTTACTCACAAATATACCCGCGAACGGTGCCCACACGAAATAGGCACCCTAACTCGCGATTAGCGGGATCTATCACACCATCACCAAGGACTAGACACTTACAAAGTATGCCAATTGTAAGAGCGTACTCTGAAGCTTAGAGATCCCGAATACGGTCTGGAAGTGTGCGTTGAGCACATCAAGAAGCTGTTATCGAAAGTTTCGATCAGCTGGAGGAATAAATTTGCAAACGCAGTAAATTCATACACCATAAGCAAAACCCCCTGCAGTTCGACTTCTGTTATTCGGTCCCAACACCACAAGGAGATCTACGACTCACAAGTAAAGAATAGAGATGTCACAAGAGCGAACGCAAAGGCCCATTGCCTTCGGCTGAGTTGAGTTCCTGCGTTCCGTTCAATCATTCTCGTCTAGACATCGGAAATGAGCCTGTGCTCAGTGCTTACCGGTAGTTCCTGTAGGAGGCGCCATGCAGGTAAGGATGGGCACGCGTCTGTATGCCTGAGAACCATTCGACGCTTATATTACGGAACACGACTGGATTAGAGGTCAGCAAATGATTTGAATCCGAGTAGCCATGGGGCACCATAGATATCGGATCACACAACCTGGCGGGGCCCCCCATATATCCACACCAATTGGGTATGAAGTGTGAGTGCTGCGCAGGTCCTATGACCACACCAACCCATCATATCATCTCCTTCCACTGGAAATGCGGACCGATAATTTGTGCCCATGTATGAGAGTATCTTCCTTCTACGGACATTAATCGCGCGATAATCGGCCATGTTCCTTGAAGTTTTGATCAAAAAAAATGCCCGGTAAGCCCATGGAGTCTATGACGCCTTTGAACTAATTATGGACTGAAGTTGCCGGACTGAAAGTGCCGGTTAACGGTTGAGTTTGCAATTCGGTGTTGGTGATGTCGTGGTGACCTGGCAAAAACAATCAGGCAATGTTTAACATTGTTGTAACACCGACGTCCTCGCATATCCGCATGAAATGTCTTCAAGTCCTTTCGTAGAATGGTTGCTCGTGGGTTCAGTCACTTCTCTCAAAGGCCCAAACTGAGTTCATCATCACAGATTCACTACGCATCGACTAAGAGCCAATCGCCAAACGAAGGTCGCAGACGATGGAAGCTCCGGGTTGCACAAAAGTTCTGGTCCTCGGGCGAGAAAACGTTATCATCTGTAAGCACTGAGCAAATCATGATCTTGCCCACATAAGATCCCCGGCATTCAAACGTATCTCAGAACCACTGCTGGCGGTACTGATGACAATGCGGATTTTCACATGGATGTTGATCCTTTTGACGAAGCGTCGACTAGCAGAGAAGAGCTGGGAATCCTTTTGCGGACTGATTTTTCCGATGAGGCTGCTTGGCTGGCTTTCTGTAGTCGATTGGAAGAAGGAGAGAAGGAGTTTACAACCAGCCCTTTGGAAGAAGATGTCATGATGATGGACGATCAACCCGAGCCCAACAAAGCAAGTCCGAATGGCACCACTGCAACTACAACAGCAGATGATGACAGCGATGAATCTGACGATGAAAACTCGCTCAGTGCAATCTTTCACGTCGTCAATCCATCTCTACCCCAGGAACGTGCTCTGTTAACCAACATCTCAAATCTGGCTGCGCTTCGCCTTTTTAATGATGTGGATGTCCGACAAGCTCCCACTCCTCCACCAGATACCAAACGCATCAGGCCTCCAAACAGATTAGTTGACTCAGGTGGCTGGCAGGAGATCTATGTGGGAAAAAACCTGTGGATATACGACACGAAGTCCAACAGTGATCAATGCGTGCGGGTGGTCAGTCAAACCAGCTCGGACATGTATGGGACAGCAACGTGAGGCCGATGAAATACACTTGGTCTCCAGTGCTAATTATCGTTGTAGGGCCGATAGCTGGAGAGCTAGGGTATCTCACATCTGCGAATTGCAAGTAAACCTGTCTTCTGGCGCGATGAAGATCGACCTTCGGAGGCCTGGATCGCTGGGATTACGCGGAACGTCAACGAAACGTGCAGGAAGCTGAGACTCCAGGAGTTTTGTGAATGTTCATTAAGTCATAGATTTTACCAGGAATTGAGAGATGCAATGTTTTTTTGAGATGCAAGCAGCCAGCTACAGTATAAACGATGGCATAGGGTAAAACCTCAAGGTGTCCTCCGCCACGCAACTTCCCGGAGGATTTTAAGAAGTGACAGTCCAGACACGAACAAGGTTGTCAGTGAAACCACCGAACAACGTCTGCCCGTCTGCTGACCATGCGATCGACACACACTCGGGTTCCCGTGAGTTGGGGCCAACGTCAGTGAAGCTGGGCTTGAGCTCGTCAACGATTGACCTAGGGATCACGCCGATAAGCAAGATGTCATAACAAAATTTAGAAGTACGTACTTGCTCTCGAGGTCAAAGATTTTAACGCAGCTGGCAGTGGCAGCGCATAGCCAGTAGCGGTTGGGCGAGAACACAAGAGCATTGACAATGTCACCAGCCTCAAGCGAGTAAAGGTGCTTGCCCTCGTTCAGGTCCCAAAGCATGGTAATGCCGTCCTTGCCACCTGATGCAGCAAGGGAACCGTCAGGAGAGACAGAGATGGTGTTGATGTAGCCGGTGTGGCCGTAGTGGTTAGTCTTCAATTTGAACTTAGAGAGTTCCCAGACCTATCAAATTGGTATTAGCACTGAGTGTACCAGGACATTGCTACAAGCGAATCATAGATCTTTAATGGAAAACATCATCTCATCGAGTGATCACTCCCGAAGTAGCAAATAAAGATATAACGCCACTAGACTAGGGTGGCCAGTGATATGAATTTTACGGAAAGCTCACCTTTACAACCTTGTCCCATCCACAAGACACAATAACAGGGTTCATGACGTTGGGGCTGAAGCGCACGCATGACACCCTAGATCGTATTGTCAGGGTATGAACTTCTTTTAAAGCATGACTCCCACGCACCACTCAGTGTGACCGTCATCCTTGATATCATACTTGCACTCTCCAAGGGTGTTCCAAAGTTTGATTGTTCGGTCACGCGAACCAGAGACGATCTGTCTGTTGTCTGCGCTGAAGCTGACGGACAAGACATCGGAGGTGTGGCCGACGAATCTGCGAGTGGTCTGGCCAGTGTTCAGATCCCAGAGACGCAGGGTGTGGTCCCAAGACGAGGAAAGGGCGAATTGTCCATCGGAGGAGATGACAATGTCAGAGACGAAGTGGTTGTGGCCGTGAAGAATTCGTTTGGGGTAGCCATACGTGTCCTCATCGCGAGTAAGCTGCCAAACAATGATGGTCTTGTCTGGGCCATAAAGTCAACTAACGAAAGGTATGCAAAAATGCCACTCATACCTCGGGAAGCCGTCAGAATCATGTCTGGGTTCTCCGAAGAGGTGGCAATTGCAGTAACCCATCCCTTGTGGCCGGGGAGGGAGCCAAGGAAACGCAAGGATTCAGCCATAAGTCGTAAGTCGCTGGATATCGAGAGGGACGCAGATGAGTATGGCCTAAGGTTAGAACGTGACGTGACAGCCACCGTGACTTTAGCTGCATAGTTCCCCGGCATATTCCGCTTATGAACCTCCCAAATTTACCGTTCTTCACAACGTGCACGCGCGCTGACAATGTGACGCTAACCCCCGGGGAATCTGGGAATCTTGCCAACTTTGAAGCAATGCTGGTGAGTCTGCGTGACTGCGTATCATTTATTTATGATGTTATTCTTTCAATATTTGCTACTTCAGAGGCTAGTCCGATGAGACCAATTTTCCACCAAGATCTCTGATACTTTTCTCATTACACTCCGCAGTGCTTTAGCTGACTCTGTTCTGTTAATAGGCACGGATCCCATGGAAGAATTTCATACCCTACGTATACAATTGAGCTGGTGTATCAATTCCGATGATCTTTATGCAACCTATTCTATTTCGAAGTTCCCTTGAGACTTGAATGGAGCTAGTAGACTGACTGGCAACCGTGACGGTCGAGCGCTATTGAGCGGAAAAGCAAACATCCTGTAACGTAGCGTTGAAGCCGGAAGTGGCCTCGGGAGCTGGAGTACTGGCCCGTAAGCGGTGCTAGGATCGAAGGCTCACTGCAGATGCTTGCATTTTTGACCTGAACATTAATTAAAGATCCGTTGCATTAATAAATTTGCGATTTTGCCCTCTCGAATTTAGGCGTATATGCATGATAATCATCTGCCCTCGTTCTACGCTTTGACTCATCTGTTCAAATTGCCACAGATCCATCCTATTCTTATCGATTTTCACAGCCGCTAAGGATTCTCAATGGTGAAATGATAAAGAGCGATTAGCTTTCTGATTTGAGTGATAAAGGTTATATCCCTGTTTGCGATTTGATTCCGTTTGTTGACCATCTGATCGTTAGTAACATGGCAGAGAAGACAAGGACGCCGATCATCAGTGAGTGGTTGGTCGAACACCCTGTGCTCACTCTTGCCTGACCATGGCTCGTAGTTGACACCGATCCTGGCGTGGACGACACTGTAGCTATGGATGTGTTCAACTCCCCAGAGAAACTTAGTGCTAAAAGCATTGACAGCCTGCTTGCTATTACATCCCCTGAACTCGAAATCCTTGCATATATCATTTCATTCGGTCCGTGAATGCATCGGGATAGGCTAAGATGGAACCTTATCGATATTTGATTACAGGGAATAACCGATGTCCACGCAGCTTAGTTGAGGCGCAGCGGCTCAATCTAAGTCTCAAAATAACTGAACGTAACTCCGCAGCGACAACATCTACAAGCTTTACCAGGCGATAGGGCGCCACATTGCGCTACACCCTGAAGATGCCGCGAGGTTTCCGAATTTTTCACCCATAGTCCCGCCCCTCCTTGTAGTCGGACCAGAAGGACCCTTAGAAGGTGGACGGCACTTTGCTCAATACTTCCATGGCCGGTAAATTTCTTTTCAACTTTGGAGATGGGTTCTCATTGTTACTGTAGTGATGGTTTATCGGATATAAACGAACGTCACCCTGAGTTGAATATTGACTTCGGAAGTTCATCTTTCTCCCACAATTTTCAACCGGTGAAAGAATCAAGTGTCGAAGTGGCCTTGCGTTTACTGGAGTCACGTCCCGACAGAAGCATCACATATGTGGTCCTGGGTCCGATGACCAACTTGGCACAACTTGTGCGCCAACACCGTCAAACAGTTATGGATAAAATTGGTCGAGTGATTGCCATGGCAGGAGCTTTAGATGTTCCCGGAAATACTACTTCGGTCGCAGAATGTAAGCAGTTAAAGATGTGTTCATGTAGAAAATCCATTGACCTTGTTCGCATGTGCAGTTATGTTTTTGCCGATCCTTACGCGGCAAAAGAACTTCTAGTACCAACGGATCCCACCAGTGGTCTCCCGCTTGACAGAGTAGTACTCGCTCCCTTGGATATCACCACTAGCACGAACTCCCCTTCCCGTTTATTGCCCAAAAGGTAGACCCTGCGTTTAAGTCTGCAGCCCAACCGTCGAATGCAGATGGTAAATCACCCCTTGTTCATTTCACCAGCTCTTTTTCGAACGCACGAGGGAAATCATGCTCGAGTGGGGAAAAGGATGCACTAGAGTTGCATGACATTGTGGACCATTTGGCCTTTTTTTTTCGGTGCGCAAACTCGAGACCACCACCCCTGCAATCAATGCCAGTTGGCGGGCTGCTTCCTGGAATGTCCACCGGATGGGCTGTAGCCGAACGAACATTCGATATTGAACGGTGCGATCCTGTGTGTTCTCGATGATTTCTTGCTCACCTGATATCAAGGACCGGAGAAATTACTCGTGGCATGTTTGTCACTGACCGAAGAGAGGAGAATACTGCATATGCACCTGGTGCCAATCGGGCAGAAGTCCAAGCTCAGCTAGACCTGCGCCATCTCGGGCACGGGCTCCTCGAGTCTACCGCGTTGCCTGCGAGAGTAGAGGTAGAAGACCCGGGACTTGATCAGAGACAACGGAAAGGCGTAGCATGCCTCGTAGAAACGCCGGGGCCAAGCGTTCTTCTTCAACTACTGACACGTAGGGTCTGGGGCATCTAATAATTATCATCTTCACATGTAGATTGATCAACGGAAATTCGTGCAATCAGAAACTCTGGTTGATGATTGTCGCGACTATGGGCGTGTGTCAGATCATCGATCATCTATCACGCGCTGCAATTCGTTTCGTTTCGTCGATCGTGGGCAGATCCCTGGATGCTTAAAGCTTTGAAGGGCGATCATGTGGTGGATTAGACAACAACGGCGGTCTGGGTGTATTACGGTTTCTGATTTTCCATATAATTTCCCCGACTCCCACAATTAGTGGCTGGTGTGATTGTAAATTCATCTTTGCTCAACAATGCAAATATTCCCCATGATGTAAAAGCAGTCAGCAGATATACGAAGATTGTTGTGATGCCCTACAATACATTGCTTTGAGTAGCTTTGTCACATATTCAGGCTTGAATGACTCGCTCCACTCTCCCGGCTGGAGCTGGAGCTGGAGTGGGTGGAGTCGGTGTGCTGTCTTCTCCTGCTTGTCACAATTGAGTTTGTCCGAGACCGGCGTCCTTTACTTGAAGCGCTCCTCGGCAGAGTATGGACGATATTGCTCCATGTGCTACCTTCGCGCCTGGAGGGAGTCTCTACCCTGACTTGGGGATCAATCGACTCAGTGTTGGCACGATCAGCATCTACCCGTTCATCGTGGAGCTCGGCGGACGAATCATTCTTCTTCCGCAATCGGAGTAGGTCAGAGAGCGATGGCTTCTTCGACGCTACTGCGGGTTTCTGCTCGGGACTAGGCATCGGAGGCGAGTTGCCTACCGGCGACTGTGAAGGCTGAGGGAACAATTTCCTGGCGTTAAGCCATCTCCGGACCCCATCTCGGTTGGTCGGAAGGGATTTCAGCATGATGGAGGATGGCGAATGGGGACTGTCATGCTGGTAGTGGTCATGAGAGGATGTGGATGCAGACGCAGAAAGCGGCGGTGCTTGAGCCTTGTAGATATGCAACAGATGGGTATCTGATGCCTGGTGTGATAACTTTCTATCCCCATTTATCTCAGGAGAATTGGAAGGGGTATTACTAGAAGAACTCGATGGCAGCGGTATATCAGCCTCAACATGATGCGACAGAATGATATCAGGAGTAGACGAAAAGAGGGGTTGACGGTGGTTCCATTGCTCTTGCAGCTTCTTGATCCCGGGGAAAGGCATAAGTTTTTCGTGTGTGTACTTCGCCAGACGATCAGTGGAGGGAGTCATGAGGACAGGAGATACCCCGCTACTGGGAGGAGCAGTTTGGATCAACGAATGTACCGAAGTCGACGCTGAGGATGGCTGGCCGTGTGGGTATGTGGCTGAACTGATGCTGTCGT